TGATAGATATAGATACACTCCAGTCTGAAACGCATATCTCTCCCTTCAGTATCACCGCGGCGGAGTCTCTCTCGTGACTCCCTGTCCTCGTCTCTCCATCTCCCTTCCGTAACGCGTAACCTTGCCTGGAGATAGAGCTACGTAATTTGAAAATTGGTGAGGTCAGTGTCGGAAATCAAGGGAGAAACCGAGCAGGACCGAAAACGGCTGAAGGGATAGTCGGTTTAGGAGATTGGGAAGCGTACCTATACTTACCCGACCACCCGCCTAACTCTGCGCGGAGAAAGCCACGTGTACTGTGCGTGCACTTGATTCAGACTCACCCTCGCGGATCTTCTATCCAACGACCCCACCACCACCACCACCAGCAGCCCTTAACTCGAGGTACCCTTTTCGTTCTTTCCAGCGAGACTAGCCGAGTACGCGGGTATGCTCGTTGGACGCTGTGTATTTACAACCAGTGAAAAAGATATGAGATAGATAAAGAATGAAAGAAAGGTCAGAGGGTAAAGGGTACGGATAAAGGGTGCGCTGGATACGTGTGGAGTGAGATTAGGGAAAAAGGGGGTGGATGGGTTAAACTAAGGAAGGAGTCCTGTACCAAACGCACATAACGTCGTCATAAACTCCGAATATTATGTAGCACGTGCACATATGTGCAGAGAGAGGGTGGGACCACCCTCCCTGGTCGACCGTGTGGCTCGTGTAAAATCGCGCCATGTCAAAGTAACTAGCCCACATGGAAGGCCGGGTTATGGCAAAGGGTCGAGGGCGTTCAGAAATTCCTGGGAGGGTCGAGTTAAAAGTTAGGGGAGACCACCAGAAGTAAAAAAAAAAAAAAGGAGAATAGAAGGCCAAAGGCCAGGAAGCCGGCCAACGATTAAGGTCTCCCCGGCCCGGTGGAGGCCTCCCTGTGTTAATCGTGGACGTTCCCGACCTCGTCGGCCTGGAATAAGAATATCCCAGAGACGCCAAAGCGTCTCTGGACGGGAAGATCCGCGACCCGTGAGAAACATCGGCAGAAGTCTGAACTACCCGGCTGAAATACAGAAGCACCCGAGCCAGGAAGCTAAGAGCTAAAATAAAGTCAACCGGTGGCAAGGGACCCGGTCGTTCGTCAGTCACGCGTATGACTTGGTAATTGGTGCGATCAGCAGGTTATGCACGGCGAGAGGTCGTCGGAGTTATCTGACGCTGTCGAGAACATGGGGATAACAATGAGTCGTCGACCAGTTGTATTTCTGGAAGTTCACGTGGGTCGGAAAAGTCACAGGGAAGACCGAGGGGCGAGGTGGTTCGACGGATGGAAGGAAGTGAAAAAAGGAAAGGGTGGGGGGTAGAGGGGAGGGGAATCCCGTAGACGGGGGATGAAGGCGAGACGGAGAAACGCTCGAAGGTTCTCTAGCTCTTCGCGGACGTCACGACCGGGGTCAACGGCTGCCGATATCGGTCCCACTGTCGTGGGATGCCAGGTCGAAAATATACGCCGGTAGCCGCACGGAGGGAAGAGAGTCTTCGAATTGTCCGAGAGTCGCCGGTCAGGCATCGGTCCAAGTCCGTTTAAATCTCGTATAGATCCGTGCTAAGGGTTCGATGAGTCGCGAATCGCTGACCCCGCGGAGCGTATTTTAAAGGCTACGTGACCAAGAAGTCATTCCCGTGGCTAAGGCTTCCTTATCGTCCTGAATGCGACGCAGGTTGAAAGTTCAAGACACCGAAAGGCGTCTATGCCCAAAGGGTTACCCACGGTGGGACGTAAGCTTGGTTCTCGGAGGTAAATCGAGAAAACGAAGGAACCCGATTCTCGTAACGTCCAGAGGTATCAGAGATCCCTAAAGGCGAGTACACAGGGAGCTGAAACTATATCGGCAGACGGTAGAAGAAACAGACCGTGACCACTATTCTCGTCGCGTTTCAAGACAACTCGAGCCTAAGTATAGAAGGTCGACTCTCTGCCGGCGTTTAAAAATACACGGGTTGATTCTTTTGCTTTTTGAAAGTCCCGCGAGCCGACGTCGAACGCCAGGAGGCGGCATCGATCGCGAGCCCGATCGACGTCCCGCGTCGAGTGAGATGGATATAGACACGTAGATATAGACTGAGCGAGGGAGGGAGGGAGACGGGAGAACCAGGGTTGGTAATTGGGCTAGGCTGTCTAAAAGCGTGCTCTCGCACCCAGCCCAAAGAGCCAGGACCTACGACACGCTTCTCTTCTACCCGTGTATCTATCAAGACCAAAAGTGGATATATATATGTATATTAGGTACACCCTGGAGGAACGGCTGTACATAACTAACCTATCGTACATAGAGAGATTGGTATGAACTCTAATGGTCGGACGATAGAAAGGGGGTAGTAGGATGGATCCCGAAGCCGGGACTACTGGTGCGGCTCGCTTGGTTAACGGACGTCGAGAGAGTCTAGTCTACCTGGAGGCGGCGTCGACTTATTATCGCGATAATTAACAATTTCCCGAGGCATCAGACCGCAAAGGTAATTTTTACGTCGGAATCGCGCACGCGCACCTTAACTCCCGTATACCATCTATCCCGAAGAGGAAGAACGCGGAGCCCTTCGTAAGTCAGGATATAAAGTATAGAGCAATAACCTATGCCGAGATACGTGGAGTTAAAGTAGCACGAGGGGTTAGGTTATATTCTTAAAAGAAAAGAGAAAAAAAAAGATTTGGAGGTTACGTACGTAACGTGTACTCACATTGTTGCTTGTGCCTGGACTCCATGAGGATCATTTGTTCGTGTTTGTGCCACGCAGCGTCGGTAGTATCGGTCCCTGCAATACCCCTTGCACCTGCTGAGGGTTGCACTCCTCCACGGCCTCCACCGCCGCCTCCATACTCCATACCCGAACCCCCCGGGTGCTGCCTCGGGCAGTCCTCGGAAGCTCACAACATGGGGCTCGTGAGCCCTCGAGACCGTTCTCTATTGCGATTACAGTATCAGCGGACCCTGGCTACGACCTTTAATACGTCCGGCCCTGAACCCCACAAAATTATTTCACCTAGGACTCGCTCTCCCTTGGTCTATGACTCTTTTACAGTTTCTGATGACACTCGCGGTAAACACGTTTCACTTTGATGCTTTGCGTACGATTATCAGCTGAGCCGAGGACACCTGGTCTCAGGATTGCCAACTGTGTCTGATGGATGAAAACTTTTAGGACTTCCCACCTTATTCGGCGAGGGTGTCCTGTTACTAGGCCGAATACTGATAGGCCTCGCAGGACTTTCCCTGGTGTCCTTGCGTCAGGAACGAGGACTCGGTCAGTGTTCAGATCGAGGATAGCTTCGATGAAGACGTCCTGTTACCGAGGATACCGATCTTTCGCCGTCCTCGTCCTTCTCCTCGTCAGACGCTTCTTCTTCGTTATATATTTTTTTATGTGGCATACGAAAAATAGCTCTTATTTACACACGTGCACACTCTATCGTAATCTTTCGTTCCTTTTCTCTCGTTCTCTCTTGTACTTCACGTCTTGCGTTCTGACAACTCTCTCTCTCTCTCTCTCTCGCACTCAAAAAAACTCTCGTCCTGTTACTCTTGCGCTCTCTGATTCTGCACTCGCAGGCTAAACTCTACTTTGGCGGTGATCCGTTGCGGTTTCTTGAGGTTCAGACTTCAGTTTGCGGTATTTTTCTTATTTACTTTACTTTTCTTCTTATTATTAATTCCTACTATCGCTTCGCTTTCGGTTTATCTACGGTTATCCTTCCAGGCTCGACTTTTCTATTCTCCTCCTCCGCGTCCCTTCTTCCCTTCCCTTTTCTTCCTCTTCTTCGGAATCGTCCTCTTCCTCTTCCTCTTCACCGGACCCTTCGTCGCTCCCAATCTTTTCTCTTGATTTCGTCCTGTGGCTTTGCGAAGACAACGTCGTCACTACTCGATCTTCCCTCTCTCTCCGTCGCTCTTCGCTTCCACCGGATTCGTCCTTCTTTATCCTTTTAAGCCTGCTTCACCCAGCAGACTTGACTTCGAAGCTCCACGTCCCTGAAACAAGGCAGATTCATCGGTTATCGCCAAGAATACCAAGAAGAGATCAGAAATGATACCAAAGTGCGTCCATTAAACTCGGAAGGTAAAACAGATCCATACGGATAGTCGGCTATTTATTTTCAGCCAAGGGAACAGCGAGTACGTATGACCTGTCAAAATTGAAGTTTCGCGTCGAGAATTAATTCGTACTTCTTAATCCACAAGGAAAAAACGAATTTAAGAAGGACAAAAGGTCCTCCGATACAACGCGGTCCATTAAACGTCCAAAAATAAAAGTCGTAACGTAGTAAAATGTAGGATGACTTTAAATAGAGTTCGGGCCAACGTGCAGATCGATGTGTGCCGAATTGCATCGCGTTCGTCCTATAGCCAAGCGAGTCTACGGGTCCTACGTCGATCCTATTTATACGTCTTAGGGTCGATATCTATATCTATACGTGAATATACTTTTTTTACAACTCCTTTTATTAACTCCACTTTTCTACGAGCAATCCAATCGAGAATCATTAATTGTTGGCAAAAAAAATCGAACGGAGTGATTAGACCTATCGATCGTTTCCTCTGTCACTTCGGGATTGGTAATGCGTATCGAAATGAATAAGTTTTACAGGTCAGACGCACGTTACGCGGAGAAAATATAAAATCTCAGCTGTAACTGATAGCGCGATTACAACGAGCCGTAACGTATTTATAGGAATAATGGATGACGTCCCGTGCACACATTTGTAAATGAAATTTCAAAATTCAACTGATACCAACGACAGACTATATCGCTGTCAAATACGATACGAAACGATTGTACCTGCGACAAGGTAAGGACTGAGACCAGTTCGTGTATTTTCCAAAGGATTTTTCATGCCACTCAAATATATAAGGACAAGAATTGAGTTAACGAGTTCGGACTATACAGCTACGTGGTATACAATAAAGCCAGGTGTTCAGACGGCCGAGTCTACCTGGACGGACGGGCACCTCAAAAACAGGAAAAACCCATAGCGCCTCTATACCTAAAAGAGCGTTCCCGTTCAGGGGCGTTCTAATGCAGGCCAGCTGTGTTTTGGGATTATCGGTAGGCGGAAAGCGTCATGGAGTGACGGAGAGCTACGGAGTGCAGCCAGTAGTACAATATGACGTAGGGGGTGGTACGGTTATACTAGAATACAAAGCGAGACGGCCAATAGCTAGGAACCATAGAGAGAAGCCAGAGTAAAGTCGGCTGTGCCAAACCCGAATTAAATGCAGCCACGAGAGAGACGCCCGAGCGTCCCCCCTCTCTCTGGTAAACAAATTTCGAGAGAGCCACGTGCGGCGGCAGGACAGAGGAAGGGTGAGTGCAGACGGTCAGACAGAGAGAGACAGGGTGGCGAAACAGATGCAAGGGCCAAGCACAGGTCAAGGCAGGTGTGTGTGATACATACAAGCATACAAGATAAAGAAAGAAAAATTGGCGGTAATTTAAAAAAATATATTTTCAACTCGCGCCCAGGACCGATCGAACCAATCGGAACGGTATACGTTAGCTTTATGAAAAAGGAATTTCGCTGAAACCATAGAATAGATTTTCTCGTAAAAAGAATCTGTCCAGGGTAGTTTGGAAACAAGCAGGGGTACGTTGAAAATTTATAAGTGCTCATTTGCCTCTCCCACCCACCCTCCTCGCAACATTCGAAGCTTCGAACGATTTTTTTAATTTAAAAAAAAAACTACCCCTACCATCCTACCCCTCGTCATCTCCTTTGCTTTTTATCTGTCCAAAATGACTTTGACCGTTTTTCCGATTCTCAGACCGATCCGACCCCTGAACGACCACGGGGATCGTAACACCTCCTATTGACATTCGTGTCGCGTCATCGGCACGGCTCTCGTTCGCTTATAACGTTTCTTCGTCGATAATGAAAACGAGTGACTAATGATTATTGGCCGTGGTGCATTAGTACTCGACGATATACAAAGCCACGTGTCCCATTCGGCTATCCCAACCTACCTACCTATACCTACTTACTCAGGTCTAGCTAGCTCATACTAATATACAGTCTTCCACTACCCTGCGCAAGGACACAACACTTTTTGCCCGCACAAGAGACCAAGAATACCCCTTATCTACCTGAAAGCTTGCGACCCTTGGAATTCAACATTTATCCTGCACACATTGCGTACACATCGCGTCAAGCCTGTTGCCAATAAGTAGCCAAGCCAAACGTGTCGCTTGTTAAACACGCTCCACGAGCATTGGTACAAGGCGTGTCTTACCCATGAAAGGGGTACTGGGCCACGGGTGGGTGTTCCTAACCAAAAAGAATTATCCGTGGCAAAAGTAAGAACGCGAATTGATTCAAAAGTAAAGGTTAATATATAAGTTTAAAGGTGGATAAGAAATTCACGGAACAATCGAATATGCATGAGAGGCAAAAAAGAGAAAAAATATATATCCAAGAGTGTAGTCAAACGTTGCGTCCAGGTTTACGGAAGTGTTTTGTAAATGCATCGAACGAGCGAGTTTGCGGATGGTAGGAGAGATAGAAAGAGATTAAAGAGGGAATGAGCGAGAGAGAGACAGAGGCTCTCGACCCGGGGGGGGGTCTGTGCTAAGCTCTAGGCTTTCGGAAACGCCGCAACTAACAAAGCGATCGATCATCCGCGTCCGTCGTGGGACAAACAAGAGCAACGACAGTCATCGGCCGGACCACCGTATACTCGTCACTCGAAGTTAAAGCCCTTTCGACTCATTATCATCGCATTTAGGAACCGGCTAGATAGGCAGCAATAGTTTTCCGCGATCGATTGCGCTCGGAAAAAAATATAGAAGAACTGTCACGATATTTTCATCGAAAAGAAACGCACCTCCTATACCTTATGCACTGCTGTGAGGAAACGAAAAAAAAACAGGCTGACAGGTCGACGGCGCGAAATTTGAATGGGTGGAATCGTATTGGTAATGCGACTGACGTAGGTACAACGTAATGGTTTCTACCAGAGGAAAACAATTGCAAGTGTGGAAAAGTCTTGTGATACTGACTTATCAATTGACCCGAACGTTTTGTCTGTCAACCGACCAAACCCATCAAATCCTCCTGGCTCCTCAGTCTCTGCAAGCCAGGACAGATATGGCCATCTGTGAAAGACAAACACTGCCATGCATTGTCCCACGATCAGCAATTAGTCCGCCATTCGACCCAAGCGTTGCCACGGGGTGACTCATGCTTCTCAAAATATTTCGCGAAATGTGAGGAATCTGTTTAATCGGACATATGAATATTATACGTGGGTGGCAACACTTCACTGGAACCTGATTAATACGCTTTATATATATATATATATTTTTTTTACGTATTCCTCGAAGTAGAACTTTCGTAACGCACCCCGTTTAAATATATATATATATATTGGTTTTCTCTAGTGCAACGCGTGACTCAGACTTCGGGGAATCCCCTCATTATCATCGAGCAAACGAGTGACGATATCAATCGCAGAATACGAAATACCTAGCCTAAGTCATCTGTACGTGTGTGCTTCGTAGAAGTCACTATCAAAATGCTATACGAAGAGATGAAATTGATTAAGAACGTAAACAGGCGTTCCACGCACTAAAATATTATAAACAGTAGTTAACCAGACGATAGTGTCTATCATAAAAATGGATAAAATCGATACAGATGTCAAAGTAAATAGAAATTTTGTGTCATTTTCGAAAAAGATAAAAGAGACGAAAAAAAGTAATTTTTATATAGGTGATTAAATTAACCTAAATTTCGAACGCAAGTATCGTATGCATCGAAGAAACTGCCCTCCATGAGCATGGCGAAGGTCGGAAAATGCGTAGGATGGTAATCCTCGATCGTTTCACTGCTTTACTAAATCACTCTTTCCTTTTCCCTTTTACGATCCTTATGACAAAATCGAAGCACGGTCGGTTTTAAGAGAAGGGAGAAAAGCTTTACCGAGCGTGGAGCCTCGTAAATGTTAGATCGCGTTACAGCTGTCGACGAAAATGTTGGGGTAGGTCTCGCGATGCGCCATCACGCGGACATGCTATGCCGAAGCGATAAAATTCGTTTGGCCTTCCACAACGACGTATCTGCGAATTACGTATTACCTAGGTCGAAGTAATAAGAGGTTAGCCAGCATGTATACAGAAGAGGAACGAATACGGCGCAGGAGCTTTAAACGCGTCGAAACACAGCGTCGAGCCAACGATCTTTGAGGTTAGGTCTGGCAAGGCGGACAGTGACCTAACCTGTGGTAATGTAACGCCAACGAATCTCGAACTTTCACCAATTGAGACGTTACGTTCGAAAAATTTCGCGTGTCTCTCTGCTGCCCGAGAGAAAATCGAATCGAGCATAAGCGGAAAAGGGATACGACGTCATTATCCAGTCTATCCACCACCTTTGCCCTCGTGGAGATGGAGGGGAAGAACACAGTGGCGCACTAAGTGCACAGATAAATATCGTGACGGTTCAGATACCTTTGTCGAGGATGAGGCACTAGATAATCGCGGCTATCCACCCTGGTGGTCTATCCGTGCCTGTTACACCGTGGAAGGACGATCGAAATTTTCCGTTGGTAACGGACGCTCGCGCACACTGCTCTCTAAACCGATATAGCACTGATATCTTCACTGGCTAGCGAAATTCTCGCGTATCGCTGTCACACAAGGTGGCTTTTGACAGTCGCACTTCACGAGGCACAGACTATAGATATATATATATATGATAAATATATGCGCGAGGTGTATTCTCTCTTTCTACCTTTGCAAATTTTATCCCACCCTTTACCTTCCTTCCCTCTTTTGGCTATTCAATTATCATGCGTATATTTTTCTTTCGATTCATTCTGAAATCACTGAGTAATTAGTAGGACCCGATTGTACACATTGTGATCTCTCACGTCGCGCACTCCTACGGACGACCGAATATCCAGCACGGTCGAACTGCGCTGCCAAACTGTCACTGCTCGGCGCGTGTGGCACAGCGGATCGTGTTCTTTGTTGCCTCGACGCGTATAATAAAATTGCCTCGATTCCCCTTCCTCGGCTTGGCCCGGATTTGCTCGTTCGCTGGCCTCGCGGAAGACGACGTGGACGACGACGAAGAAGAATTTCAGGATAGAGAGCTCTCGAACTCTTAAGAGCGTAACCAGCGAACGAGAATGAGCTACGTATTCCCTTACAGTCGTCGTCTTCGTCGCCGTCGTCGTAGTAAGTTGGAAAAAAAATCGGTACCACGAATAACGGCTACAATTAGGTCGTGGCCATTAAATGTAATATCCGCCAACACGAGGCAGGATTTTCACTGCTAATAACTTGGAACTTTATTTTCCTCGTTCTCGAAGTTATCCTGCTGTAGAAAAATATGCACCAAACACTGATAACACTTATACACACCGTGACGAGGATGCTCCTCGGACGAAGCTGCCGAAGATTCACACTTCGTCGAACAACAACTGCAATGCTCCTACGAACGATGTGGACAGTAGGAGCAACACACCCGGCACGTGGACGCCCTCGACTCGCACCTCTCTCACACGTTGCTCCGGTATGTTTCCACGTAAAATGTCGGACTTCCGCTTTTATTTCACTTTAATACAAGCCACGTGATAGCAGCGGTAAGCAACAGCGGTAGCGAGAATTCAGGTTACGGCCATTAAAACGGAACGCGAAACAGACAGCACTTAGACACAAGTATCCTTCCGCGTAGCCAGGAACTCCTCGTCAGCTTTCACTCAGCCGTTATTTCGGTGTCGCCCCTTTTCCTTAAGGCCAGGACAACGGGTAACTCCAATGCTAGAACTAATGATGATGAGGATTCCGATGACGAGGATAATGATTATATCGACAGCAACAAGAGCTGAGCTATGTGCGCCGGATATCCCAACTTGTTTTTGTTGTCAAGTGTGGCCAGCCGCAAGGAGCCAAATCAGGTTATGGCCATTGAGGCGAGCATGCTCTGCGTGCGGGCTGACAAGGAGGATCACGTGGTTCGTGGTCGACGGAGCGTCCCTCCGTGGCGCGTTCCTTCGCTGATTTTCCCAGTTTCGAGGGGCCCGACCGCGCCTTCCCGAGGACCACTCGTCCCACGGTAGATCCGGACGAGGCTGGTCCGGCCCGATGTAATCTCGGGTGAGGCGACGACTTGGTGAGCGCGACGACGACGGCGGCAGCGGCGGCGACGGCGGCGGCGGATCGTGTCGCTGGCGCCGCTGCGGACCAAGCCACCGGACACCCCCACGGCAGCTCTGCAGTGAACTCGTCCGCCAAAGGGTCAAAAGCACCGCGGCAAAATAATAACAAAACTCCCTAACGGACGGCTAGTGCACGTCTTACCCTCGAACAACACCGTTACACCCTCACACTGCTTATCGCGCCTATGGGGCGCGCACTTTTTCACCCCTATGCCAAGATTTTGGCGGGTTTCCTCGGGCACGCACACTACCTCGCCGTGCATTCACCTCTTTCGCGTCGCCGACACGCTTCGACGAACTTATCCGCACCGCCGGGCCCTCCGAGACACGACTTTGCCACGGCCTCACGCAGCCTCATGGGCCACGCTCGCGCGATACACGACCCGGGCTCGCGGAAGCCTCCTCGAGTGGTTGCGCTTCGCAAAAAAAAGCCGCGAGGCTGCACGAGACACGAGAACTGCACGCCCTAACCGCGGGGACACCGCATCGCTTTCTCGGGCGAACATGGAGCTAGATCCATGAGGAGTACTTCGTCAGACGGCCGTGGCGCGACACTGGCGCTTCATCTGTCAGGGCTACCAACTTATGGAAACACGCGAAAAAAAAGTAATATGTTTATCATAAACAGCATTGCATTATTATTCTTTACAATCTTATACTTTCTCAAGTTGACAATTTTCAAAAATTCTTAAAAATTCACTTACGCTGCAATGGTATACTAACGTGAAGTCCCTTAAACTCTGTCCATTTCATATAGCGGATCACCATCTTTTAACCAATGACCGTTCGCGAAACCTTAACCGTTTTTTGTGAAGCGGGACATTTGAATGTTCTAATCGATTCATCCAATCGAGTCGTTCCGGCAATGTCAGAATCTCATTAGGAACATTATTGCGACTTACGGATATAAATGTCTTCAAGAATTCTATTTATGTCAATGGAAATGGCGATATTACTGCAGTGCCAAATTGCGTGGGTTTGAAGTAACACGTCATACCTTATTCGAACGGATCTACGTATCCTTTATGAACAGCAAAATGCTGACTGATTTTATCTGCACAGAAAATTTTTTGTACAATCAGCCATTAGCTACATCCCGCCATAATACAAGAAGCCTCGATAGTCTACCTAAAGGTGGCACCACTATCCTGGCGCCAGTGACGTACCGACCAGACGGCAGACGTTACATCATGTGTCGCAAGACGAGGCTAAAAAAAGCAAGCTATAGTTTCCCGCCTGTAACTTTCCTCAGATAAAATGGCAATGACGATAATCGTGTTTTTTCCACTCCTACGAAATTCTCCCTCCTCAATCGTCACCCACCATCGTGATTATACTGTATAGCCGCCTCAACAGAGACGACGCTGCTTTCAAAAATACGTTAGCTGAGATACAACGCTCGTGGTCCCGACTTACCGATAGTTGGTGCGCGAGCTAAAGCCGACGGACTCTACTGACTGCATATACAGCGCAATATGTATGCAATGTCATGCGAAAACATCAGTATAGATTAGTTTTTATGCTGTCGCTGGCTTCTGAGAAGCGTGCGTGACGTCCACAGCCAAGCAGCGCAGTTTTCCATCAACAGGCGGAAGTATTAAAGGCATTGCGGACTGTACAGTGAATCAAGCATAATCCCTTTCTCTCCCCGCCCCTTTCTTTCAGCATTAGTCTAAGAAATTTACCTGAATGCAGAATCAGTAGACGCCAGTCACTTTCTTCTATTCAGCATGACAACACCAGCGTTCATTCGATCCTGTAGAAAGCCGTCCACCTGGCACTTCAACAGATTCGAATCGTTCTTGTTGTATTACGAAATAATTTTATGAGTATTCTTCAGATCATTAGTAATTCCATAACCCCCTAAAACATCTACATCTTATTACGAGACGATAAAACTAAACGAGCATTCATATATTCCAAAGAATTATTTATGAAATGATGCGAGAGGGACAAAGCCTCCTTTGTACAGAATTACGATAATTACATTGTCCTGATCTGCAACTGATTATAATAACAAGCTAAACAAGAAATGTGTTTACTGTTAAGAACGTTATATGCATATATATATATCTATAGTATTCAGTCGAAGTACACCAGTCAAATTTAACAGCTGATTGACAAACAGGAATTATCTAGACCTTAGATTTTTAGTTTCTCATACCTCTTGTAGACCTTTTATAATGTTGCTCAATCAAACTAATCAAATATATAGCAACTGTCAAATTTAATTAGTGTGTTTAAATAGATTGATCCCAGGCAAGGTTATTCACACAACAGACGCACAAACTGATGGCAATGCGCTCATTTATTTTTTACGGAAGCATCTTCAAGTGGTAAGGGAGAATCAAAAAGATTTGCACAAGAAAATAATAAGACTGTACTCACATACAATAAGACTGTACATGTTATATTATAAGACCCCATACGATTTTTTTATATTTTGCACGTAAAACTGGCACTTTGCAATGTTAAATATATTTTACCCGGTACATGCAAATAATTGGTAAAAAAAAAAGTCGCCGACTTGACAGGTCAGCATTTATTTTACAGAATATAATACATATTGCGTGGTGCATAATATATTGAGTGACAACGCGGAACCATATCTATTTATAGCAAATGACTTAACATGTGAAATTTTATCACACTTATATTGATAGATAAGTATTGCCATCTTCCAATGGCGCTCGATATGAAGTTCAATGAAGTTCGTTTACGTTAGTATACATATGTATACACGTAGCACTGATCTTTAGAAACTTTCACCGTCCTTACTCGATTATAATTCATTTTTTTTAAATTTAATTTTTCATTTTTATTACACCAGAGTGCACGTGGCTCCTCGTACGGCACCATATAACGGTTATGGTTATAGGTATATTTACAAAGAATAAGTTTACATTACTGTCATGCTTATGGCTTCTTTGTTTATCGTTAGAATGATTTTTAGCATTTATCGTCAGATCGAAATTCACTTGAACCTCATTGGATTATCCGTGTAAGTCGAGAAGGGTTCACTGGATAGTCATTCTGTTACTGCACGTGCGTGACGTTATTGTCATATTAAGGTAATAATCATTCGCCTGATTTCTATTCGGCGAATAATTCGCATCAAATCATTTTCCACAGATATCAATAATGATACTGTATTACAAGCACATTACCTCATCTCGGGATTTATACAAGCCCGAGAAAAAGGTCATTCGTATTTGCCATGAATTAAGTTACTGGCTTTCCTCTTAGTGGTGAACAAATAGATAACAGTTTTTTACTGTATCGTGGTATCATTTATATATCTGTATTAAATTCTGGGTACCTCCTCGTGGCAGGTCAAAGTTGAATGGAATACCGTACGAATAGATAGATGGCAAATTGTCTCTCTCTCTCTATCTCTTTGTTCTAGAATTTACCACGAAAACCACCACGACTACCCCGAAAGGGTGATCGTCCTCCTAAATATTTCCCACGTGGATTTCCACGCGCCTTGTACATATTTTGTTTGCCACGTGATACAAATCCTCTGCCACGCCAATCTGATCCTCTCTGATATCCATCCTGTTCCAATTCAATTTCCTCGCCAGAATCATCCATAGCCATTGGACTTTCACCACGACTGTGCTCACTTCTACTCTCATGAAAATCATCATGATCTTCCATTGAACGTCTGTACGTTGTAAAGCTGTCACGTGAGTAATGATCATGACGTGAACCTCTGTGAGTTAAGAAATGATCTCTGCCTCTGACAGGTGAACCCATACTCCTAGAACCATGATCAGAGGAGCAGACTGGATTATCCATAGGACTGATATCACGATCGTTGGACCTTCCAGATGGAGAAGAATTTCTGGTCCAGGGTCTTTTCTGTGAGGAGTTACTCAGACTCCATCTCAAATCATCAGCCTCACGGATCTTTGGTGTATAATCAAATGTTTCACGCGTGTTCCAATCAAGACGGTCCATGATTGGTCGTTTCTCCTCCTGTACAGGTTGATGCAAATCGTATGGATATACTTGAACACCAAAATCCACCATTGTGACAGTCGCTTGAACAAACTTGGTCCCAGTTTCCACATCTTCTGTTTGACATATCTTCTGATGCATTTGATGACCGACTTTCTTGCTGTAGGCATGCTGTAGTTCCTCTTCCTCGTCCCAATAAATCTTGTTCCTCCCTCTGCGCAGCAGAATAGAGTTCGACGCATGCTCCTCTTGGTCACTCTGCTGATCATCCTGTTTTGGGTCGAAGAAGAATCTACCCTTCATCTTCAACCGTGGATCTTCACTGGGCAGGTCACGTAGAGCATTTTCACAATGTCGCAGAATTTCTGGCTTGAATCCTACGTCCAGAAAAAAAGAAAGGATATCGTCGTATCATTAAACTGGGACACTTCAGACTTCTGACTTTCACAATTTTTTTTCGATTTTAGACTATTTTCTTTGGTATCATTAACGCGCACTTAGTATTGACGTTGACACCCGCGATAACATTTTTCTTTACCTTTTTAGATACGCACTTTGAATAAGGGTTGTTCGTAAGAGTATCATGCGAATCCTACTTGGTCTCTTTAGAGCCAAATTGATAAATATATCAAGATGATGCATTCGTGGTCAATGATCAAAAATGAAAATCAGAGCTAAAAAATATACAATATCTCACCTGGATATAAGACCGGTACACCAGTCGAATCTGAATTATATAAAAGGAAACAAAAAGTAAAATAAATTAGTATCTCAGCACAAATCATAAATAATTATAATCTCGGTTTTCCTTTGTTTTTTAACGAAGCAATGGCATTGAGTATTAATGAATGATGAAAAGGGAACAGAATAAATGTATCTTCGCACCTTTCGCCGAAACAGATGCTTCCAGGAGGCTGGACAAGCTGGTTTTTTCGAATGGCTGGAATGTTTAACGTATTATTAAGGATATTTCTGTATCCTTTGATATTCATTGAACGTGCGAGTACATCACAAATATAATTTATATTATATAAAGAATAGTAATTAAAATTAAATATACTTTTTTAGTGATGTACCCGACGTGCAAGTTGTAACTGGATTCTAAGTATCTGAAGTTTATTACTTTGCTGTTAGAGATAACTGGTGGTTCAGGAGTTTTTAAACGATCCTGAGACGTTCGCAATCCATTGTAAGGTGCAGTAGATCTGGGATCCTTGTAGTTGTGAGACGTGGAAGAACGTGGAGGGCTGTTCGAATGTCTACTGGCTTCTAAAGGTTGAAAACCTGGTGGTTGTTGAAGAGTCGGCATGCAATGCTGATTAAAGACCATATTCGGCTGATCTCCGGATCCTGGAGGAGGTACTGGCTGCGGTGAAGGTACAGGTAGTGGAAGTAGAGATGGACGAAGCATAGGCTGCATGGGCCCAGGAGTTGGTTGGTTATACATCACAGGTCCAGCAGCATAATCAGGCTGCGGAGGTTGCAATATAGGCATTGGGTCGAAGAGCATAGGTCCTGGTGGATGCTGTTCGAAGGACATGAAGTTTGGATGACCACCTTGTATAGGCATTCCTGGTGGTCCTGGATGATGCATATATGGTGGTCGTCCTGGATCTTGATCAGAATACACTGGAGCACCTATTAGTGTTGGAAGTCCTGGCATCGGTGGTTGCATGAATCCAGGGTTCATCTGTCCTGGTGGTATAATTCCTTCGTTCCCAAACTGTCTTGTTATTTCATTGATGAACGGTGATCGTTTTCTACGGCGATCCGGTGATCTGTTATGACTGTGACTTCTACGCCTTGGACTGAATCGATGACCTCCTGGTGAACGACTGTAACGACTTCTATGACGGTCGGTGCTCCGGCTCCTATGTCGATCACGGGATCGGCTCCTTCGGCTCGAAAGCTTTAAGTCGCTGTGGAAGTATTCTAGTACTAATGCAATTGTCGAAACAATATTAAACTTTTTTTCATATAAATGTAAATCATGATCTTTTTAATATAATTGAATTAAAGGAAGTGCTATGTGTCTGATTTCTTACCGAAACAATTGCATTTTCTTATAATTTCACTCTCCGTTTTTTATGGTAAACATATACACGGAGACGAATTTTATTTAAAATCGTACAGATCGATCGAACTAAATGAAAACTACTTGATTGAGATTAATTATTCTAATTTTTTAAGTATTAACTATCCATTTCTCACCGTTCATTCGCATCTCCGCATCTTCTACGTCGCTCAGAGCTCCATCTTCTATCTGTACTAGTTCTCCGTTCCCAACTCAATCTTCTTAAACGATCCGGACTATGTTTACGTGGGCTTCTACGTCGATCTGGACTTATGAGAAGGGGGCTTCTGTGAGAAGTGCGATGATCAGTGTTCAACTTCAAAGGACTTCGTCGTTTTTCGGTACTTATTCTAATAGGGCTCCTACGTCGTTCGGAACTTATCTTTAAGGGACTTCTTCGACGGTCCGGACTGAATACTCCGGGAGTTCGTCGACGATGAGGACTTATTCTAATCCTATCGGAGCTTTTCCGTCGGTATGGGCTCACTTTGTGACGTTCGGTACTTCTACGTCGTTCTTTGTTTCTTGCAACACGAGGATTTGTACGTTCAAGATTCTGCTTGTCGGCTATGTTCTGAATAGCCTCTGCTTCGGTTCCTGGTGGCACTACGTTTTCCGAGTCCAGTAGATGCTTGATCGCCTTCTCCTTTTCGGCAAGGATCTTGCTCTCGGAATCCTTCTTCGTACGCATCTTATCCTTCTCGATGTCCTTCGTACTTTTGGAAGGGTCCCGACGTACTTCGTCCAACTTCTTCTCTTCTCGTTTGATTTTCTCCTTGTCCCGGTTGTTGGAGCTTCTGTGATCACGTCGATTACGATCCCTACAATTAGGCTTGCCATCACATTCTTCTCAAAGGGTGACCCATAGTTAACTACATGCAATAACGGTGGGTCAGTTCTTATTGTACTTATTGATATTGAGAAGAACACATGTCTCCTGCAGGGAGTCAACATAAAAGATGTCATGCCAGATAGAGATAATGAAATGAAATCTAGATTAAGTCAGAACCGTTAGACATGTTGAAATTAACTGCTGTCTATCATGCAAGACAAGATACGTGATGCTAACGTTAATTAAGCTATGGGAGTGGAGATCCATGTCGACCTAAGTGATATCGAGAATCTCCTATACAACCCAGTAATTGACAAGTCTTAAAGAAAATTAGAGCTTACATTACGAACAATCATTAAAGTCATGAGATTCTTATTATGTTCCTAGTATTTAACTTTGAAACGCTGTCATGACATCTACAGTATAATTAAATATGTTATAATAGACAGTCTGTCTAATTCTTTGTGCTACCTAGATGTTTTTCTGTGCTCGCGGTTCTTAGCACGACTGTTGCTCTGCTTGGTAGTAACTTGATGTCGATCTTCTTCACCTTCCCACGCATCAACTACATCTAAACCCTTCATGAAGTCTTCATCATCAAGGAACTCCTGCAAATCTTCATCAGGAATATCCTTCAGTCCATCAATAGCTCGCTGAACATCATCATTAGTTTTTGGTAGGGTCAACGTCTCAATCGCATCCTTAACATCTTGTTGCACCGCCTTGTGATGTGCTAAATTCTCTTCCTCAGACTTCAACGGCGTTTTAGAATCCTCAAACGGTGCGGAACTCATCTCCGTTGAGATGTGCTTCAATATAATCCTAAACGCTGGAAATTACTTAAAAATTCGAATACCTCAACGTGAAATCCTTAAATTTCGTTTATTTTGCTCTTGCCGATACACGCACCCTGTTAGGGTTCGCGTATTTCTTTCTTTCTCCACGTCGTGCACGGATGACTTCGTTCTCCAGCATAAACCAGTTACTCCTAAGGTCGAAGGTGATATCCTTACACTTTGACTTCCCGTAGACGATCTACACCATGTACTCAAATTAAAAATTTAACCAGTCTCTGAATCACCAGTACGCCATGTTGCTTACAAATACCAACATACCGTTTATGGGACAGGACTGGACAGGACCTGCGTGAAGTTGGCCGGCCAACTTTTATTTTTTAAACTTTTTTTTATTCCAATCGTTTGATAGTCATTTGATAGTGTTTGATAGTCTTGTAAAAACGTTTGATAGTCATTAGGCTTTTCAGAAAATTAAAATCTGGTGTGAAGTTGGCCGGCACTTTTTTGTTTCTAACCGGAGTTTGTTTTTCCGGAGCTCAATCGATGCAAAATCGTTTGATAGTTGCGAATTAATTAATAAGAACGTTTGATAGTCCATCGTTTGCAAAAAAAAAATGAGAAAAACCATATGCGAATCAAGGATCCCAATCGATACGATACAATAGATTCCACGATCGGTGTGTCTATTGACTTAGACAAAATATTAAACTTTTTCTATTTCCAAACGTTTGATAGTCGTTTGATAGTCTTATAAAAACGTTTGATAGTCAATAGTTTATCATGATGTAATGGTGTAAACCCACGCATACACCGTTGCATTGCTGCAGCAGACGCTGATTAGTTAAAACGTGTCTGAATACCGTTTCAACCAATCACCGCACTGCTATAGAAGTAATGTTGCATGCACGAGTTTGCCATAGGGTGACAACAATGCATTGTTTATAGACTTCTTTTGAGCCATTCTGAAAAGCCATGAAAGCTGACGTCATATAGGCGTCCATGCCTATGTTCCGATATAAACTTACAGTATTATGACTGTGTTCCTGTTTATCTACTAAAGCATCATCTGAATGTATAGTTCTGGTTGCTCGTAAAAATAACTTATGACAACAATTGCTGACTTACGACTATTATGTAATTATAGAAATGCCTAAAACCTGGCTTATTACGTGTCTTGAAAAAGCTGATTATGGACAAGAAGTAAGGAAACGACAGTCAACTTCACATCGTACATCAATTTGGCTTTATCTGAAAGAAACTATTGACTATCAAACGTTTTTACAAGACTACCAAACACTATCGAACGACTGTCAAACGATTGGAAGTAGAAAAAGTTTGTTATATTGTCTAATGGCCAATTTCTTCACCTTCGGATAAAATGTATCCTGCGGATAAACTTCTAAAACTTGAAAATGATTGGTTAACTGGCGATTTATCCGGAGGATACATTTTAACCGAAGGTGAAGAAATTGGCCATAAGTCAAAGGATACACCGATCGAGGAATCGATTGTATCGTATTGATTGAGATCCTTGATGCGCATATGGTTTTTCTCATTTTTCTTGCAAACGATGGACTATCAAACGTTTTTATTGATAATTTCGCAACTATCAAACGATTTTGCATCGATTGAGCCCTGGAAAAGCTATATGTCCATTCGTAGAAGCTTTTTTACGTGCGGCGGAGCACTATAGGTGTGTTCGAGAATGAGCCGGGAGCGGAGAGCGCATCGTTGTTTCTCTGTTCATTGGATGCATTTGATCGCGACACTGATATCGGAAAGAAACTATTGACTATCAAACGTTTTTATTGATAATTTCGCAACTATCAAACGATTTTGCATCGATTGAGCCCTGGAAAAGCTATATGTCCATTCGTAGAAGCTTTTTTACGTGCGGCGGAGCACTATAGGTGTGTTCGAGAATGAGCCGGGAGCGGAGAGCGCATCGTTGTTTCTCTGTTCATTGGATGCATTTGATCGCGACACTGATATCGGAAAGAAACTATTGACTATCAAACGTTTTTATTGATAATTTCGCAACTATCAAACGATTTTGCATCGATTGAGCCCTGGAAAAGCTATATGTCCATTCGTAGAAGCTTTTTTACGTGCGGCGGAGCACTATAGGTGTGTTCGAGAATGAGCCGGGAGCGGAGAGCGCATCGTTGTTTCTCTGTTCATTGGATGCATTTGATCGCGACACTGATATCGGAAAGAAACTATTGACTATCAAACGTTTTTATTGATAATTTCGCAACTATCAAACGATTTTGCATCGATTGAGCCCTGGAAAAGCTATATGTCCATTCGTAGAAGCTTTTTTACGTGCGGCGGAGCACTATAGGTGTGTTCGAGAATGAGCCGGGAGCGGAGAGCGCATCGTTGTTTCTCTGTTCATTGGATGCATTTGATCGCGACACTGATATCGGAAAGAAACTATTGACTATCAAACGTTTTTATTGATAATTTCGCAACTATCAAACGATTTTGCATCGATTGAGCCCTGGAAAAGCTATATGTCCATTCGTAGAAGCTTTTTTACGTGCGGCGGAGCACTATAGGTGTGTTCGAGAATGAGCCGGGAGCGGAGAGCGCATCGTTGTTTCTCTGTTCATTGGATGCATTTGATCGCGACACTGATATCGGAAAGAAACTATTGACTATCAAACGTTTTTATTGATAATTTCGCAACTATCAAACGATTTTGCATCGATTGAGCCCTGGAAAAGCTATATGTCCATTCGTAGAAGCTTTTTTACGTGCGGCGGAGCACTATAGGTGTGTTCGAGAATGAGCCGGGAGCGGAGAGCGCATCGTTGTTTCTCTGTTCATTGGATGCATTTGATCGCGACACTGATATCGGAAAGAAACTATTGACTATCAAACGTTTTTATTGATAATTTCGCAACTATCAAACGATTTTGCATCGATTGAGCCCTGGAAAAGCTATATGTCCATTCGTAGAAGCTTTTTTACGTGCGGCGGAGCACTATAGGTGTGTTCGAGAATGAGCCGGGAGCGGAGAGCGCATCGTTGTTTCTCTGTTCATTGGATGCATTTGATCGCGACACTGATATCGGAAAGAAACTATTGACTATCAAAAGTTTTTACAAGCATATTAAACACTATCGAACGACTATCAAACGATTGGAATAAAAAAAAGTTTAAAAAATAAAGGTTGGCCGGCCAACTTCACGCAGGTGATCACTTGACTGGTGTCTTGTGTCAATTGTGACAGGAGTGTCGAGTTTGTCAAAACTATCACATTACACGACCAAAGTATTCAATTTCTTAATTATCATGGAGGAAAACACAACTTGTGATTTAGCCAATGTTATATTGGACGAACGCATGAGAGCTATAGTAGAAGTATGTATATTGTTAATTTATAACCAACTTTTCACTTTTGTATTGTACGTGACTAATTTGAACATAAAATATAATATGAATGATTCCCAGAATGGAAACAAGACTACCAGGCGACCAAAGCGAGTGTTACATTTCTCAGACGGTGTTATAGAAGAATATTCTTCAGAAGATGAGACAGACAACATAGAAAACAATAATCAGCTATCCACCATTGATCCGGTATGTTACAAAATATCCTGTCTAGTTGAGTATGCATAAAGTCATTACTAGAAACAAATATTATTCGATTCTATAGAAGTCACTGAATTGGGTACCCTGGGTATGGTATCAAACTGTTTGGGCCAGCTCTAAGATGTTGAATGGATGCGATTATGTGGGAGAATACTTGGCAAATTTTTTTGGTATCACATCACCTAAATACCAATTTGAAATAAATGAGTATCATCGAATGCAAGCATACGAAAACGAGATGCTACGTAAGGAGGATCTGGAAATGGGTGGTTGGAATGAACAGAAGCGAAATAACCTTATCAAAGACAATAAGGTAGAAGAACATCAACAGAGGTTCTAAGCGTGTTTGGCTTTTGGCTGACAGCTTCCTGAAAGAATTAGTGTGCTGTGTATTGGGAAAACGGACCTGAGCAATGTGCCTTGCTGCTTATTAGAACGATACTAGTAATATTTAAATCAAGAATGTCTGAGGGAAGTTGTATTTATCTTTTCAGCCATGAATCACAGATCTTCTGATGCTCTAACATCTACGTTAACATGGGTCCAGCAGATGTTTGTAAATAAAAATTAATCTTCATACAGATTGTAGCGGTATATTGAAAAAAAAATGCATCATGTATATTTTGTTTAGCATTGTAGGATGCAATCTTATCGATGGATGACTCTATTAATGCACCATTGCAATTATTGTCTGCTATCCAAAATGGATAAGAAACAATTCCGTTTATTCAGCTTAACATTCACAGAGAATCATATTTTATATGATGAAAAAGGCAAGCCCTTAATGTATTCAATTTTTGAACACCTTTATACCAATAATATTGTATTGTATATTTATATATGTATATACAGGGTGTTCGTTATGAAACGCACTGTAGTAACATCATTGCATTCCTTGTCAAATTCCAAAGAATACGTGTATTTACATTTTTTATTTCGTATATCAAAATTTCAAGATAATCAAGGTTGAAGTTGCAGTAATGCGACCAATCAGAACGTGTTTAAACAGAGCGTAGATGACGACGCGAGCCAGCCCGCAAGGCCTGCTTACAGTAGGCCAATAACACTAAGATTATCGTCTCTTGTATCTTACTCAATTACATGCAGATAAACAGGGACACTACGGCGATAATCTTAGTGTTATTGGTCTCCTGTAAGCAGGCCTTGCGGGCTGGCTCGCGACGTCAACTACGCTCCGTTTAAACGCGTTCTGATTGGTCGCATTACTGCAACTTCAACCTTGATTATCTCGAAATTTTTATATATGAAATAAAAAATGAAAATACACGTATTCATTAGAATTTGAAAAGGAATGTAACGCTGTTACTACAGTGCGTTTCATAACGAACACCCTGTATACTTCAGTGCAATCGTACAACGCTTGTATTTATTAATAATTATACAACATTCTTTAATAAATAATACCATGACTCGTTTAATAAATGCACTGTTATTCCATGACATATGAACTACATATTACTGTCGCACTGTGGACTGAAGTCCAAAAGATTATGTAGTTGGTCATTAAGAATGACATAATTAAAACAGAAATCAGTCTGTATTGTTGCACAAAATAGTATGCTTTGAGACAAACGCCACTATATTGTGCGAATTCTTCAGATACAGGAACTTTCATAAAGTCATGACCCACTTTTAAATTTAATGTCAAAGAAAGTTTAAGTTTCCGGTACAAATCTGTGCAAAGCACTAGTCAAAACCAGCAAAGAACTTTGTAGGCCTTGAGGCAAATGACGCTGCAACCATGCACCCTTGTACTGTTCTATATGTGCTAGCATTTTGTTTGCTATGTCCGTTCTGAAGGTGGGTGGTAAATTGCAAACACCCAAGTTAATGACTGCAAGGCCCATATTACTATTTGGATTGACACCAACTCCGATCAATGTTCTACCAATTCGACATGCTGTTAACATTAAATCAGCTGTCAATTGAAGCTCTTGCAACTCCATCGAAGCAAACTTTGATGTAAGATTTCCTTCATATAAGGAATGTGCTACTCGTTTGATTTGTTTAGTCATTTTCTGCAAGACGAAAAATAAATACTCACAACTCACTTTAATATTAATACTCCAAGATTGAATCTTACCATAAATAAATCTGCAGACAGATATTCCAAATTAACGTTATCAGGATCAGTAAGTAATCTATAGAGCGTTGATCCCCGATTATCGGGAATTTGTTTTAAATCATTTGCTCCTTGATTTTTGCTCAGAGTCAATACCAGGGTATCAACTCGACCCAATTCCATTACAGCGCATCCAACTTTACTTTCTGAATCTTGAAACACGTGGGTGTCCAGTAATTGCGTTACGGATCGCTGACTGGAATGCAAAAAGAAAGAATTTAGTTCAGGTTTCTTTACATTCAAAATATAATCACGTGATAAAATGACTCACTGCTGCCTTGGTGTTCCAGGTGATTGATTAGATTCAAAATTCTCAAAACACCCTAGCTCTATTTCGGTATTTGGATTCCATGCCATACCAGCTCCAATCAAATAACCTACCCAAGCGAATGGATGTGGAGTCAAATGATGACTTCCAGACCAGTGCGCAACTACTATACCAATAGAATCTTGTTCCAAAGCAGTTTTTATTGCATTTTTTGTATTGGCGTAGGTAGATGCTGGACATCCTCCCAAACTATTGTAACTAGCAGTTCCGGAACTGGGTAACACGTTGCCACCAGCAATTTTAAAAGCCTCTGTCCATTCAGAAAAATCATAGTCTGCCTACAAAAACAGATGGTAAGCCCCATGAGGAAGTACCTTGCAAGTATAAAGCGTATGAAGGAGAATCTTTATAAATTGCGACTATACGTATTTCAACAATATTCATTACCTGAAATCCATATTCCACCAAGACCACGTTACTTGGGACACTGCGGAATTCTGGCTTGGAATGTAAACCATTAGAACACAGTAACAAGGTGGTGTCTGAATTTAAACTGAGAATATGCCAAAGTTCCTGGAGGCACGTGTACGACCTAAATACTTCAGACATATCTGTCTCGACAGTCTCATTAATAGATAGACTTGAATCAAGACTCTCTGGTTGTACTAGAAGACTAGCTAATCTAGGTCCAACATGAACGTAAGTTAGACTCGGAAAGGTAGCAAGAAGTTCTTGAAAAACAGGCCACATTTGTGTAAGATGCCTTTGACTGACGTTAGAATCAACATCTAGTGCTGGTACCAGATCCAAATGTCGATCTCTGCAATGAAAATTGAATAATTATATATCAATGAATCATTAAGCGTACTACCACTACTGTATAAAGAATACAAATAAAGTATACCTGCAGTAACGATCTAGCGTGACCATTTCTGATCTCGAATAACAAAGTTGCCAATCGCAACTGGGTGTGAGTCTTGAATACAAATGCAAATGTGATACTTTGAATGACGACCATAGATCAATGGTATGTAATAAGTAGTCCAAAGTCGGTATTCGACCTCTTGGTGAAATATCCAGGAGTATCCCTCTGTGTTTAAACCGAGGCTCATCTTTTATCAGAACCGCCTCAATTTCGCACACCTCGGATTTATTTTGATTTTTACTCAAACGCAATATCTGAACAAACGTGCAGACAGCATAATGTAAGCCGGCAAGACTACCAGCACTTACTTTTATCGAATTTTGAGATACGTGGAGCTGATAACCATCCGCGACGTTAAACAATTTTCTATTCACTATGCATTCTATTCGATTATCACCAAGAGACCTTCCAGAACCTGGCTGGACCTCACCGATCTTTACGTCGTATCCCAGTTCCAGTAAATGAGTCCTGCTGATTTCCCAAACGTCCAGTATTTTATGTATGGATTCACTACCCTGAATTATTACAAGAATAATAATAATAAAAGATATATTTATTCGATATTAGATTGAAAGAATAAAATGTGCGAGATATATTTACTTGTATTATCGATATAAAAAGTTCCTTTCCAGCGATAAACGGAGGTGATAAGGGTCCAAGTTCTAGGACAGTTTTTGGCTCTGGCCAGATAAGACCATAAATACCTTCTTTATCTGCTATACTTCTGACCGGACTTTCGCTACTGGGTTCTCGCACAGGAATATCGTACAGTTGATCAGACGACTTTATGGAATCAATAGATAGTTGACTGACATTGGACGTGATAGTTTTTGGATTGGGAAAGTTCGATTCTGTGAAGGATCCATTAGGACTGTGCATTGCATCACCCTCCTGAGATACAGAACTTGATACGAAACTTTGCAGTAGTCCATATAACACAGGCTTACTACGAGCCAGATCATATGGAGTTTTGCCAGCAAATTTTCTGAAATATTCATATATTTTATTTTCATTTTTCTGTATCTTCATAATAAATCATATATTATAAAATCAGGTAATGACGATTCTTACCCCTTGACAGCTCGTACAAGAGGATTTGCACCGTATTGTAATAGTTCTTGACAAATACTGACATCAGCACGATTCACTGCATCGTGCAAGGGCGTTGCCCCGCAACCATTTTCAGAATTAACATCAGCTCCACGTTCTGATATAACACATTGTAGTATATATTAATAATTACTATTATATGATAATAATATGATATAAAATATCATATAATATCAAGTTTATACATAGCATCAAGAAATTTACCTATCAAGCACGTGATGATATCCTTATTGCCGTAACATGCTGCCCAATGTAATGGAGTATTTTTACTTCCCTCAGAATCCCAAGAATTTATATTAATACCTGCTGATAACAACTGAATGACCCTACTGACCCTGTAAATATTATTCAACCATTGCACATACAGAAAATAATGAAGTGCAAGGAATCTAAATACTTGTATTATATTAACTAATAAAAAAAAACTCACTCAGATGCAGCAGTAGCTGTTAATAGCTCCTCTACATAAATGCGTCGTATGACATCACTGGATGCTACGTCAACAGCATTGAATCCTTGTGAGTTTTGGATTGCTGGGTCTGCACCACAATTCAACAAGGTCCGAACAACATCTACTTGGTTTGTCTGAGAATATAAATTATTAACAAGCAGTGACACAAAGTTTAGGACACACAAGTAATATACAAACAAATATACTCTTTATAAAATTATCCCAAGCACATACCTTTGAAGCATAGCAGAGAAATGTTCCATCCTCTAACATGGGTTCATTTAGTATCTTTTCTCGTGTGATACCCTCACCCGCGTTTCCATTCTCACCTGATAATACATCATTCAATGAGAATAAATGAAGTTAATCAATAATTAATAGATTTCACGTGAATGATGATTAATTTAATTACTTCAAAAGCTAATATAACTGAATTAAAATATTTTCTTTGAAAATTTCAAGAATGCCGGATGGAACAGGTTATACACAAAATATTAAACGGTATACGTACACGCATCTAAAAATGTTCTTATTATATCAGTACGGCCGTGCTCGATAGCCGTCCGTATATTTTCGACGATATCTTGCATGTCTGCTCCTCGTCTGGTTAGCGCTATATTTGCATGTTTGATCCCGGAAAAACTTAAGCGGTTAGCTAGCTGTCAAATTTATATAAGTACATAAATGAAATCAGTAAGAGATGGATGATCAAAAGCGTCATCCATGAACATATCAATGATATGTAGTAAGCCACGTGTATCAAAAATATGTGTAAAGTAGAGACAATCATTTGATCGTCAAAATGAGAGTCTCAACAGTTAGATATCATTTTATTTTAATAGTTTATTTATTCAGCATAAGTGAGTGATTTATGTAGTTTTATTAAAAATATCTTATTTAATAAAGAATAGCAGCAAACAAGAACGTAAGTTTTGTCATCCATAATGTTGACGCGTAGTCCATGACAAGATTGCAATGAATGCTATTATAAAAACTGTTCTATTAATTATTTATTAAGATACTTGTTTAGTCTAGTAATTAAACACCACTGGTATTTGCTTGGTTTTATGTACTTATACCAGTGGTAATGGAATGGAGTACTGCACGGAATATAGGTATATACGGAGTATAAACCACAACATCGTTCCATGCATAAATTATAACCCAATGTTAAATATTCATGAATGTTTACGACGAGCAAAACGATAAGAATTTGCATATTTGTGATTTGATGTCTTTCAACTGATTATTTAAAGCGTGCGTTATTAATATTGGATTAATAACAATAATGAAGTAAAACCGAACATGACTCTGAAATACAGCATAGTAATATTAATACTTTGTACCTTATCTGTTATAATATTCGTTACAATAATTGAACAAAATTTTAATGTTGAAAATAGAAATAGTGAACGTTTAAGACTACGTCCTGCAAGATTTCCTGACAGTAAGTTAATGGACCTACAAGATTTTAAATATGTAATTGGTGCTACGTGCAATGCAAGTGCACTTGTATGGATTGTGACATCATACTCAGGTGATCCTACAACCAGAAGTGCTCTTCGTCGAGCTTATCCAAATGATGAATTACAAAAACTTGGAATTCATAGGGTATTTCTACTGGGAATGTTAAATGGCGAAGCAAGCCGCAAAACTCATGTAACCCAAGATTCAATATATGACGAATCATTGAAATTCAAAGACATCGTCCAAGGAAACTTTCAAGAAGCATATAGAAATTTAACTTATAAACATTTGATGGGTCTCAGGTGGGCTGTGAATACTTGCCATCATGCAAATTATATAATGAAGATGGACGACGACATTGTTGTCAACCTCTATGACATACTAAATATACTCCAAACTCGTGGAACTATTGAAAATACTTTAATGGGGTATGTTTTAAATAATATGCTTCCTATTCGTGAACCAGCAAACAAGTGGTTTGTCACACAGGAAGAATTCGCTCTCAATGTGTATCCAGAATTTCTTTCTGGTTGGTTATACATAACTAGTTCTAAAATAGCTGAAAAGTTAGTTAGTTATGCACAGGTATATCCAAAATATTTTTGGATTGATGATCTTTTTATCACAGGTATTTTAAGGAATGATCTTAAGATAGGATTCCAAAGTATTCGTAAATTTTATGCGACTGACTATCGGTATCTTAAATGTTGCATTAAAGGGAAGGAAAAACGTTTAAAGTGTGAATTTGCAATAGGGCCGAATGGTGGAAATGCCGAACTCCAAGTAGAGTTTAAAGATTTTGCTCAATTCTGTCGAACCAATTGTTCACCACGGACAGAAGAATTCTCTGTAAACAACACGTGCATCGTAGCACATGAAGAACCAAATTGGGTCAAAGGTAGAGCTCTGATTGAGCCAGTAAGAATGTTATGATAAAGAAGATACAAAGATCAAAAATCATTTACGATCTGAATTATACCATCCCTGCCATATTCATGAAGAGATTACTTAATAAGATTGTTAATATTATAGTGCATTTATACACATAGATATCTACATATATTAAATATTTCTCTATATTTTGTAAAACAATTAATGTACGAATATATTAAACGAAAGCCACTATAATCCACTTTTCACTTATCGTTCTCTCTCGTTGTTCTTATATATTTGATGACTACAAATCATCGACAAAAAAGTGACACAAAGATATATCGTTGACTTTATGATTTTAAATAACTGCGATGTGATTTATTAAAAATATAGGTACTTTCCTATTTACATGATACAACAGTTGTAAGCAACCAGTCTACGCGTATATATAGCTCAATGTTTCTTCTTTTGCAACTTAAAACTTGCACCTAGACAAAGATGATCACTACCTACCGTGAAATTTGGTATGGTCGGAAACAAATTACATTGCTCGACGGTGGGCAATGTATACTTTTCAAAAGGTTGAATTTCAGTATAAAATATATAATCGACGGTAATCCATTTGCCTTGATTAGTCGTCGCTTCCGGATTACCGTATCGATCCGCATGCTGATATACGTTTTTGAATTTAAAAGGATGCACTAAGCGTCCTGACGAAAAACTGGCATAGTTTCCGTCAATTAATTCTATCTTCTGACATTTGCTTGTTTTAACGTCAACTTCTGATTTCTTGTAAATGGAAGCTGGGTCATTGGTAGAGTTGCTCTCGTCGTGTAACTCCTTCGTTTCGCTATTTTCGAGCTAAATAACGTCATGAATAGTAAATTAAAAGATCAGTAATAGTGTTTCGTTATACAACCGGATACCCATTGACCTACCATTACTCTGCCGTCGCCTTCACCACGTAATCTTTTTTTCAGAATATTATAATGTTGGCAACTATCCGTCACGTATAGTCGAGGTGGAATAAGCATGTTTGATAAACGACAAAATAAACGATATTCCGCTGGTTCTAAATTTCTTGCTTTGCCAACATACTCGAAGGTACCTTCAGTTATGAATTTATAAACTCCGGTGTAAGGCTCGAGATTAAAATCACCTGCCAAAATGATAGGATGGTACCTAGCTCCCGTCCTATAAATATGTGAATTAAGAAAATATTAATTGACCATACCGTTATTATAATGAGAGCGCTAATAAGAAAATCTTACGGTGTATTTTCAATGAAAGCAATTCTTTCCAATTCTGCGAATAACATCTGTATTTGGCCCAATCGTACGTCATTTCTTCTTGGATTATAAAGTAGATGAGTTGTTGCTATTACAATTTGAGTGTCAGGACTATCCTTCAGGGATAGTTTGGCAATCAAGCCTACGTTGTCTCTACTTAATAATTCTATACCGGATTGATATAATTCCACTTTTGCGTGATCCACCAGATTGAATTGATCTGAACGATAAAGAAGGAGGAGGCCATCCTCTTTGTCGTTTGTTCGCTTTTTATAGAGATATGCGTATCCAAGATCCCTAAATGGTTTTACTATTTCGCCTAGGTGGTCATTTTGCACTTCTTGAAGGCATATCACCTAAATATCATTATACCAGACTAGTACAGACGTGTAAGAGAAATAGTAATGTTTATGACGTCTATGAACTTACGTTGGCATCTGCTTGGAGTATTTCTTGAAACAATAGCGACTTCCGACTCTCCCACGAAAGTGCTCTTTTGTCGTGAGCTTTATACAGATATGAATGTGTTTCTAAGAGATTCTGTGCCAAGATGTTGAATGACAGTAACCTTAGTACGAAGGTATCATTGGAATTTATTGCCAACTTCTCTGAAGAGATCATAGATTAGTTATATAATGAATTTCGTTGCTCTTGGTAATAAACTGCATTTCAATTAGAACTCTTGTTGTACAGTTTATTAGAATCTAAAGAATTTATATTTGTCCTTGTTTAAAAATTAGAATTGCTTGATTAATATTTTTTCAAGGTGACCCACTATGAATTTATAACTCCAATGCTGATAATAACACTGTATACACTTCTGTCAGTCATATATGATTTAGTTGTTACCATATAAATAAGTAATTTCATCGTGCTACTGATTTTCTTAAAAAGTATATAAAATTCGCATACCTTTTCCAAATCTTTTCCACTTGCGCAAAGCTTTATAGTCCTGTTTGGACATTGGGCATTTAATATCTAATGATCCTCCACATTCTTTCATTATATCAACATCCATACTGTCAGATCTGCTAGTATCTTCGCCATCACTCAATACAATATCATCACCTATATTAACTGGTACTTCATGTATGGGCGAAGTGTCATTTAATACGTAACATGACTCAAGATAAGGTTCCATTATTGTTTTATTAAATTCTTGATGAGTTGCTGGGCTTGATATGGACTCCAGTAGGTTTAAATATGTGGAGAACAGAGCTTCTGGAACGAATGTACTTTTTCGAATGTTTCTGATAAATAAATGCTTCAATGGTACTTCCGACATATGAAGAATCTGAAATATCATCATTACAGACCTCAGAAGCCAAGCACAGTGAAGAGGCCATGATAAATAAATCTGCAAGTGTCTGTTTATTTAGCAAATACCACTAGCTTCCAAATATCCCAAATGGACAAAACTCTTAAAGGTCAAGCAATGTAAAAATGTGAAAAACATGAACGTCCCAAGTTCAAAAACTGAACATACCTTTACCTCCTGTGAAAATATTGCAACGTGGACGTTTCGACAAACCACACTTGCTACGGAGACAGTTGTCAGCAGTCTGGTGGATGCGCTCATTTATTCGAATAAATTTTAATTTATGTCAGTCACGGTATAATTTATACACTGTCATACAGAGAAACAAGATATTATCGAAGAGTCTTCTCTCTGGCAGAACATCCTTGTTCAAAGAGTGAGGTTAGTTATTCCATTGAGGTCAGAACGAGGTATTACCCGAGGATTAAATTGTGATCAGCGCACCGAACTTTCGCAATTAGTTCCTTCTAGTTTCGATTTGAAATGCAAATTATCGAAAAGCATCTATGTATGTACGGGATTCGTGCCTTTGTAAATTTCACGCGCCAGTCCGGCAATAGACTTTGGTTGTCGATAAGGAAGAATCAATGGTGCCGTTACATAGCGCAATAGCAAGAACCTCCGCGGTTAAAGGTGGCTGGCTACAATATGCCTGTGCCATCGATATTACCAATCGCACAATAGTACTTCTTTATCGATGCTAGTAGGTCGTTTCAATTTGCTTCCAATTTACATACCTTTCTGCAATTCGTACTGAGCAATACGAACCGCCCGAATTGTCACAAGGTCTTTTTTAACATATTTTTTACCACTCTCATTTTCTCTTTGTTTCCATTTCAATGAGTTCAATTCCTGAACTTGAAGGATCAGCTATTAGGAATTAAAACTTTTTCAACTCTAAATTGATAATATAAAACCGCTGATTGAATGGAACATAGAATTTATTATAATAGTTACTTGGAAGAAGGCACTAGAAGTCGATGTATTTATGTTTTCACAGTACATTAACATAACGCGATTGGAAACGTAATATTATTGTATGTAACTATGAGTCAATAGATGTATGTATATGTATATACATATATATTCATATATGAAAAGATTCGACGCGCAATTTATATTTATAACGTATCCTATAAAATGCATCTCTCCATCACCTCTTTAAAATTGTTCTACAAACAAAAGTTTTTCAATAAAAATAACACTCTTTTTAAAAAAAATATGTGTGCGATGTAGCTCAATGTTAATTCTCTATTTGATTTTGTGCAATTTCTGTATGAAGAATGGAGATTTGTATATTAATCTGATAGCGCAATTGTATTGAAACTTGCGCTGCGTCCTGATAATATTAAAATGATGTACGAGAAACGATAATGAAAAATACTAACAATAAAATGATTCTAAAGTACAACTTGTGAAAGATATACGTATCTCCATAAAACTTTTAATTACTGAACTGATCTAATTATCATATACTAATTCTGGCTGATCATATAAGTTTCTGTTAGTTACTAAAAGCATCTTTGCTAATAGGAACATAATAACTTCTACAGCTTTTCGCCTACTATCACAATTTTCAACATATTAAAATTTAAAACCAACGATTATACGATAAACGAGTCACAATTGTGCCCTTGATTGAGAAAGAATGGTCTATTTTGCGACCATCTCAAATTGGCCTTAATTCAATTTTTAACCTATTCTTTCGTTTTGTCACAGTTCATTTTGTAGAATATTGAAAGCAGCACCCATTGCCCAGCTTAGTTCATGGCCATTAATCTTCCTGTATAACTAAAGGGAATAAAATGTAAGTAGTGTTTTTTTATAATAACAGCGGTATAGTCCAAGAGATAAAATAACAGAACTCACATATAATTTAGTGGTTGGTTCCAGACCAAATCCATCAGTAAGTAAAACATAAATAAAAGTCAGATCCAAACATGCAAAGGGCTGATCTATATTTGGGTAATCGCAGGAATCCACAGCTGCCTTGATAAATTTATCGACCTTGATAACACCACCAGTGAACGGATCTATTAAACCCGCCTGTAAATAACATATATTAAATATTACATATTTGTGTTTGTTTCCTGTAGATTTCCGTATTTACTTTACAATATCGAGCTTACCTCCGTAGCGCGATCGAAATAGTAAGAAAAGGCATAGATTTCGTGTTTACTCAAGCCTAAAGGTCTATTCGTTATGGTGCTTACGTAATTTTTCACAATTTTTAAGCATTCTGAAAATCGTACAACCGGTCTGTTTTCCTCAGCTCCAGCAAAGTTTTGCGTTTTAAAGATTTTGTAAGTCCCATTCTCGGGACCTTTAACAATGTAATTGAGTCCTCCGTAATGCCACTCTGTTGAAACTATTGGATTTATGCATTCTGATCTTATTTCTATGGCATTCTTGTCTTTATTACTTTTACTATTCATTCCATGTGTTATAATTTCCTTTCGGGCAGCCATAAGACCCATTCCAAGATAACTATGAGTGTAGACACTCATATTGTGATTAAATACGTTTATGGCATAGATATATTTCTCTTGATTCTTTATGTTTGCATTATCAGGTGCAAATGTTACTTGGGTAGAGCCTCCGCCTAGATCTAGAGCTGCTACTGCATCAGAACCATGTGTCCTGAGACGATCTTGTAAGAAATTCACAGTAAACCAAGAAAATATGCCTTCATCGGTGCCATCCATTATAGCAACAGAGTTTTTGGAAACAAGGAAACCAGATGTCTCAAATAATTTGCTACATTCCTTTAGTATATCATTGGCTTTGTGTCCAGGTAATAATCTTAATCCTGCTGTAGCTTTCATGCTAAGGGGTGTACGAGACCACTCAGATCTTGGAATCACAGATTTAGCCTTATCCAATAGAACTGTTAGAGATTCTGCTGCTTTGTGCGGTTCATCAGCGAATGAACTCAGTCCTGGCGTTATTTGATGGTACAGCTCAGCATCAAGAATAAGATTAGCATCAAGTATAGACTCATGAAAACTGAATGCTAATACGCGACTGCCTGTTGAACCGGCATCAATTATAACTGCATAAATAGGCTTTTGCAAATTGAAGGAAAAAGCAATACTGTCAATAGTTTTCCTACCAATTCGAACAGGCTTCAAATCACTAGATATTACTATGTAGCCTAGAAATAGTAGGCTTAACAATGCTACTATTATCGTATACATTCTTTTCATTTTTGTTGCTTTCTTCGAACGGGGTGCGACCTTACTATCTCTTGAAATCCCATTTTGAGAGGTCACCTGAAAAAAAGACATACAGTCAATTAATGTAGATTACGTCAAAACAAACTTCACATAATAATAGATATTTTACATTATGAGATTGTGAAAAGGAATGAGATAAACTTTTGCTCTATAAAATTAATTCATTTTTATATGACTAATGTAATGTTCACATATTCAAGAACAGAAACAACTATCATCATTGTGAACCATAATGTTGCAAATAGGTACACAAAAGCAGTTGGCGGTTATCATAATGAATAAGAAACGAGCTTATGGTTCACTAAATAATAAATTAAAGATACATTATTGTAATGGAAAACTGTATTATCTACTGCCCTATGAGTCAAGGTAACCCCACAAAAATTGCGAAGTTAATATTCGCAAATTAGTACGCACTGGCCTTGGATCTTACATCGTTTATACACTCACAAGTGTGTATCGCATTTAGCCAGGCTTGTGAATTTTCATACACGAAAATTACTAAGCTGAAAGAAAAGAATAATCGCTGGGTCACTCTAAGATAAAGTCACCGAACATAATTGTAAGCAGCCACGATCTGTGAGCTATCATCACCAAGTATGACGTTAAATATTTGTGTAGTTTAAAACTTATTTGCTTCTTTCAATTAAAATAAAACAATTATCGAACAAGAAAGAAAGATCTTTAAAACAACGATAGGTTGTTTATTATTAAAACCTAAAAAGACGAGAAATAAAGTATGTTGAGTATTACCAACATCTATAGTATTATTCATCTCTGGTATTACTCCGTTTGAAAAGATTGCATAATCGAAGTCACGTGGTACGCCGAAATAAAAAAAATGACACGCTAAATGTAGAAAACTAATTCTCAATCTTACTTAATATTGTATCTTATAGTTCGTATTATTTCCCGCAACAATAAATAAATAAAATATCAATGAAAATTCTTGTAATGATATTGACATCATTGCACATACCTTTCTATGTTTTACTTCCATGCCTGACGCTGCCGTATTAAGATCGTACTTGAGAAAAGAGTTTCAACAGTTTGAATGAAGAGAATTGTTAGAGAGAAATTTTTGCGACATAAACCGTAACAAGTTTACAAGGAAATGAATAACTTGTAGAATGACAGGCAGTAATGATCAAGCTCAACTGTTATTCTGCTAGCTCATGTAAAATCATCAAGTCATTCAGCACTTAAAGATAACGGTCAAGGTTCTTAGCTTGAATATCCCACTATTAAGTATTTCTTGCGTTATATGAAAGCCGCTTAAAACGGTTTAAATGATCGAGGATACAGATAATTTTGGAGATGATTTGTACTATTCTTATCTATGGTGTTTTAATTTGTGTAATAATAAATGAGTCAGTATTTTTATAAGCGTGGTATGTAAGAAGAAAGAATACGAAGTTAATTGATTCCTTATGAATGATGTAGTATGATGTATTAAAACTGTAGTATAACGTCTTTGGTATTGTTATATTATATTGTGGATGCATTATGACAATTTTGGAAGAAATGAATGAAACTTCAAAGATATAAGTTACACAGTGATTTTATAGACAGTCAATTTTTCGGATAGTGTTATAATAATAGTGTTTAATAGAATTTGAAGTGATATTGGAGCACTGTAGTATGTACAGTTAAAAGTTTATTGTATTTTATTATAATTGTTGCTTATGCATAAGTCATTGAACTGTAGATAATGTAGCATATAAAATTCTGCTAACTATATAAAACTGCTATGTTTTAATATCATACCTTCTAATCATAATTTAACAAATGACAAGACAATGCCAGTTTCATTTGCATTATTAATACATAATAATTTATAAATACAAAAGAAACTTGGAGAACATATTATATTACTCTAATCTTATCAGAAGTGAGATACAATTAAACTTAAATAAACTGATAGGAGTATGACTGCAATAATGAATAATGTATGAATTTAATAAAAAATTATTATCATCTTTACTTTCACAACAGCGTGAGAGATATAATTTGATTTTACTAATCATGTTCTACTAATGTCTTATAATATTCTGCATGGTATTCACACAAGTTGTACGTATCAAAGCACGTAAAAGTACTGTAAATAACTTAGAAACTTTAAATTAATATACAACACGCCATTTCTTTAATCACTATTTACTTGAAATATTTTTAAACAGGGTGGTTAAATTGAGAGGTTAGAATTTTTATGGTTTTAAAAATAGATTCCTGTTCACCAAGTGCAATTATAGATTGGAACAACACTATGTATATATATTTCTATCTGCCAATTCGTTTTTCCAAATACCATGAAGTTCAGGAAGTAAAATAGCACTGCTCCAAAATATAGTTACAAAATGTTTAATTGAGTAACTAAGGTCATGGCAAGAAGTTAGTGTATAAAATAGGTGACATTAAAGAAATTTTAAAACTATGATTGTTATTATTGACAGTGACTAAAGTTCAGAGTACATTAAATCTAAAAAAAAACTAGTTATGGAACACAAACATATTTTCAGTCTTACAAGAACTTGACAAGTATAGCAAAGATTAGAAAGTTATGAGGTAGGATAAACAATCCATGTCATGCATGAATCTAGTAATTCAAAAACTATTATATGCGCTCAGTAAGGAATTAACAAATTAAAATATAGTAATCTATTATGCAGTTAATATGATCTCATGTAATATAAGCATGAATTAGCACAATATCAATGTTACAAATCACACAATAAGTTTTGGAGCCTTCTTATAATTATTATATTATAAAATAATGTTTTGCATTTTTAATCAAATTCAATAACAGTGTTCTGTTTTCATACTGCTCCATTCTTGAAATTGTAATATTTAAGAGATTACAGCGTTTGAAATAAAATATTTCATTATCCTGTCGAATAATATAAAAGTCATTAACCACCTTTTTTGGCTTCATTTAGGTTGCTGTGCTGAATGCTCCAAGCCAAAGTAGAAGAATAATACGTATCCTAAGTTGCTACATCACCAAAAGTGGAGAAAGAATTTTCATAAGAAATATAATTAATTAAATTCATCATTGCAATCAACTGATAATTTCAATTTAATTTTTCTAGTTTTATGCACTTCTAGCAAGTTCTATTTGCACATCAATAATAGAATTAATGTAAAAACTATAAAAAATGTCTCAAGACTCAGGGAAATCTACCAGTTTGCTAAAGCAAGCTTGTATTCAAATTGGAGCTGGCGGATCCGCCGGTTTTGTAGAAGTTTGTATAATGCATCCAATGGATCTCGTTAAAACACGTTTCCAGTTGCAAGTTAAAACAATTCGTGCAGATCCTGCATACTATACAGGTAAATATACTAATGTTGACGAATCAGGTTTTACTATTTACTATTAATTAGCTATTTATCTATTCTCGATCTAGGAATTGGGGATTGCATGAAGAAAATGTATAGAAACGAAGGTCTGGGAGCATTTTGGAAAGGAATTTTACCACCAATTGTGGTAGAGACTCCTAAACGTGCAGTTAAAGTGAGGTTTTATTCCTGATTTTAATAATGTCACTGATACTATGAAACTATATTTATCTTTTTCAGTTCTTTACATTTGAGCAGTATAAACAATTTTTCCTCTTTGGTGCAAATACACCTACACCACTGGTGAGTATAAAAGAATTTAATTAATCCAAATAATTTTATGTGATACTAGTTGGGATAAATTTTCACTCACAATTATACTAAGAGATAAACAGTGGAATTATGAATTTCTTGTTGTAGACGTTTTCCTGTGCTGGATTTTTTGCTGGTGTTACGGAAGGCATTTTGGTAAATCCTTTTGAAGTAATTAAAGTACAGTTACAGTCAAACAGGAAAAGGATGAAGGATAGCCCATCTACGAGTGCTGTCACCAGAGAAATTATCCGAAAATATGGATTTGGATTAAATGGTTTAAATAAAGGACTTACCGCTACGGTTATGAGAAATGCTGTATTCAATTCATTTTACTTCGGATTCTATCATTCCGTTAAAGGATATATACCAATATGTGATGATCCCTGGTTGGAATTCTTTACCAAAGTAAACTAGATATTATTCATATTAAACCAATTTTGAATTATTGTCCTATAATAATTCTTCGTTTTTCTTTTCAGGTGGGTATAGGCTTTACTTCTGGAACATTGGCATCCTGTCTGAATATTCCTTTTGACGTAGCAAAGAGCAGAATTCAAGGTGCTCAGGGACAAATTCAATATAATGGAACATTAAGAACCATATCCATTGTTTATCAACAAGAAGGGTATGTGTATTATCTGTATTTAATATAATGTATTATTTTAACTTTCTTACTTGAAATTTTAGCTTTGGAGCATTATATAAAGGATTATTGCCAAAAATACTTCGATTGGGACCAGGCGGTGCTATTATGCTCGTTGTGTATGATTACATGCATACTTATTTGACAGAAACATTTGCAGACTGATATATAGACAGACATAAACACAAGTTTATGGTCGAAAAGTGTGTAAAAAATTGTTTGTATCGATTGTACGGTGCCTTAATAAATACTATAAGACTATTTTAGTATATTTCAAAGCACTAAAAAAAATGGAATATGTATTTTTAATCGTAATGTAATAGTATTTGCTTAGAATGCAAAGTAACATACACGTTAATCATCCAAAACGGAGTCCAACCATTTTTCAAGATCAATTGATTTTGCATTTTTATCTGCTGTTTGAGCTTTCACCTCTGCAAAAAAATACAAATAATACAAGACATATTGAACTGCGCGTCAAGTGCATTAGTTCAATAACAAAAGTACCTTCAGAATAAGACCGCGAAGGTTGTGTCATTGTGATTGGATCGCTTTTAATGGGTTCTTTCAAGGAAAGAAGAAAATCTAGCTCTTCTTCCACATCGTTAGTTTGCGTAGTATTGTGTTCTTCAGAGATCATAAGTGCTTCAGGCACAGTCACAGACTCTATCTTAATGTCGTCAGATTTTATATTACATTTTTGCATATCTCTTGCTACAGAATCAATCATTTCTACCTTCTGCAAATAATCAATTTTTGCTCTCTCTGCAGTATTATGAATTTCTGTTAATTGATCTTTCTGGAAAAACAAATCAGTTTGAGAAAGTTTAAAATCTCAAATTTTTAAATATAAATTAAGAAAACAATACGTACAGTAAAATATTTATCATCCACATCAATATACTGATTGAATGGAATACAATCAATAGCCTTCCCTAATTGTTTAATGTTCAATGAAAACAATTTCGAGTATTTTGAGCTCTCGATTGCCCAGTTTTTTTCTAACTTAAATACAAAATGACCTCCATTTGATATCGGAGCATTCAAAAGAGTTTTAAAATCAGTGATGGCACAATTATCATCATTTTCTGGGAGCTCATCATATCTATCCCAATTTGAAGATAATTTCTGGCAAATTTCATCTTCAGGTGTCCGTAGTTTCTGATCACTCTTTAAATGTTGTACATTGTTTGGTGAAGGAAATTTATTATATTCTGCTTTGTTAGTGCGCTTTTTACGCATTCTCTCTTTTCTATCAAAGATGTAATAAAGAAATAATTAATATAAACATTCCTATAATATTATGTACCGCATTCATATTCATTGGTATTTTTATATAGTATATTGTATATAACCTCAAGAGTATTGCTTTACCTTTCCTTATAATCCGCCATTTAATTATATAATTTGGTGAATACTAAATTATAAAAAAGTGAACATCCCAGATGTAAGAAAAGAACTGGAACAATCTGCATTAATAAATATTTGAAATAAAAGATACCTTGCTCTGAGTATCAAGTAATACAAATAAGACGCACATCTGTCAGATCGTCTGACATTGTCTGACATACATCGGCGGTGTCAGTCATCAGTGGTGTTTCTGCCGAAAACACATCCATTGGCACATTTTACGAATTCAAATAAGGTAGAATAAATTGTAGTCAACTTCTAAAATTACATAAATCCAAATTTGAGATCTCAAGCCTCTTTATTAATTTTGTTAACAATGTTTTACATAATATTTAGATTAATTTCCGGATAACCGTAAAATACCTTCGAGAGATAACGACTAGAAAAATAAACACCCTACATTCTATTTACAAGAAATACGTAATATATATTCTCAATAAAAATGTATATCAATAAGGATATTCATGATAGTAAATCGCGAAATACCTACAACCGAGCACAACATTAAAAAATGTACAGAGTAACACACAAAAGTTAAAAGTAAAATACTTTGTGTTCTGGGATATTATAAATCGCATAATTAACTAATATTTAAATATAGATTATTGAATATATCTGAAGCCTCACTATCCAAGAATTGCAACAAAAATATACTATATTTAAAAGTTTAAAATTTTAGGTGATATTCAGTAAATAATTTCAGAGTAACAAATTGATTTCATGCTCTACATTATTAATTTTGAATCCTTGTAATTTGTCTTTAAAATACTCTTTGTTTCTCAAAGTAATTGAAACAATTAAGTAGAAATAAGTGCGTCACTCCGTACATAAATTTTTTCCAGTGTCAGCTCTTCTATGGTAATATATGTAAAATCATGTAAATATTTGCAGCCAACAAAAACATTGCTCAAACGGATTCAAGACAAAAATATTGAGAGAGCTTGAAAAATATAAAACAAGAACAAAACCATCACTGATAAAAAAAAATGAAATCTTGTGTATGGTATAAGACAAAATATTATACCGCGTTAAAATACCCAGTGTCTCACTGAACAATAATTTTTACAGTTCAATCGTATAGATAAAAACACATTCGTGCTATACGAGGTAGACGCAAAATACGCTTCAGTTTGCAATAAATATAAAAATGATGTTTTGTACGATTAGCCAAGCTCCCATAATCTCAAAAATACCTAACAAAATGGCACCGGATTGCTTTTGATTTCGAAATCATCTAATACGTCTTTATATACCCGTCGTTCGTCACGTAACTATTATAATATTTTTCAACATGACGTATAAAAGAATGTGTGTTGTACCATTCTTACCCAAATGTGGGTTCGTTTTGTATACGAACACTATTAATCGACAGTCTTAAACGTTGCCAGGAGGTCATCCAAGAAATTTATATTCTATTAACCTAAACTAAGGAGCAATAGCGACTACAGCAGATTCATCCGTTGAAGTTTCATCTTCCTGGTCTATATTAACTGCCTCTTTGGCAGTCTCAGGTGGCGGAGGTGGCGGAACAGGAGCAGACACAGGAGCTGCTTGTACTCCACGTCGAGGTGACTTTCCGTTCTTTTCGTTATCGACTTGTGCGGGACACTCAAAGTGCACACAATGGAATACCTATCAAAATAAATTTTTTTCATATTACACCAACTGGTTTTGATAAACAGATAGCGAAACTAAATGAATTTTTATGGCAGTAGACAAACCTCGTTAGCTGTATTGTGCGTGCCAACAATACGTATAAAAACAACTGGTCGAGCTGGCTGGAAGTGCAGTGTCTGCCATGAACGACAAGCTTCTCTAGTTTTGTCCACTACCACTTCCCATTGCCAAGAATTGTTAGATACTTCGATGTAGTATGAATATGATCTGTCATCGCAATCCCACAATAAGAGCCTAAAAATAACCATTATTATAATTAAGTTACAAATAATGTTCTTTCATACTGTAACGTCCCACCAACCAGGCTATACCCATACTTAGCCCACAGAACATTATCCTTTGGAAACTAATGCTTATAAAATTTCCTACCTTACTGAAAATGTTACTAACCGAAATAGCCCCTGGCAGTCAATTCATTTATACTATTATATATACCATATGAGTGACCGTTAGTCACAAAAATAACAACGATCGAGATCGGGCTGATTTAAGACATGGACGAACCGCTTTAAAAACAGGAAGTCAAAGCAACAAATCCTCTAAACTATCTTTCTGAATCCATGTCCGAGAAAACAATGTACAGAAATATTCATTCAATTCAAATAATTATTCAAAATCGTTGCATTTAAAACAAATGTAAGTAATAACAAAATCCAACATATTTAAGAAAAGAATCAAGAGATCATAATACATTTTTGCTTCTATAATAATTAAAATATCAGCTTACCGCATCGAGTCTATCATGTATGGTTGACCAAGTTGTACTAATATTGAACCGGAACCAAGTTGATGACATGTATAGCCACTATCCCAGTCGTAATCAGAAGTGTCACCATTTAAAAGAGCATTTCTTGATCTATTGGAATAAAGAATTATAAAATTTAAGTGATGAGAATTTGACGCAGTTAGAACTAATAATATTGTATGAGGTCACTCAAAAGGTATTCGTACCTGCTAACACCTTCAGTGACATGAGCACTCAGATCCATTGTTGCTACATTTCGAGTGGGGACTACGAAACCTTTGCAGAGTTTCACTGGTGTGTTAGTATAATAAGCTTCGAGACTAACCACATGAAAAATCTGTACATCGAAGAGAGTATAATGATGAATTGATAAATGAGATTTATTTTAAAAGCCATAACACTAAACATATAAAATTAAATTACCTTGTTAACTGTGTTGTATGTACCCACTAAACGTATGTAAAGAACCACCCGTGGTTCAAAATACAAATACTGCCAACTGCGACAAAAATACTGTGTATGGTCAACAACACGAACCCAGTCTTTCTGGTCCATGGATACCTTTACAGTGAAAAAAGAGGCATTAATAAATTTGGTCGATCATCTTTTCTCAAACATCATCTAAAGCTGTTTTATATGTCAAACTTTTCGCTTACCTCTAAGTAATACGAATAGGACCGAAAATCATGATCCCATAACAAGAGCTTGACATGATTGATGATAAACTGAGTACCTAATTTAATGAGTATGCTCTGGTCTTGGGAATCCGTAATTGCGTGTCTCGTGTATCTATAAGATAATTACATTCTTTTATACTCCAAAACGTTTGATAATTTTTTTTATGTTAAATAGGTTGTACAGCTTACCCTCGCTCCATATCATAATTCTGAATATCACCATCCAAAAGGAAACTTCGCATTTCACCCTGTAATACTTGTGCACCGTGCCTTGGTTGTGCAACGTTCTCATTCAGAAGCATACGACCACGATAAGAAAGCTGTGAGACTCGTGTCTGCGTTCTGGCTGCTATTGCGTCCAGCATTGCTTCTGATGATACTAAACCAGTGGGCCTGACCACATCGAGTAAATCAGGGATTGAGACCAAACTGAGTCTTACTTGACCTTAACATTCCAATTATTATATTATATCAGGATACGGATGTTTCAAGCTTTGTTACACATTGTTGCATGCCAATGTTTCTTTAAGGGATATTATTAAAAGTTATCGTATTTTTAAGTTTATATCATCAATCTGCGGATACATACTTAATACTTCCTTTGCATCTACATCCGGATTTGCTTTAACCCATGCTTGCACAGCCAAAAATATGTCGATTTCTGGCGCAAACAGTGAATCACGAGAGATAAGTTCATTTAATGCCTCAGAACTGAGTTGGAGGAAACTTTCATGCTGAATTATTTCCAAAGCATGTTTATCGATGAATTCCAATGATACCTTTTGACGTAGAAGTTTATTAAATGTTGTTGATTCGTTATAATGAAAAGCTTAAGATTCTTACTTGAATTAGAAAAACCAATTGATAAAGACGTGCTGCATCAAAGATTAGACAAACGTTCTTAATATTAAGAATCTCTCTGAGGTAATCAGATATAGAAACTTCAAGGTCAACAAATCCATATTGGTGAGCCAAACCCAATATATCAAGAATTACCTAAGAAAAAGATTTTCCATATAAGGAATTTAATAAATTTAATGAAAATAGAAGTACATTGGGAATAAGTTAATAGATTAAGTTATACCTCTTCTCGTTGATTAGCAAGAGACAAGTGACCAGTATAAATATATTTCAGAAGACCCTTAAAAGCAGGCAGCGTAGTTCCTTTCAATTCAATTTCTTGTTGCATTGACTCCTTCATACCACCGTAGAGAAGAGCCCGAAAATACTGGCTGCGTGCAGCTAATATAACTTTGTGACCATTGAATCGCTGACCCGCAACTATCAGTGTCACATCAGAGTAATCATCAGAAAGATATAAGGCACCCATATCCTCGGACAGATGATTAATATGCTCCACTTCACCTGAAGATGGATTCAGATGATGATGGGAGCTCATTTTATATTTTACGTGCAAGGACTTCCTCCTAAATGAGTATCTATGCTGAAAAGTAAAGTTACATAAGAAATAAATGTCAATAAATTCTACACAAAGATTGCGTTGTCTAAAAATCATTTATACTAGACTATAATTATTGATTTACATCCTAGCTTACTTTACTGTCAATTTGGCATAAAGGCATTGACAGCTACATAGTTTCAATCGAGACTGGATAATTTAATATTATTCTTAGAAAACGATAATTGGAATGCAGTAAAATAATATAGGATGAATAGACCTATATTTAGTAAATCTCTAAAGATACAGTATAATGTAAAACGGCAACAAATTACAGCAAGTAAATAAAAGACCTTATTGCCGAAGATCAACCGCGGATCTCCAAAGATTCTTTACCGGACTTGTCAATTTCAAATAATAATTTGAATTGTCAGATCATCATCAGATAATTAATATCTATACTTATCATCATATATTTACTCACAAAACACAACACAATACTGTAACAAGATATTATCCCTTATCGTCTTTTTACGAGAATACATAAACAAGATGGCAGTTCAACATCTTCAGCGCCGCTGCCACGGTCACCGCCGTCACCGGAACTATCCAGTGTTATGAAAGTTCTTGATACGCACTTTCTTATGTCTTTCGTACAATTCTTCAAATTCAATTTAAATCTTAAATTTTAAAATAATATCGAACACCTTTAATACCAACTCTTATATTTCGATATATTACAAAAAGCTAAAATTCGCTAGAAATATCTAGTCTATAACTGTAGTTTCTAGTAATTAAAAGGTATTCCGGTGCAAAACAAATATATTCACATAAATTAGAGGTAAAGAGACACTTTTTGAAGAGGGCAAGGCTATCGCATCTTCATTATTACATGTCTAAAAGTCCCCCAAATCAGATAAATAAGTGTGTTTTAAAGATTAGTACGGAACAAGTTTTACGATTGCTGGAGGAACAGGAGTCTGACGAAACTAACGCTACTTTAGAATAGGAGGACGCCGCCAAAATTTTGTTGTACCTTTATATTTAACACTATTTTTGTAATTTAGTTATCATTTTTGTTCAACAAATGTAGATACGCATAATAGTTTTACAAAAAAGGTATTTGTCATACTTCATTTACCTTTTTCGTTTATTTAAATAACTCTCAATTAACAACAGATTTGTTTACATATTACAATTGCATAGCTGACATGTTAGACTTTTAATTACTCCCATATTACGTTAATAAAGTCCAATTCTGCAAAAAATAGTAACGGAACATGTAACTTTTTAGATTTACGTCACAGAACAATGATATCGTATTCCTGTTTGCGTATTCTTACTCAGGATATTCTGAAGATTCCATTTCACTATACTTCAATGCGGAAACAGAAAATGGTGTAGGCCAGAGAGATATTTGTATAGTATGTACGTATACATATAGCTGAGAAGGATTTCATTACTATTACATATGCAATTCAATGTATCAATTCGATGGTATTTCACATATGGTTCTGTTTGAAATATGATTTATACCAAAAATGGCAATACCTTCGAAGATAGAAAGTGGTACAGTCTAATATGGGCTGAGACCGTAAAAGGAATCGAATAAAAATCCAGCTATACCGCCCGGGGGCAGCATTTAATTTCATAACAGAAGATACGTATGCATGTGAGAATATGAAAGGGATGATGTTGAATAATCAGTACGAGAAAGGGTAATTTAAGAAATCTTACTTTTTTAAAATAAAACTACATTAGTAGGCATCCTTCTCCATATACTCCGACCTTGTCATTCCATCGGCATCATCACCCACGCCAAATCCAAATAAAGCGACTCTCGGTGTGGTAATGTCTTTCGAAGAAATAAATATGAAATCTTTACGACTGCTATGAAATTAATTTAATATAAGTATCAATGATGTATACTTTTCATTAAATCAATTCTATGTATAGTTGAAATTATGAGTTTAGGTCTTTCCTTTTTGGGGAATTCCCTTCATATATGTTAAGACATTAATTAATGTATTTATTGCTTCATATTTCGGATACGTATCTCTTTGCCATTTTTAAAGACATGTCTTAATTTATATTATTGCCAGAATAGGAAACGAGGTCGAAATCGAATTAAGTCGTCGGTACCGTAAGGATACTTGATACCTACGACAAGTGAAGAACGGTGCCTGGTTTAGAGTTGGGAATGAATCAGCTTTCATACAATTATGGCGCAAAATCGAGAAGTACCTAAGGTAAATACACTGGTGGACCATTTGCTCTTATAATATGTACGCGCGAGCAAACATATAAGGGAGGGATACATGACTGACTTGGTGGCCTACTTGCCTTTTATGGTTACAGACTCAAAGGCGCTTGTGTTGGCCATATCCATTCACTGTAACTCAATTTCTGAACTAGTATGAAATTTTCTGTAATTATTCAAAATTGTATCTCTGAAGATTAAGAAAGTCTTAAGATGTTTTGGAGACTTATCTATACCCAATGTCTTGTTCCAATATTTACATACAACTTCAGTGATTGTACAAAGTCATAAATGAAATTCTGCTAGCACCGAACAAAAAAAATAACTCATTTCTACTAGGAAACCAGGTCCATCGAACAGTAATAATCTGCCAAACTTGAATAATATAGACTGCGTAAGATGATACTTCGAAGAATCATAGGAGAAAGAATCCATAGAAGCTTAGTGTAATATAAGTAAAATAGAATCTTTATTTTGTCAAGGCAGAATCCTCCTCAACATTTGGTTTTACAAATATGTAAAAATGTTATCTTTGCCATGTCTAAATCACTGAGCAATAGTCGTGAAGACTCAATAAAATACTTGACGAGACTAGCTCAGCTCCGTATTTAAGAGACTATCAGGAAAGTCAAGGTCCAAGTCAGGAACTAGACTCTCAATGGATTGTTCAATAAAATTATCCAATGTTGCTCCTGAATGAAAACTTTCACCATCACTACCACCATCCTGCAAAGAATAAATCATGTATACAGATACTCCATTTGGTAAGAAATTAATATTATCTACAATGTCTACTCTAATTAGTCATGAAAAATTATCAATGAAAGATATCTTATATAATATCTTACGTTAAACAAATGACTTCCAGTTCCAAATATGTCAAAAGTGGAAGGTGTATTCAGTGCAGTCAAGGTACATGTATCACGACCATCCCGAAACATCGCAGAATGGCAGTTCAAGTATTCAACGGTTTCATCCATGACATAAGTCCGTTCTTCTTTTCTCAGCAATTCCGTAAGTCCTGCGATATACTTCATGGCCAATCGCAAGGTGGTGATCTTCGTCAGCTTCTCGTTTGGTCCATCACCCTACGTCATTATAGTAATCCGGTCAGTGAGCCAAGCGTTCGGACCAATTCCATTTCCGCATCATCTACCGTAATACCCAAGCAAGAATTCTCCTTAGGGGATATTTACAAGCCCGTGTGTATTATATAATTTTGATTGGAGTAAAATGAGAACATTTAAGTAATGAGATGTAAATATACAGGAGTATATATAAGCATGGGACGAAGAAAAAAAATTAAGGAAACATGAAGCAGTAAACTTTAAAAATTCTTACAGGTAAGACTAGCTGAGGCATATAAGATGGTACAGCTTTCCGGAGTGTTTCGAACGCGAGATTTATTTCTCTCATTCTAGATCTCTCTCGTGCATTCGCTGTTTTTCTTCTGTACTTGCTGAGTGGCGCAGTCCGTTGTTTTGAAGCTGATTTGTTCTCGATTTGACCCACTCGCTGCTCTGAGGATTTCGTAGAGTTTGACGGATCAGAGTCTTCCCCGTCAGGCACAATCTTTGATTTTCTGCGATCAACACCGCGTGGTCGTAAGCAGTACTTTTCACTTGAATTTCCACATGCTTTCATTCTATCACTCATGTTAACTACTTTTCTTTTACTTTCTGTTCGGTATTTCACTTCAACAATACTCGTATAACGCAGGGAAACACGCTAAACGAAGTTTTAACACGTTCATTGCACTAGGGTATTATTATCTATCCATTATAATATATCATTCATCACATTTCATAAGCACTTTAGACAACTCAACCGGCCAAAATTAGATGTGGATATTCATGGCAGAAAAACTATTTTTAAACAAATTTCTATACAATGTTTCCATACATTATTTTATAAATCACAGTATCCAATATAACACGTTGTTGTTGCATCGTTACATATTTTCATGTAAATGAATTGCCCGATTGTTGTTTATAAAGCCACGTAAAAGTTGAATCATGATTTATTAGGATAATGACGAATTTTTTTAGGAATATCTAGTTACGTCAGTATATAAAACTTTTTATGCTAAAACGGTTGACTATAACAATGAAACTGTTTTCTGATTATCTTTTGCATGCCTTTATAGTTTTGTGTTCGGGCCGATTTGGTAACGTGATTGTATCTAAAACTTTGCAGGTCTTTCAAGGACTGATACAACTTGAGTGCAGCCGCCGCAAGATAATCTCCGAGAAATTTCAGTGGGAGAACCAGTTTCCTCTCTTTGGCGAGTAAGCCTCGAAGAAATCGTGATTTAACTTAGTCGATTATTCCCGCTGTTGAGTCGTGGCGATATCTCTTTTTATTCATTTGAACTTTTCATAAGTTTACGCAACTACCAGAGCAAAGCAGGTTCTTACCGACGGAAGCTCATGGTCCTGCTTTAGATACACAAATTTTAAACACAAAGTAATGTCAGATTCCTTTTAAGATAATTACCAAAAAATATACATATACTAGCAATTCACATATATGCTGAAGCTAATCGGGTAGTCTTTTGCAATTTCCATAGAAAGCAAAGATTTCGTTCTCATCATGTACATGAATATATTTAAAACTAGCTGTTTTTTAAATTATCGATATCCTTAATCAATGAACTTTCACTGTTTCATTAAGAATACCTTTTAATAAATTACCTCAAGCACTCAAAAGGAGATACTTTTCTCAAAGAGGGACATTCGAGAAAATATTGTTTGATACTCCAAATAACATTAATTTATACTCTACTAGATAAAGTTATCGGTATGCCTTAAAAAGTATGAAATTGTTTAAAATTAATCGTTTTACATACAATACTGTGCTCTCATCACTGCGTTTCGTTTTTTTTTGAATCAGTGTTATAAGCATCAGGATATTCTATGGTTATAAAAATATTTTGACCATACGGTGTTAAAATTCGGTCGAGGACTTGGTCGAAGTAATAACATTATATCAAGTTTCTTTACGGAAAATCACCCCTGACATTTACAAATAAGTTTATATCTATACGATCCATACACTTCTTTGATTATTGGTTAAATTTTGCACTGTTCAAACCACGGTCTTGTACATAAGACCGTGGTTCAAACCATATTTACGGTCGTTTTACACCGAGACATTTGTCGGCATTGATTGTTCATAAGTTATTGCTGTTAGCCAATCAGAATTATTCCTTCCAACTTTACACTTCTTCGATTGGTTAGTCTCATAATAATGACTGCTGACAATGTTGCATTGTAGGGTGTGTTCCGAAATGTACTGAGAGTACTGCCAGTACTGTAGCCAACGCTGTGTCCTTATTCATCCACACGCATCTAAGAGAGGTGTAATTACTTTTACAGTACTCTCAGTAAATTTCGGAACACACCCATTGATGAAGCTTGCGGTGTTCCGTGTTGAGAAGCACCCGGTAGATAGCCACAAATGCGCCAAGTACTTGATTAAAGATGGCAGCGAGCATCAGTGGTGTTTTTAGTGAGAGTCTGCAAAATGCAATTCTCCAGTGTAAAGTTCTTATTGTGGGCGCAGGAGGAATTGGATGTGAAATTCTTAAGAATCTTGTAATGACTGGATTCAACGACATTGAAATTGTAAGTCAATTGTATGAGTAAAACTATTCTGTTGAATGCCGATAGAAACTAACCTCTCATTAGCACACCATGCTAAAATTGACTATTTCATTATATTATTATTGGATGAATTTAGTAATTGTTTATATACTATTATGTCTGATTACTAAATTTACTTGAATCATTGAATATAACCAAGTGATATAGAATATCATGCAGTTGGCATTTGATGACCGCGAAAATGTGTCTTAGAAAATTTTAAAATCCATTTCTGTTTCTTCAAATAACTGATTGTGAAATCTGAAATTTACAACTGTATAAGGGTTCCAAAAATGTTCTGATTTTGTTTTAGATTGATTTAGATACAATTGATGTGAGTAACTTGAACAGGCAATTTCTATTTCACAAACAACATGTGGGAAAGTCAAAAGCTGCTGTAGCAAAGGAAACTGCATTAACCTTTAATCCTGATGTAAAGATAGTACATTATCATGACAGTATCACATCGTAAGTATTTGAGTTTTCATAAAATTTGAAGGTTAACTTATGTTTACCTTGAAAAATTTTTTCTAAAGGTCGGACTATGGATTGTCATTTTTCAAAAAGTTCACATTGGTAATGAATGCTCTAGACAATCGTGCTGCTAGAAATCATGTAAATCGCATGTGCCTAGCTGCAGATGTACCTTTGATAGAGTCTGGAACAGCTGGATACGAAGGACAAGTAGAATTGATCAAGAAGGGTCTTAGTCAATGTTATGAATGTACTCCGAAAGCAGCACAGAAAACATTTCCAGGTTGCACGATTCGCAATACACCTAGCGAACCTATACATTGTATTGTCTGGGCAAAACATTTATTCAAGTATGAGAGGTTCTTTATTTTCCAATAACCGTTTTTTTTTTCAAATCACCTGTTATAATTCATTAAAACTCTTTATAGTCAGTTGTTTGGTGAAGATGATCCAGATCAAGATGTTTCTCCAGATACAGCAGATCCCGAGGCTGCAGGTAAACAAAGAGTCCTATTTCAAAAATGGGATTTCAACGTCTTCGGAGTCTTTAACGAAATACTTTTTTTTTTACCAGATACTGCTGCAGAAGGTGCATTACAAAATGAATCAAATGACAAAGGAAATGTCGATCGTGTTTCGACTCGTGGTTGGGCAGAAAATTGTGACTATGATGCAGAGAAATTATTTACAAAACTTTTTCACGATGATATTAAGTATTTGCTTAGTATGGATAACCTGTGGAAAAAACGAAGACCTCCAACACCCTTAGATTGGTCTTATCTTCCGGATGGAGGTTTGTTACGTTTTATATGAATTGAAATAGTCTGAACAGAAAAATTTAATGCATTCGTTGCACAGTTGCTGGTTGCAGCAAAGATACAATGGAGTCTGGACTGAAAGATCAGCAACAGTGGAGTATAGCGAAATGCGGGAGTGTTTTCAAAGAAGCTGTTGCCAACTTAAGTAAAGCTTTAAAGACTTGTCAGGAAACTTCACCAGGTGACCATTTAGTTTGGGATAAGGACGATCAAAATGCAATGGACTTCGTCGCCGCGTGTGCAAACATTCGCGCGCATATATTTGGTATTCCACAAAAGACAAGATTCGACATAAAATGTATGATTTCCTTTAATCCTTTAGTCCTTAGTATGTTTTCAAAAATAGTGCTATAAACATTTTTCTTCTTTTTCTTTATATAACAGCAATGGCTGGCAACATCATTCCTGCGATAGCAACAACAAATGCAATAATTGCTGGTGTCGTGGTTCTCCATGCATTCCGAATATTGGAACATAATTTGAAAGCGTGCAGATCAGTTTACCTACGATTAAAAATGAATCATCGTAATCAATTATTAGTGCCTGAAAAATTTGTGAATCCTCCAAATCCAAAGTGCTACGTGTGTGCACCTACACCGCAAGCAGTTCTCGCAGCGGACACGACAAAAATGACAATTAAAGAACTGGACGAAACTGTATTAAAAGCCCGACTAAATATGATAGCACCAGATGTCATGATCGACGGTAAGGGGATTGTCGTAATCAGCAGTGAAGAGGGTGAAACGGAAGGAAACAATGAGAAGACTTTGGAACAAGTTGGTATACGAGATGGAACTGTTCTGAAGGTTGATGACTTCCATCAAAATTACTCTCTGACTGTGACAGTATTGCAAAGAGAACAACCATCCGTCAAAGACGAAAGTCCTGACTTCTTGATCGTTGCCGATGACGAAGATCTGAAGCCCAAAGAAGATATCACCATTTCTGAAAAACCGTCAACTTCCAACGGAAAGGTAAGTTGAGAAAAATAATAAACATGAAACAGTTCATTAAGAAGATAATAATGAAATTTTTGCAGGTTGAGAAGGTCGAGGATGACGATGATATTGATATTGTGGAAACAGAAATCAGTCCAAGTACTTCAGAGGCAGATGTCCCCAAGAAACGAAAGACAGAATCACCTACGAATAATACGATTAACAAGAAGCGTAAAGTCGAAACAAATAATCAACACGATGATGATGTTTGCATTATCGAGGATGACAGGGAAGTGGAAAAGGTGGCATTGTCGGTATTACCAGCCATTGAAGAAAAAATATTGACACCAAGAAAGTACAAATCCTTGCCCGACGATGATTGCTCGATCGTTTACGATGGAAATGAGGATCAATCTACGGCATCATCTCCGAAACGAAGCAAACAGCTAGCGAAGTAATGAAATTTTTCTATGACCATTGCTCTACTAGCAAACATGTTTCAGTCTACCGACTGCATAACCTTCTGTGGCATTTTCACCGTGGAAAAAGTATGAAAGAGAAGAGATTGCGGTACATAAAATAAAAACACGCAAAATGAAGTAAAAGTGTAAGAGAGAAAATATCGCGGTGTCCTAAATAGATGTTGCGAGGTAAACAGTTAGATCTATTTTGTAATCTCATTCTATGAGACAGTCGAAGTTTTCTTCATATTCCTTTTTTATTGGAAATCAATGGTTACGAAACAAGAAGTGTATAAAAACACTTTACAAACGAAGATTCCGTTGCCGCTTCGTGCATAGATTACTTAGAAGACTGTAGACATGAAAAATAAATACTTTGGTTTTTATAGAAACACGTCGATCTTCATTTGATTAATTTTCCCCCTTGGCACATTCCACATATTTCTCGTAATCGTAATTAAACATTTCAAAATCGATCTTATATCGTTCGTACAATTGGAATGCTGCATCTTGAGAAAGATTTTTGAAGTAACTACACGTCTGATCGAAATCTGTAACTCCATTATGCGTTTCTTCTAGTCTAGGTAGATATACATTCTTCTTGTTTAATTGCAATTTAAGGAAGATATCATCAATTTGGTCTATAGTATGATTCTCTAATTTCAAAATGAAATTATAATTAATATCACAGGCAGAACAATGCAAATGGTATTGATCCCAATGTACATCATCTACTGAAACTGATTCTTCTAAAAGCCAGGTAATAAATTCTTTGAAACTCGGAATTAGCTTCAATCTGTAATAACATAATATTATCTTATTTTCAAAATGATAAGCTTCACCATCGCTTCAGTTATCCATACTATCAATACGAACCTTCTATTTCGATGATAAATTTTTTCCAAAACGCCACCTGTTGCTATGCTCGAATAAAATAATTGCGGTCTTGTCAAGGAAAATATCTTGGGAACATATATCCACGCCTGTGCCGTGTACTTACTGTTGTCTTCAATCCGATCTCTGTGACAAGTTCAAAACTTCAACGTGAAAAAGTAAGAACATCATTATTTGCTACAACTATTATCAATAATAATATACCTGTAAGCTGATACAATTCTCTCAAATGGATGTCGCACAATTAGAAATTTAAACAAATTAGGTTGGTCAATTAGAGTTTGCAATCTTGCTTCAGTTTTCGGAGTCACTCTATCAATTTCCCTGTGAAGCATCAATTTAATTGCTATTTCTCACTTCGGCGCGTCATTGACACTTACTTGTAATAGTCGTGAGTCACATAGAGATTGTTCATATCAAAAAACAACTTAGTAAAACTCGAAGAAGCAACTTTTCTTATCCAACAATACATAGCTTTGTGAATTTCACTGTATAAAAAATGTCTTCTGTTTAACTGCGAACTGATATTATATTTCGTGCAGACTTCCGACACTTGTTGAAGAGCCGCAGCCATATCCTGCAGGCGTAGATAGAGTATTGATCATGTTTCACGAATCATAAAATATCTCAAAGAAAAAACCAATACCTGTAAAACTATAACATTGTTTTGGACCTCGTTGTCCTTAAAGGATTTAACATCCTGAGAAAATGTCTCTTCACAGTTTTTATAAATTAATTCTACACCGCAGTCATCGCACGTGCGATTTATTTTATCAGAACTTCTTCTCGTCCACAGAAAAAATTCATCCTCCTTGATCTTATATAATATTACGCACAAGCATACGTATGCAAAGAGACAAAGAGATGCTTTGATAAACTGCATTCTTGATTTCACATGAACGACAAATGAACTCCATCCACAAATTCCTGTTACCACGTCAAAGATTGGATCCATCCATTTTAAAATGATATGACGCCGGAAATGGTCCACGCAAAGATACTAGCAATCATTCTCCTGATACTTTTATCTACTATTATTATTACTCTTCAAACTATTAAACTGTCGACCGCAACAATAGGCTCAATCGTAAACACAGCATCCAGTTATAGGAAGACTCAAATTCGACATCTCCAACGCAGCTCGTTACATGAATTCGGTTTGACCTTTAAATTCAAATCTTTGATCAGCTAATCGCGATAGTTAAACCGAATTAAAATATCAAACTTTATTGGAAGAATTGGAACTTAGTCAAAGGATATGCAAGGACAAATATTCTGATAGAAAAAAGGAACATGTTCAGTGTCTCTTTTCTTTACTATTCAATGACGTAAAGGACATACAGTAAGAATCTATATGCTGCACACGTGTACACAGTCAGGTAATTTTAATTGTCTAAAGATCATTTCTTTAGACTCTCAAGCTAATGACAATACGTTATTGACGTATTGCTAGCTGGTATGAAAAATATCACCGTTTTTTAACGAATTCTTAACCGGGATGAGCATGACCAATCGTAAAGTGTTCGCTGAACATTCGACGACTGTTACGCTTTTCGTAGTAGCCGTTCGTTGAGCGTAATTTGTAACACAGTAAAGTATAAAACTGCATTTTCGCTCCGACAATGGCAGTGCTCTCCACTGAGACAATATAGTCCATCGTAAAACATGATTACAATTTATTTAATCCTAATATACAATCGGTACAAGATTCTATGGGATCGTCCGGGAAGTAAAAAAGTATATCTTAGGACGTGTATCTATCTACAATACCGAAAATTATAATAATTCGACTGCTCGATAAATGATTGCAAATTAATACGAATCGAGCATTCGCCATTTCACGATCGCTCGTTCAGAGATTAATCTTAATTGTCGTCATAAATGCGTGCCATCATTATGCATTTAATAGTAGAAAATACCCTAGCGAAACTCCCATCCCAAGTAGTGTGATTCCTAAGGTTCAGCCATATTTATCTAAACTCGCATTTCCCGCGGTTCAATTCGCTCTTAAGTTTCTTAATCATAATTCGTAAATTCGAGATAAATCATCGACCTCATTGTCTCGGAATAAAATGTCGCTATCACCTTTTAAATTCGCTCGTCTCGCACATCAGTGAAGCTTTAATCGAACTTAGAGTAACGCTGTGATGAATTGTTCCAGGGCGATTAAAGATAATGAAACAGAAACCGCGCCTGACATACATAAAAGTAAGAATTAAGTGAAAAATCATTTGAAAATAAAAAACCTTCGAAGGATCCTTTATCTGCGATCCCTGTATCTGTGATGATCTCGAGAAGATCGATGATCATTGTGACGACTATGGCGGCTTGCGGTTCTCCATAGAAACTCATCAACGCTTCGTTCGTAGCTACGCTTGTCCAGGGCGGATGCGGCCGCACTGTAATCCGGTGGTAGAGGCAGACCGTCGTAGTATCTTGGAGGTGGCGGTGGAGGTGGTAAAGTGTCGTAAGGATGAGGTGCGGCGTATGGTGGCAAAGGAGGTAGCTGGTGCTGCATGGTTCTCATGTAATCAGCAACGTAAGCCTCCGCCGCTGCTGCTACACCCAATCCGGAATTTCCATATGCTCTGTAAGAAAGTAAAAAAAAGAATAGATGTGATCGCATCGTGGAAGGTCACCAGATTGTTCAGATAATTCGAATGAAATGGTTGCTGTGCTTACTTGGAGTATGGGGAGTCTGCTCGATTAAACCAGCTAGGATAACGATGATGATGATGATGATGATGATCCCTGGAACCTCGGTGGTCTCCGGATGGCAAGTGTCCACCTCTTGCCAGAGAAGCTAATCGAGATCTTGAAGTAAGGAATAGACGACGTCCTCTACCTCCTCCTCGGGACCTTAGGAATCTGGAATTAGTGGTGGGCCGGTTTTCTCGATAGTTCCGCGATGACTTTGTTACGTTTTTCGCAGCTTCTTTAGACTTTCTCAGTATTGGTGTCATCTCTATTCCTATTATGGAGTAGCATTGCGAAAAGCATGAGGAATATTCTTTAGAAATAGAAAGTCATTTTAAAAATTTTCCTCACCTTCGTCTTCAGGGAACAGTCTGCACAACTCCTCTGCAACTCGAGGTTCGATCTCCTGACCATCACGCCCAATTTTCACTTGTTTGCCATCATTCCAAGGATTGTAGAGGTGCAGCGTTGAGGTAAAAGGTAATTCTTTTCTACATATCCAGTCTACTTTGAAAACACCACCAAGTGCTTTCGCAGAAAGTCCTGGAGGTAACACCTACAGTAAAATGTTTATTATGAATTCTTTTCATTTCGATACCACTTTTGTTTTGGATGGACATAGGTGACAACGAACCCACGATATAGGAGCTCCATCTCTTCTAGACTCAGTGCTTAGTCTAGCAAATCCAGCAAACTTTCCTGATTCCTTAACAGAAAAAACGAGCAAGACGTTCCTTGATTCTCTGTAGGCCTGGTTCAGGTTAGCCTCATTCTGTGGCAAAGTACTCCACACTCCCTTAGCTTTCGAGAGGGTTACGTTCTCCGCATTGTTGGACTTGATGATGAAAAATCTGGCAGCAAAAACTTTAAAGCATGCGCTAAACGCTCCTTAAAAATTTCTAGCCAAAATTTTCAAGGGAATCAAATACTCTATGGACAAGTGGTAACAGTAATACATAGGCTAGTTATTTATGAAGGATTAAATAAATAAACCAAAACCGTTTGGCTAGAAATCTTCTAATAACTGCTAAATATTTAATGTGAGTGAAATGCTCCGAACCTCGCGTCCCTAAATAAGTAATTCAATTTTGTAGTGTAATCGTAATTCTTGGCGATGCCTTTATTCTCCTTGGATCTGGCTCGTTTCGCCTCTGGTGTTGTGGACTTGGAATCTCTGGATCTAGCTCGTTTTCCCCTACTGCGTCGGTCACGTTTGTTATCTCCTCGTGTTGAATTCGTAGATACCGAACTGATACTTGGTTGACTGGAGTCAGAATCGGAGCTACTAGAAGAGACTTCGCTGCGTGTATCATAAGTTTCATCAGCACCGATCTTCAGCTCGTCTCCCATGTCATTTTCTCCGCAACTTAAATTAAGGTTGTCCCCATCCGTGTTACTGTCCATTATGGCCTTAACTTTCTTTGCTTTTCACTAGTCACCACCGGAGAATCAGTCAAAATCTTCTAATTCTTCCTGTCATCCAGGCTTTGCTTCTCTGGACAAGGCAAGCTTTTCTGTCTGAGACCAGTAGTTCTGTGGCGGCCTTAAATCGCCTCTGAAACGCAAATATAAAAAGAACCTTACTCGAAGGCTACGCTGCAGAATATTGAGATCGTCCAATAAGAATATTACATCAAAATATGTATCGTACATTATATGACAATTACGCGACAGTGAAGGGCTCTTTAATGGTTTACACATTATTGGCAGACTCGGAGTAAACGACGCTACATCCGCCGTAGAGCTCCTAGTAAGATAGTTGATATGGTGGAAAGAATCGCGCGTAAACGAAGAAACACGGTCGTTATTATTCAGACGTGATTTGTAGCCAGAAGGTGCATGAACAAGGAGAAAAGAATTTACAGCATCCGAACAAACAACCGATTGCTTTGCCCGATTAGTAGAGAAATTGTCCATCTGCATTTTTAAAGGAAACGAAAAGGTCGCAGATTGTATAGGTTGCTGCTTTGTTGTCGTTCTACAGTTTAGTTTGTAGGGTTTACGTTCTTCTTCCATTTTTCAAACTAACACCTGCGTGACTTAATGGGAGCGTTCATTTTCGAGTAGTCGACAATGCATTTAACGTTTTAAACATTTGGCCTATAGATAACAACGGGATTGACAGTTTTTAGCGTTCTCACGAATTTTCACGAGTTTTCTCTCACGATTCCGTGTCTCGTTCTCTCATTCTCTCTCACTCTTTCTCGCGTTCGCTCTCATTCCCACTCACACTCCCTCTCTTTCGTACCGTCCGAGAATCACGGTGCGTCGCCCCTTTATTTATATAAAAGTAACTAGACGCAGTCCTCTTTTAAGATTAGGGGTCTAATCTTGGAAAAAGTTCGTCCTTAAGGCAAAGTTTAACTAAGTCCTGGCATCACTAGACATGCTCGAGAACTTCCAGAACATCATTAACATCCTTATCGTCATCGCCATCATGTTTTTTTAGAAATAAGTTCATCTTTTGCAAACATAAGTCCTTTTGATGATACCAGCCCTTCAGACGGCTTGTACACACTTACGTGCACACTCGTATTATCCTCACTTAAAACACACTTCCCACCTCACAAACTACACGGACCGACAGTCATACATAAAAAATATCGTTGAAGTAAACGAACCAGCCACGGAGTACACAAGGAGCACAGGAAAAAATGCCGTATCTCATGAAAAAGCACAGTAAACAATTATCTAGTCGTAGAACTGTGCGAGGACTCGAATGTCCGTCGCCATTGTGTGACGTGTCGAACGATCGATAAATTCTAGTACCAATCGAAGAAAAAAATGTCCAGGACATGAAACGCGCTAAATCCAAAAACCAGAAAAAGTGGTTAAATTATCATTAAATTGGAGGAGCACGAAATTTTATTTGTATCCTTTAAACATTCACAATATGTATCTCCTGCAATTTCATTATCAACAAAAAAGTACACGTTTTCTGCTAGAGAAGCAGTGGATATTGAGGTGGTTTCAACCTTATAACGATGTGAGTCGTACACTGAATTATTAAAACATAACGCTTCACAATTAAAGAATATAAATATAAGAATAATTTATCATTAGAAAAATCTTTCTGACGATTGATGTATTGCATTTAAAAGCGTAAAACGAAATATCCCTATGCTGTGAAAGTCGCCATCTTTAAATAGGATAGCGACCATCTTGGGCCATTTTTCACGGGTTGTTGACACGGGCAGCTCCCAGCCGGTCGTGAAAGTGTTTTGCGCTCGAAAAATCGGAGCTGAATCAAATTGAAAGTAATTATTAGCCCGTTGAAAAATTCCTAGTTGAGAGCGTGACATTCAAGACAATATCCGCTAGCCGAACGAGCGTTGATATTTGAAGAAACGAGAATAAAATCCGCGAAAATAAGCGTCTGTCACGAACGCGAACTCCAAGCAGTGTTCACTAGAGTTGACAGAGCCGCGAAATACTAGTGTTCTCTCTTTTACTTTGTCTCTCTCACGAACTTTATCTCTCTCTATCTCTCTTACTCCATAGACAAACATATATATAGATCTATCTATTAATCTATTCTTCCATATCCACTCGTATCTCTTCCTGTATTCACGTAAATTTTTGTCCTTATCCGGTGACTCCGTCAACTCCTCAATGTTGCCTGTGACATAAGCAAGAGTGGAGTCATTCGTGGAAGCCAGCTAGACAACAAATTCACAAGACTTCTCGTTCTTCTGATATCTTCGCTGGAGGAAATGCTTCCGTGCACATGGTGACACCTCTGGTGAGTCCTGCATATAATTCTAGAGCAATATCTTTTTTTCTCTCTCAATCGTAAGACGAAGACCCGCGCCAAGGCCTAGGACAATCTCCGTTGCGAAACAGCAAAGATTTCTGAGTTCCGGAGTGAAGAAGTGCGCGTGCCAAGAGAGATTCGATCGCCTTCACGAAAGCGCGAAAAATTTCGGTATGGTCCATGGCTCCAACGGTCACTGGCCTCTAATGGCGATTGGAATGTAATTTGCATTTAATTAAACCTCCAACATGATTTTAGAATTACGTCCAATTTCTTGCGGACCTTGTCGTTAATTCGTTCTCTTCGATCTTCATACTTCAAACGAAGCTTTTGTGCCGATAAATGACCGTTAATTTTTATGCGAAAATTATAGTGAATTCAAGTGCAGGGAGTTTCGCGCTTAAAAATAAACATATTCAGATAATCTTAACATTGGTATGTGACATTGGAGAGCCATACATGGATAGAGATTTACATATAATTATTATTCACAGCAGCGTCTAGTTTTATAAGGAACACTGTAAAAAAAATATATTCTTAGATTATCTAAATTATCCTGACACTGAACATTCGGAAGACAACCTATTATTACGTTGCTCTGTTTAAATAATTATTTGATTACAATGCGTTGTCCGTTACATATTTGGCTTTTTGAATTAGGACTTCTATTTCAGTTACTTGCCTTGCAAGCATTGCCAATTAATTTACCCTTTTAGACCACTGAAAAGCTGCCATTTCAATTCGTACGAAAGGTCATATACTTTTCCTGTGTCTAATTCTAAAAAAAGCTCGAACGTTACTTCCTACATTAAAGATCAATAAATTGTGTCAAAAATTCATTTATTGCATATATTATAGTTATGCAATGTTTTATTTGACAAATAAACTCATATACCTATACAGTCTGTGAGAGATACCTCAGTGAGTTTAGAGGTAAACATGCAGACCTTTGGTATATTAAGTTTCACTTCTGTCAAGTCCAAATTGTAATGCAACACCTTGTTTGAATGACGAAAGTTAGTAATATTTTTGAAAAAGTGATTCACTTTATCACGTTCTACAGAACTGCTGTCATAGCAGATTTCAATTGTTCTTGCATTATCGAAACGGAGTGTGAATCACTATTATTTTGTTATATCACAGGCGACAAGCAGTTTCAGTTATCGATTGCAACCTGCAAATTAATAGTAGTTTGCACAATGCAAATAGTTTTCGAAAGAAGACGAAGAGGAAGGACAGAAGTGCAATTCCGATAAGAAATCCTTGATAAGAGCAAGCCTATGAATTGACCGAAATGGACTTCTCGTGACAATTGGTATACCAGGAATTCGTGATTGATTACCATTTTTTCTTTGTATTCAACGGTAAAAATTACGATGGAGAACCAAAACCAGAAATCGAATCATTTAAACGGAATGAGATTAGGCAAGAGGAATGCACGAGTACATTAGTATGCGAAAAGCGTAAAAGCGTAACTGTACGTGCTGGTGTGACACTATTTCCAATCGTGGCACCTCGACGTCAAGATTTCGATATTTGCCAAGAAATTCATCTTCAGTGCTGAACCTTGAACCTTTCTAAAAAGCTCATCTGTTTATGATGTTGTCTGTGTTAATCCCTGAACGTGGTCAAGGATCGTTGTACGTTATTAAATAGGCGTTTTTCCAATATAATGAAACGTTCTTTGAAAACAGAATATCCGAGAAAGTAACGGTTGCAGAAGGTCGCTTCGTTACAATCGGAGTCTGGTTCAAGGACCCGGGTTCAAGGCTGTTCTTCCGTGTCAAGTACACCATCCATTAATAAATTAAATTTCGAAGCTGCGTTAAGCTTAAAGTTTCCTCATGAGCTTTAGGCCTTTTTGATTGCACGGAATACACAGTTTATGAAATTGTCTAGGATATTACAGTCGGAAGTCATTTGAGTCTCACGATCAATCTTCTTGAAAAGGAACGTGGAGAAAAGAATGACGAACAGAAGTTTACAGACATTAATATCTGATAGCTTAAAAGCTTTAAATGGCTGCCAGGAAATTGACTTGGAATATACTGGAGACAAAGGTGTAAAAATGGAAATTTATCGATCCACCTTCGCGAGCAGTTTTACCTTGTTGATTCGTAACGTCCAAAGGATTTAGTTCGTCATGTTAAGAAGCGTCTGGTGTATTTTAAAAGATGCTGCGACCATTACTGGGTTACCCAATCCAGTTCATAATGCATATTCTTAATGTTTGTAAAACCGTTTGTCAAACCGAAGCAAAGACAGAGTCAGAGTCAGAGAGGAGAACAGGACTCAAGTATTGATTGTGGAAGTACAGTGTATCGTGTGGCCGTGTGGCCGTGTGGTTCTGTGGATGGGTGGCTGGGTGGTTGGATGGCTGGAGGGTCGAAGCCCAGACAAGACCCACCCACCTCTATAGGATACCATGTCTCCCACTTAACTCTGACTTAAACCATTTTTAGCTGAGAGTCACAAAGACTTATCAAAGATCATTTTCATAGAACCTGCCTAAAATTAGGGATACCAATGAGAGAGCATCTTCGATCTCTAATCTTCGGAAGATTTTTACTATCGTTCTTGTACGTGCAATCCGTCTATTAATAGTCCAGACGAAAAGTCCTTTTATCTATTATCAATTCTAGCTGATCAATGGGACGTGCCTTTGACGTGCGTATCATTGCGAGAATGAATTATCGGCTTCAGGTACACGGAGATGGGCCCCTTGGAGTTATTTTGCAAAAGGTCTTAATGCCTTCAGATCGCACGAATGAGTTCATCACTCTGGAGGAGCCCCATGCGTGATATAGAAATTCAATAAAGGTCGCTCAAATCGATGACGTTCAATGTTCATTGACCAGAAATCCTCGGTGTGAGCGCACCTGTTTCTAAGAGAAGATTTATCAGGGGCGTTGAAATTGCTGTCCACCTACTCATCGTGTTCTCAGATTTTTAAAAATAATCTCGTGTCCTTTGCTTTTGCAGACTTTGAAAATTGAAGAGGATCAAGAATGACCTACGCTAATGACAATGGGCTGAAGCATTGCGCGTTACAGAGCAACCTCCAATTGCAAAAGATCTAAGGAAGGTGGCAGGTATGCATATATCTTCGTGGAGAAAATAAAATGTATCGTCACGTTGGCGCATGGAGTTATCTTGGAAGCAGAGACTGTTTCGTTAATAATCTACTTCCTTATCAGTCTATCTTGAGAGTATTATCGTATCATCGTATCTTGGAAATTCCACTTCGCGCAGTGTAGCACTACCGTGTATTTGTCTGTAGAAAAAAAATTGGATACCTAATAACGTTAATTTCAATTATTATCAGAGCGTGAGCAGCAAAGAAAATATGGCAGCGCTGGAAGAAAAGAAACGCATGGGGGGCTCGAAGGTCTCGGCGATAGCGAACATATTCCAACCGAAGCCCCAGCTCGAGAATCTTAGTCATCGTACAAATACAATACTCTCCGAAGGTTTTAAGGAGCCGCCAGCGCCGTTAAAGGAATCGCCGACCCAGGTGACAGTTGTCAGGACAGAGAGCCACGTAGCGCGATTCAACAATGCGCGAGCATTGTTTGAGAAACTCGGCGAGGAGAACAAGCCTAATCGGCCGTAAGTAGAAACTACTTGTTTACCGTTAGTTATCTTTTACTTGTTGTCAGAGAAAGTAATTGTTCTTATTTTCTATTTTGTAGCAGCGATCGAACGGCGAAACCTCCGAATTTGCATGGATTGCGTTCACGTTCGAGTTCAGCAAATTCAGGCTCCGGGTGCACCTCACCTGCCAGGTCGCCACGACCGCGATCCCCGTCTCCTCCAGGAACAAGGGATCACTTGAGCAATTGGAGTGCTAGCGTACCGGCTCTTAATGCTGAACGTCACTTTGAGAATGGACACTCACATGGTCCGGATGTTATGGCGGACAGGCTGAGGCCACGAGTCGGTTTCGGAAAGTACGATAAATTTGAGAAGAATCATGGGAAAGAAAATCGATTGGATGAGAAACCGGAAAAGCCTGAGAAACCAGAGAGAAGATTAAATCCTAAAGAGTTGATAGAGAAGCAGAAAAATTGGACGAGTCACTTTTCAAAGACGAGGCCGAGTAGGTTCAATTCGGATCCGAACCGGTCCATTGTGCAAACTTCGTTGAATCAAAATTCAAACAGGATTAGCATGGATGGGAATGGTACGGCAGGGCATACACAGACAGCTGTCAGTCATGAAAACGATGTTAAGAGATCATCGGATTCAGTTAATCCTTTGGCCACTAGGTCAGCGAGTTTTTGTTCCACCAGACCTTCCCCTAATGTTTCACCACCTCCACCGCCACCGCCAACCAGGAATTCCTCTACAGGTAATTTAAGGAAGGAACGTCCAGCCAGTATAGCTTCGATCAGCCCTAGCAGCCCGGATTACCCAGAGACCCCCGAATACGCGACCATCAATAAGCATTCGGACAGTACGCCCGCGATGCCGGAGTATGCTGTCGTTCAAAAAGGTTCGAATGCTCAAGCTAACAACAACTCAACGCGAAATCACGAAGATCAACGAGATATTTCCAAGTGTCAAGTGAATCAGGTGCAAAAGCACCAGGACTCTACGTTACCGGAATACGCAGTTGTGCAAAAGGGAGTAACGGGTAAGGTCAGTCAAAAAAATGTGGATTCGTCAAAGAGTGCTGCTGTTCAGAAAAGTGCAAAATCTAATGAGTTTACCGGGTCAAAAGTTATTCCGAAAAATGGAACAGGTCTCGAGAGAGACTCTCAGCCAATAAAATCGCACGTTTCTCCTAACGAGCAAGCGATTAACGTCTCGAGTCCAGCTCGGAGTATCTCTATGGAGAATGTAACGATTACCAACAAGTCCGAGAACAAAATCAGGATAGATAGCGAGGAGTTAGATGTGCCAGAATACTCCAATTATCCATCTACGACTCCAGTCCGTTCGCCAGCTAAAACTTCCGACTGGAAGAATGAATGGCTGGCCAAAAATGAGGAGCTCCTTAAGAACGCTGCGGATCTCCGGTCTTCCAGAGATTCGCTGATCACCGGAACCAGGAATGAAATCGTTAGGACCGATTCACGACCGGATTGGGCGAGACCAAGTGTAGACACCGTGAAGAGGAAAGAAAATATGTCCGAAGCCAAAAGGATAGAAATGTCAAGATCACCAGAGGGTGAGCTGAGGCCGTCATCAAGAGGAACGGATAGTGCATCCTCAAGTATGAGCTCACCGAGTTCCCCGTCGAAGGAAAGCAAGGAAGAGAAAGCAGAGAAAGAGATTCCGGAAAAAATTCAAACCGGTAAGCAACTGAAATCTTACTTTAGTTCACTGAAGCTACTTTCGAACAATCATATGCATATTACATTTATTATTTTGTTTCATGAAACCTTTATCACTTTCAAAAACTCCATTTGTTAAATAGTCAAAAACTTGGGGCCCACATGTCTTCTGTTTTTCTTCCTTGTGTAAATATCAATGAAATTAGCAAGATGAATTGATGAATGACGTCATTGAAATTTAGTATTATACATCTTGATTTACCCAGTAACGAAAATTTGGATAAGAACAATTGAAAAAGAAGAGGTATAGCCGCTTTAAAATTGCTTGTATTACTTGTCATCTGTATCAGCAAAGAAAGACTACCACAAATCTATACCGTGAATGACGCCTACGCAAAAATTTGAAAATGGAAGGGAACACCAAACAAATAGAAAGTACTAATAATACAAAAAGCACTAAAAATACTAAGGATGCGTTCCCATGCCGATTGGAGTTATTCAAAGGACGGCCGTGGCCAGTGACTACCTTATGCTAAGTGGCAGCCTGCCAAAATACTAAAAAGTAAAAGTGAGAGTACCAGAGGTCGTCCCCTTCTCTCCAGTTTCTCCTGCTCTCAGACTTCTCCTACCAGTCTCAACTGCATTATTTATAGAAATCAGTATGAGCCCTGTTCGGCATCTGTCTGCTTGTACCTCGCGGCTTTTGCGTGATCGAAGTACTTGAAAAATCCCTGAGTATTTTCTCTTGACGAACGACTCTGTGCAAAAATACCCGATTTCTGTACGTTCCATGCTTTCAAATGAGAACGTACGTTCTTTCAAAGTGCACAATAAGCCGCAATGCCAGCAATCAAAGAGTCTAAACAATTACGGGACTTGTGTATAAAGATTTTAAACAATTTCTGACGATGTCTAAACACCGTGAAGGATTATAATTAATTCTTTATAGTCGATCGTTTATGGTTCTCTGATTAAATGAAGTGCACCTGCACTCAAGTCCTTGACGCATGTCTTCTGATTTGCTGTTGTCAATGCGTCGTGCCGAATAATGATGTCGAGGATCCACACAGGAAAATCTATAGAATATTAAGTAAATCGTGACCGAACGCCGCGCGCGTCTGAACGTCTGAAAGCTAACGAGTCGATGGATTTTTTATAGGATATTCCCTTGATACATGTTTTTCGTTCGGTTCTGTGTGCTTCGATATATTTTTGGTGAGATGTTTGGCATTCCAGCGATGCACGCCCACGCATGACAAGGAGAAGTTTGCCTGTAGTCGTCTGGACGAGTGGCTTTTGTCCTAGTTTAATATCAGAAACTTATTAACCGGATACGGATGTCTAGGTCCTGAAAGTATTAGATATCCTCTGAAAAAATTTATAAGAAGAAAGGACCAAATTATTCGACCAAAGTGCTATGTGCCTTCGCCTGCTGTGTATCGATTGTCGAGGTATTTAAAGAAAAAGAATTGTGTAAAAGATCCTTTTGTTTTTAAATTAAATTTCATATATTCACTATACTAGATACGTAGGAGATAGCCACGGCATCGTTAGGACTTGTTGCTGCTGCCAAAGCAAGATTGGTGGTAAGTCTAACTTTGAGTAACTTTATCGTTCAAGGACGTAACAGCTATGATTTGGAAACGGAGGAGCCCGAGAAGCCGACGAGCTACACAGAGAAGATCCTGGTCGATGAGATTAATACGGAAAAGGAGTCAAAGTTCAGCGAGACCGACACAGCGACGGTCATACGGCGTTCTCACGTGCGAGTCGAGCTACCAGCGGCTGGACTGGGACAACGACCACCTTCTGTCGTCAGTTCGGATCAGGAATTTCCACCCTTGGAACACAAGGATATACCGATACCCTCGCCTTATACCAAACGAATTCAACAGTCCCAAGAAACGTCTACGACGAGCAGGAAGAAATCAGAATCGAAAGTAACGGGTCGACCGGGAGCAGCTGAAGAAAAGCAGCAGCTAATATCAGAGAGCCATCTGCAACAGGTGAAGTGCGAGGATAAATCGCAGGATGGCGTTTACAAGTTTCAGCAAGCGACGGTCACGACTACCGTACAGGACGAGGAGAAGACGGAGAAGGAAAAGTCAATGGTAGAAGCTGTCTCAGAGAAGCTTACGATGCACGAGACTCACTGTCAGAAGACAGTGGCCAATGCGCGTAACGATCAGATAAAGGTGTCTGTGCGAGAGAAATTGGCGAAGAACAAGGAAGAAGTTACGGAAAAACGATCAAGTTTCACCGAGGCGGAACACAAGGCGGATGTCCTGGACAAATCATCTTCGAGTACAAATCAATATCCGGTTGTTCCTAGTAATCGCACTAAGGCTAATTCCATTAAGCAGTCCGGTGCTAGTGAGGAAAGCGTGCCTAACGAGACAAAATGTACCTCCGATGCGTTGACCACTTCCACGAGGAGCAATCTCAACGACAGTAGCAAAGTCTCTGGTTCCGCGTTTGATCCGAGCAGCTTGATCAGATCCAGCCACGTGGAAAGTCCTGCAACTGGCTCAAGGAAGGATCCCCTGGACGATTCAGAGCAGCCGCAGACTACTTGGGAACAAGAGAAACTGAAAGCTGAGATGGCGAAGTTGCGACTGTCGGAGACTGGCAGCTCGAATTTGACGCAAAGTTCAAACAAATCTCAGTCACAGGCAGCAGCCCTGATCTCACAGAAGTACCAGGATCCCAGCTCCGCGGATGAGCAAAAGGACTCCGAGAATAGCCTCGTAGAAGATAGCGATTCTAGCGATGCCAAAACCATAACAAATTTGGAGAGTCTCACTTCCTTGGAGAATCGAAGCCTGAACGGGCAACAGGAAATGCCAGCAAGAGTACCGAACAAGAACGTTGTAGCCTCGGTGACGCCGATGACGCCGGATACAATGACAGCCGACGAGGCTGAGAATTTGCTGAGTTCTCGGTAAGCAATAAAATTAATGATTTATCAAGTCATCATAGTAGAGGAAGCAAATAGAATCGACCTGGCGTTTCATTCTACTAATGTCAGGATCGAAAAGTAGGAAGGTCCTAAATCATCGACTTGAGCTGAGGGTTATCTATTTTTTGATGCTCTACTAACGTCCATCGCCAACCGCAGCATGCTCTGCTTTCTTAACATAGAAAATAGATAAGCAACACGAGTCATTTTCATTTTATTCCTTCAAATTCCTGCCATCGCGTTTCATTCGTTGAGCTTGCGCAATGCGAGCTATCACTTTTTTTTTGTTCGTTCATTAAATTTTTCATTTTCATTAAAGCTCATGCACCTTCCTGAGTAATCTAGAACTTTCCGTTGGTCTATTCTAACTTGTCTTCTGTATTCAATTCGATATGTGCCTGTGATGAAACAACAATGTGCCTCCTGGACTTTGCAGCATATTGGAGAAAAAGATAAGGTGAGTAGAGGGACATTCCTTTGCAACGCTGCCCCCCTTGCCATTATAATAATTTTAATAGTTTTAATGAAAAACGAGCTGAGATCAAAGTCAATGGTAAAAATGATAAACTAGACAAGGCTCGGCACTCCTGTCGGACGAAGAGGCCCAAGAAATAGCAAGATTGTTGTCACCTACTAGCACCACGGCTCCTGCTACTGCCGAGGAGGAGAAAAGGTTGGACAAAAATAAGGAGAAGGACAAGGACAAGGATAGGGAAGAACAGGACAATACTCCGGATTGGCTCTCTGATGTCCTCTCTGCTCCGGATTCTAGCCTCATCAATAGTACAACTCAGGACTGCAGGTGAATTATCATAAAGTAACGTTTGCATCATGGTCTTGAATGTTCAGTCGCTTTTCCTGCTTCTGCACTTTGATTTCTTTTAATAATTGTCATTCGAGAGGAGATTGAAAATTTTAGGCTACGTTGAGACTTCTCGATTCGTTATTAATTTCAGCCAATTTCAGTCTGTCTCATAGATCACGCAGCGATCTGACGATAGACTCTTTGACGGAAAGCCAAGTGGGCTCTGTTACTGGTAGTGAGAGCGGACTTCTAGGCTCGGTCAGTAGTCTGAATGATACTCAGGAAACGAATGATGACACTGAGACCGAGCATCAGGACGAGTACCAGCCTGCCCGGGGAAAGATTGTAAATCATTGATTAATTTTATAACACATTTTTTGAACAACTCTAATATTACTTTCACAGATTGTAAGATGAATTTCATGAATTTGACTAGATCCTCGTGGAGAACGGTGTGCATTATTTCGAGGATGGCCACTTCTGGATGGAGGTCGCTGGTATTCCTGAATCCGAGGACGAGGAAGAGGAACTGCCACCCATGATTTCCTTTAAAAAAAACTCGAAGGTTTCCTTCGACACGGGACCCATGAGAGTTTATTCGACGCATTCCGTGAACGAGTACGATCGGCGCAACGAGGACGTTGATCCCGTCGCTGCAAGTGCGGAGTACGAACTGGAGAAACGTGTAGAAAAAATGGAGGTAACGATCTCGAGATAGTTGATGGGAGAGTATTGTCAGTGACTAATTGAACGATTGGTACTAGGTATTCCCTGTGGAGCTAATGAAGGGTCCGGAAGGTCTTGGACTTAGCATAATCGGAATGGGCGTGGGTGCCGACGCGGGTCTTGAGAAATTGGGTATCTTCGTGAAAACTATAACAGAAAAGGGAGCTGCAGCCAGGGAAGGCAGGATTCAAGTAAATGACCAAATCGTGGAGGTCGATGGGAAATCCCTCGTCGGTGTTACTCAGGCTTACGCTGCCAGTGTCCTTCGGAACACTTCGGGTCTCGTGCGCTTCTTGATTGGCAGAGAACGAGATCCCCGGAACTCAGAGGTAGCTATGCTCATTCGGCAAAGCTTACAGGCAGACAGAGAACGGGAACAAGCCAGCAATAATACAAACAGGTATAATTGATTGCTGCTACTCTGTGGTTTATCATTTCAAATTACAATAAATTTCCCAATGATGGTTTATCCTTGCTCGCAAACTTTCGCTGACGAAAACTTACGGCCACTCCAGCGAGCGCCTGAGGTCTCCTGGAGTGCTGAGGGAAAATAGACTTGAGTGAATTTCGTGAAAGAAAATATTACTCTGGCTTTTTTTTGTATTAAACTACTTGATCTCTGGATGCAGGAGACTGAATTTCTCTGAGGAAAATTCGCCGGACGGACAACGAGAAGGCGATGACAATTCAATGAGCAGCGGAATGGGAATGCCTGGAGGTATTCCTGGATCACCGGCTATGTCTTCCTGTTCGGAAGGTGATCCTCCCCACAGTCCAATCGAAGCGTACTTGTCGCCATCAAGTAGGAGTAGATCGCCGATCATAAGTTCCTCGTTACCACCACATTCGACAACCACCACGCAGAGTGACGTCGACAGTCTCAGAATGCTCTTGCAAGAGGTACCTTAGATCGTTCCAAGTTATCACTAGTAGTACAGTTACTTGAATTCACACCGAGATTACACAGAACGATGGCCTCGTTGTGAAGATATTACATTTTTTTTTTTTTGGAAAATTGGGAAACCCGATGACCTGGACTGACAAGTGATCATCGCGAACTTCCCTTCTCCTAGCATCATAAAAATCCTACTCTGTATGCTTAACGTTGTTTGGTGTTGTACGTGCTGTATTATAGTTTGGTATACATTTTTCATCGTTGTTCATCACCGACTCTTATCACTCTTTCTGCTGTACATACAATTTTTTGGGTGTTTAAATGTTGCTAGTTAAGAAAAATAAAATTTTCTTTAGAAAATGTGTGAGCATAGAGAGAACGGTATCCTAGATGTTGGTAGTCTTGTACAAAATGAAACTCGCAAGGTCTTTGCTGGATGTATTCATCACAAAAGAATATTTCATATCTGAACCTTGAAATCAGTTTGTAGCCGGTCATTGACACTGATTTCCGAATAGAAACATAAACTGGCAAAATCTCGCTCCAAAATCCTTTCAAAGGTTTGAGCCTGTTAGCGATTTTTCAGTATGAATATTTTTGGGGTTTTGCTTATGTGTCGTGCGTATTATTGGCTGCTTGCAGAGTCAATATAAGCTCGCACTAGCCGACGGAGAGGTGGAAAAGCTCAAGGCGAAGGTAATTACATTCTTGTTATTTATTACAATAGAGTTCTAACAGACAATATAGAACACTACGTCTCCTACAACGTAAGTTATCCTCTTGAGCCATTTAATAATCCCTATTAACATACCGTACGAAAAATAGCTAGTAGGTATAATATTAATATAACAAATGTATTGTCATTATCATTATCCTGCGTCCTATGTTAACCCTCGCATGTTTCATATCCGTATTTATTCATGACTTGGTGTAGCTTAAGCTTTTCTAATAAAGTCCCATTGCTAATATAACATTGTACAGTCGTGACAGCTCACAAGTCTAATAAAAGTCTCTACTTTTTAAAGAACTGCATCTTTTCGTTATTCACAGTTGGTGGAATTGGAGAACAGCGGTGCAGGTAGCGAAGAATATGCGGCAAAGTTGCGTGAGTCCGGTCTGCGATTACACGAATCCGAACGAGCCCTAGGTGCGGCACGACAGGATCTGTCTGCAGCGCGAGAGATGCTCACGCAGGCTACAGCACAGAATGCAGCATTGCAGCAGAAATATGCACGGGCGAGGAGAGCAGCACGAGAGCTCAGGACAGATATTGCCGCCCGGGATGAATTTTATCAACAACTGCTCCAGGAGAAGGACACCGAGTACAACGCTCTCGTCAAAAGTCTAAAAGACAGGGTACGGTCATCGATGGCTGATTAAGTAAAGTTTTCAGGCTTAGTATTGGTCGGTGATCTTCAAGGATCCTTTTGATTCACAGGTAATTACTTTAGAAGTGGAACTAACGGAAACACAGCGGAGATTCGGTTTGCCAGTTCGATTACCGTATGACGGGGCCACAGCGAGGATCGTAACTCCTCAGCCAACCAGGCGACAACTTCCACCACCTCCGTCGTCTACGAGTTGTCAGCTTTCCGATACAGAGACGTCTGACCTGAGCAGTCCGGATGATGGGGACAAAACGGCAACCGTTGAGAGGAAATTGCCGTTGCCATTGCCGGTGAAGGAAGAGCTGGATCGTGCTGTTCCTGCTCATCGCCTCCTAGACAATTCTGCGGGAAAGAGCAAGGCTGAATTAGCGAGCAGAGGAGGACTAGCGAATCGTCAGCTTCCTAAGCGATCCGGTGGATTGAGCAATAGCAGCTCGGATTACGGACTGGATGAATCCGGAGATAATACCGATGATGATTCTTCCTCGAAACCAGGAGTTCAACATGACAGTAATAATCGACTGATTAATGACTCTTCCTCGAAGCCTTCGAACTTGAGTTCCTACTCCAGTAGTTCATCCATAAGTTCGCAAAAGAGCAAGCAGCACCTAGAGTCGACGCATTCTACGATGATTCGCCAGCACAGTACTATCAGCTCACAAGTCAGGGCTATGACGGAACAAAGCTGGCCACCTTCGCAAAAGGGTACGATAACGTCAAATTGAGATAATTGTATTACTTTAGGATTTACTTGGCACTAATGACACTGACTGTGTTGATCAGGTTTGACAGGACCTCCCGCGTCCCTGGCTGAGCAATTGAAACAGGTCCTGGCTGAGAGGGAAAGAAGACTTGGAGGGAACGACGTTTCCTCTTCGAGAGAAAGTTCTGGGGATTTTAGCGATTCAAACAATCCACATAATAATGACCCGACCCTAGTCACGCATCATTTAGTTGAAGAAATAAGACAAGCCGTGAGTGAAGCTAATCAGAGAGGTAAGGACAAAAATTGAAAACAAAATTACGTAACGCGTTTCCTTGTTAAATTTCAATGTTCTCAATGTAATTACAGTGAAGAAAGTAACAGTACCTTCTCAGAGTCTGATCGGAATTGGAAGTGCACCTTGGCATCATCCTGGAGGCTCTCCATCGAGTTTATCCTCAGGCGGATCGATAAGTCCTCCTGCTGTGGACCCCAGTCCATCCAAAGCAGGAAGTGCGGGTAATTACTTAAGCATATATATAAAAAGAACCTCGATTACAATGAAGAGAAAAATAAATTATTATTTCAGATTCAAGCGAAGTATGGTTACCACCACATCCGAGTGATTTCGGATTAGGTGATAAGAAGTCGCACTTCTGGCAAAATGCTCCGATTAGTCCAATCACTGAGTGGAGCAAAGAACTAGTAAGTAGGAATAAAACGTTCTTTAAAATATGATTCTACGAAGGCTCTTCAAAAACATTGAAACACCTCTTATCTCCACCCGACGTGTCACAGGTTTGTCAATGGGTGTCTGGAGTGGGATTGGAACGTTACGCGAATCGTTTCGCCGAAGCAGGGATCAACGGTGCAAGTCTTCTTCGAATAGAATCCAGAGACCTCAAAGCTCTAGGTATCTCAGGCGAGGAGAAGGCCCACCTTAAGAGAAAATTAAAAGAACTTCGTGCGCAGGCAGATCGAGAACGTAAAGAGCGTAAGGAACTGGAGCGCATGCGCCGAAAAGCTGAAAAAGCGGCGCGAAAAAAGTAACTCACGATTAATTAAATATCGAGTGGATCGTCAGTTTTTTGATCTTGTATGAAACGAGAGAGATTCAGAGTTTCCAGGAACTTCATCTATCCGATCTACCGAAATTCCAATGCTACTCGTAGCGTACCTTCGTTCATCTTTATTTACAACGGCTGATCATTACAATTTTCATCAACCGCTTACTCGAACTTTTGTTCACTAGACGGGGTCGACCATCAGCCATTTAAAGATCATAGAAAATCTCATCAACACGATTGATCGTAACGCATTGATTTGCCCGTCAAAAAAAATAGAGAATTCGTCCTTGATTCAGTGAAATTATCTACAAAGCCATGTTACTTTTAGATTATAGGACATTCGTACGTCACGATAAATTAATAGACGGATGCTCGACGAAAAGCGACTATGTTTTCGTATTTTTTCTATTTCTTTATTACGATTATACATTGTTATTATTATATTTATCAGCAGCACTACTACTTCTATTACAACTACTACAATTACTGCAATTACTACTATTACACTACATTATTGCTATCGCTACGGCTAATTACTATTGATATTTAATAATCGATGATGATCACGTTAGAAAAAAGAAGTGCGTGCGATAATGAGAGTACTGTTATGCGATACGCACAATGCGTGTATGTATGTGCATGTATGCGTCTGCCGAATGTAAGAAAGAGTATATGCGCGTGTATCGTAAATATTAGAAAATGTCCAATGATAAAAAAAATTGTAACAAAGTTAGGTATTATTCATTAATTTTTTTTCGTGACTGTACCTACGTCTCCTAGTCGAGACAGCAAGTATCATGTTATCGAAATTCCGATGATTTTTTTTTAATTATTTTTAATTTATTTCAAAAAGAATATCTTAACGAACTAATATCGATAACTCATATTGTTAATCTAAGGAGACACTAGCAAGATTATTGCTAGAAACAAATGGCTGTCCTTTTACGGTATTTCATAAACTATCAACGAATTTTTTAATTAACTAAGGCAATTACATTATTAATATCGTAGTCCTAAGCGTAGGCACGACCAACTTCAAATATCTTCACTTTACTCGATCCCCATTATTTCTTTCATCCTTTCGTCGTTAGTATCTTCCTCGGTGTATCTTTTACTTCGATTTTTGCTCAAAGACACATTTCGTATCAACGATCAGATAAAACAACTTTAAAATCACTGCTGTACAACGTCTCCACGATTCGCATTAATGTCACCGAAACAATTATTCTTTGTAATTCAGAAACTTATTAATTCATTGAAGCACTCACGTATATTAAGAAACAATTGAAAGACACGTCCTGCTTGTCAGAGCCCGACTGAAGTGCCAAGCGTGAATAATACGAATGAGATTAACCGATAGATCAAAAGATCCAAAGGATCGATAGAATGCGTGAGAGAGCGTGAGTGCTGGATATGTTATCAGATACGTTACGTAGTCTAACGATGTTATTCTGTGTTAAAGAGAAAATCGAGTGAACGAAAAACAAGAAGAAGGATCAGTCAAACGGGAAAAGATGATTCTCCATGTCTTTTTATTGAGGTAGCTTTTATAATAGCGGCCGTTTGGCTGAAAATTTCGTGCGCCTGTGTTAGACGAGCGTACTTTGACGTACGTGTACTTATTTATAAATAGCTTTAAGTTTTATGTCCAATGTTACAAAGTGTTTTGATTATCCGTTCGGTTGATTTGTGAGTCGCGAGCGATTTTTCACATTTATTTCTTCCTCTCCACGCGCAAAAACAAATCGGATAAGCAAAATACCAATGATTGGAGAACACTTTGTACATAAATATGTATTTAACGATTATTGACGTTAACGATAGCACGATAATAATAATTACCAAGTAATTACTAAAAAAAAGTGGAAACCATATTTGTAGTGTCATAATACTTCATAGTCTATACGTTATAGCTTGGTAATTCGGATGTTTATCGGTGTCCTCCATTTTTTTGTAACAGTGCGATTTATCGATGACTTTTATAACGCTTCTTCATTTTCATTTCCTCGTCATCTTTCTTCTTTATCTTCTTCTTTAATAAGACTTTGTAACGTTATTCGCTACGAACTCGAGGCTTGTCGCGAGGTCTAACCCGAGAATGAGCAAGCTCAAAATTGAAATTCAAGATCTCAATGTCACAGCACAAGTTCTTACTTTCAATTTAGATTTTTCGCAACGTCTTTTTCTCTGTAGATGATGTATCGATTTTTTGCCAAGAGCATATCCAAGGGGTTGTTCATTTTTCTTTCTAATACTTCCCTTTCTGCTTTTCTGATGGCATCGCTCGGCGTTCTTCGATTAAAAATAAATATACGTGAATCAATATCTTTGGGAGCAGCGAAATGAGCTTGAAGAAAACCGACTGATTTGTAAGGATAAGTTTTCTAGACGATTTTCAACGAATGGCTTGAGAAAATTGTATTGCGTAGCGTTCACGAGATGATGTATCGTAGAAGCGTATATGTGAAAAAGCCAAACAATTTTGCGAGCACATCACAAGCCGGGAGCCGCGCCGAAACTTTAAGTTCTTTAGTTCTTTAGTCTGTTAGTTAGTTAGTCGTTTCTGGGTGACATATCCTCACTTATTATTATACATTAAATTAAATTATTTTACACGAGTGAAGTAGCCCGTTCAACGATGTCGTTTCCAACGAGATCTGGATACGTAGTTATCCGACAGCTTTTTAATATATCAAGAACAACAACAAAAGTATTGTCACTTACGAATACCCTTCAAGATTTTAATTAAAAACCATTCGTACGTTACATCCATGATCTGTCGTCGACGTTACTTTTATTCCCCACTGCTGTTTATCAGTCAAACAACTGAGGGCTCTTGTTTCCATGGGAACCAAGAAACATTTAATTATTTTTTGCTCGGTCGATATTGGTCTGCGGTCGACACTTCATGTGGTAGTAAGTTATGGAACCTTTGCGTGGTTTTCTTTCTGTGGACGTTAAATTGTAAACCGATTCTCGTCAGTCCGTTTTTTTGTTTTGCGCGACAGCAGATAGATCCACGAATATGCCTGCGATCGTCGTCAAGGATTACAGTTGGCGACAAACATCCAATAATCTTATAATTCATGCGCCTCTCTTTGGTCATCCAACGAAAGTTGATCTTTTCGCTTTCGATAGTTACGTCAAGGTATCTCATAATTTTCTGTTATTTTTTTAACCTATTTGTCAGGCTATCAGTAATTTTTGTTATCTTTTTGCTCACCTTAGGCAAGCTACCCGCCGTTTATCCTGGAGTTGTTCCTGTGGGGTAGTATCCTTGAAGAGGAGAGCATATGCACCCTGAGCGAAGATCAGGTAATTTTTACATTGAAGAAACAAGAAAAGGGATTAGAATGGCCGTCTCTGGTTAAAGAGGATATTGACAGAGAGACTAAAAGACAATTGAGAGCAGGGATCATTGAAAGATCACAAGACGCCATTCGAGAACGTGGAAAGACTAAAAGTGGTTTGTATTCTTCTTGTTCTCCAGTTTACTTGAATTTTATTATGATGCTATTGTTCTTTATTGCTTAGAAAAACGGGATTATCTACAGAAACAAGCTGTCAGGGCACAGATTGATTTGGATACGTCAACTCTTAATAAGATAGATGCAATGCGAGATTCGCACAGGATGGAAGCAATGAAGGATCTGGAAGATTGGCGATCACAATCTGAAGAACCGATCCTTCTGGGTATAGAGGGTAGAAAGCAAGACAATCGAAAAGCATACAGGTAAAATTATAATGATTTATTTATGCTAATATTTAGGTGCCTATAGTTTAATGCAAGTTCATAGTCAGATTGAGTCAGTATTTGGATGGTTGGAAAATCTAATGTTTCTTGAAGACCACCACTTAAATGGTTCAAGGATGAGGATGGCGGAGTCAAGAGAAGCATCTCAGGTCAGGAGGAAGTTTTAGCTCTACCAGGGTGTACAAATGAGACGCATCACGCTGTCAGTTCCGAGAAATTAGAAATGAAGAAACATTCAGATGATCTTGAGGTGGGGATAGAAGAGTGTAATGATCATAATGTGAAGAGAACAGAGGCGATTGATCGGAAATCAATGAATTGTCAATTGCAAGAATCAATCTGCACTTTGGAGGATTCTGACAATATTTCAAAGGATGAGGATGATCATTCTCATACTCAGAAACGAAAAAACTCTCTGGTGGAAGAAATGAATGAAAAAAGTCTCAATGCATTTTATAAAGAGAAAGAAAAGGAATATTCACGAGGAAGCAAAGAACTTATAGAGCGACTGTTGAAGGGTAAACCATTGAGAAGAGGAGGAATTTTTTGTGATGCAGAAAAGGCAATTCCGCTGCCACGAAAAAGTGGGACAATCAGTGTTAAATTCTCGGAACGTGCTTTTCCAACGCCTGCTAGAGAAAGTCATCAGCTCGAGGAACAGGAAGTGAGTCTATCGAGGTATAACAAACGGTACTTTTTAAATTGTCAACAAATTTTGAAACTGACGTAAGCGATGACTTTAATTTCAGTGGCTTGAGAAGCAAGCCAAGGCAAGAAAGCAATGTGGATTCGTAGCAGAAGATTTGACTCCTGAGGAACAAGATCCACAATGGCTGAAGGATAAGGGAGAGTGAGTTACTGATTTAAAAAATTTCTAAATCTGTTTAATTTAGCTTAAACCCTTTGAAGATTAGTTATTCATTCAATAATCATTTTTCCAGTGAATTCTTTAAGGCTGGAAATTATCTGGGTGCTATAAGTGCCTATAGCCATGGTATTAAGCTGAGCGAGCACATGTCTTCTCTTTACGTTAATCGATCTGCGGCTCATTATGCTCTTGGAAATTATTATCGATGCGCTGAGGATTCCTCTAAAGTAAGTACAATTCCTTTAATCAATGGATAAGCAATAGAATTGACGAACCCGAAAATCCTTATGTGATTAACAGGCACTCGAATTAATGGTGCCTCACTGCAATGGAAATAAAGAGTCGAGGGCAAGGTGTCACGCTCGCAGGGGTGCAGCTCTTTGCAAATTATCAGCCCCTCAGCATGGAATTCCTGAATTGGAAGCTGCACTAACTTTGGTCCCAGAGAACGAGAGTATCAAGCGAGACCTAATGGCAGCCAAACAATACTTTGACCTTCCATAAAAATTATTTGAGAACATTTGAAGTAACAGTGTCAGTATTTAAATAGTAAGAGTGATCTGTATTCGATTAATGATTTAAAACAAATGAAACATACGATGCGTGATGACGATACGTATTACAGAATATCACAGACACGAATACCGATTCTCTGTATTGAATATTAATGATTAGGATATTCTAAGCTTCTTAAAAAATAATTATTTGTCTATAATCAAAGCTTATAATACATATTGATAATTCTATTTTTTAAATCTACGTGTTTATGGATCATTCCACTTATGAATACTACAATTAAATGATTAATTTGAGATCAGACTCTGTTGACGATTACTAGTGATAGTCGAAGGCAGTTTGTGCGCACAATATTATCTTCCTCTGTACTAAGAAACTATTAAGATGCATCGTTAGCTACTTTGAAATGAGGTTTTCGAGAGAATAGCTCGTTCTACGAAAGGTAGCCTTTAATTTAGCGCGGCATCATTGGAGTCTACGCAGCCGCACCTGGTGTGCTCCAGAGCGTGGATGATTTCGTGGTGACGATCCCGTTGTCGATCGATCAAGTGTTTCACCATAAAAACAAGACTGACGTTCCTGGTCTCTATGGGAGCACAGACTTGGCTTGCATTTGGACAGCATCCCGAATCTCCACATCGCGCAAGAACCGTAGAAGCAGGATAAAATATTTCATCCGGAGAAGGACCCACACTGAGAAGTTCTTCTACAGGAACAGCTCTAGGCTGTGGCAACGAACAGCGAAATTGATGCACCAGTTGAACGTGATTTAGAAAACCAATGTCTCTAAAAAATTATAATTATAAAACGGATTAATTAATCAACACCTGTAGGTGTTTAATTGAGATAAAATGAGAAAGCATTGACTCACCTATGATGCTTTGCCAAACCGCAGCTAATAAATCCAATGGCCATTAGCAACAAGAATCTTATCGTCATTATTGCTATAAATCGTTTTTAACTGGTATCACAATTTTTTCTCAATTATTTGACTTTTTAAAAATTATATACAAAGCACAGCTCGCTTAGAATACTAACTGTCAGGGGAAGTTTTAACGGACACGGTTCCAACCTGGCGCCTGATCCAAGATCCGTGACTTGTGACTACTCGGATCTGAATTCTTTCTATATATGCAACTTTCATCCTCGAAGCAGCAACACCGGCCGCCCACCATTCCGCCATACTAACATCCTACCGCGAGCCGACTCTCCCTCTCTTCAAACGTTCCTGCCGATCTTGTCTCTCTTCATCCAATCAGGGGGGCGTATTGAAATGGTTCTTTCTCTGTCTATCGAGTTTCTCAGGTTTCTCAGATTTCTTGGTAAGCTCGAGGAGAACTAGGGGAGTGAGCGGTTCCAAGAACATTGCGAAGATAACTATAATTACAACAAGTGCTCCTGCCTACCGTTCGCAAGCAGAGTTACGTCGCGTGACTCGCAATTTTGCGAACCTAAGTACAAATTTGCTTCGCTGATTCACATGCGAGAAAAAAAGCCGGAATCTTCGTTCCTTAAAAAGTACGAGGAACATGAAAAATAGGATTCATTAACTCGTTAGACAACTCCAGGTAAAACGGGAATCACATTGGCAGTGTATATTTTGCGATTAGATGGATTCAGAATCGAATGACTCATGCTGCATAATCTGAATCTATCAGCAGGTGTCTCTTTGGCGTCTAGCTGACTGCATTTCACTTTTCTTTTTTTTTTTTTTTTTTTTTTTTTTTTTTTTTTTTTTTTTTTTTTTTTTTTTAAAAAAAGCAGTCAAAAATTTAGTCAACATGCCGATTTGGCTGTATGACATACCTATGGATCTGGATTTCCTGGAGGCACGAACGTGACAAATACAAAAACATCGTTAAGGTATTCGAAAGGAAGAGAATTAGTGGCCTAAAAAGTGAGAGTAGGCTGACACTGCCGATTGCTAGATTTCAGTTAATATTGCACGAGGTCGATTTCAACAAGTTGACCCATTCACTTGACTCATCACGTACAGTTATACGTGACGTGTAACACGACGTCACAGATCCTAAAGTAGGCAATGTGGACATTGAATAATTTTTTGTAATCAAAAGTCCACGTATTCAGCATAGTACATGCTTAGAAAAATATGTCATTTACTTCAGAGGTTATTAATCGCAAGAGAGACAAGATCATCCGGACTTTAGGTTATCGCCCAATAATATAAACAAGCATTTATTTATTGCTAAGGATATTTCTGTTATATAATTCATTTTTTTGGTACGTATGAATTCACTGTAGAGCGAGCTTTGGTTGATTCGCGTAATCGGTAAATTGGCAATCATTTATTTACTTGGACCGCTTTTATGAATTTCAAATTCCCACCAATAAGCTATGCTCGATAGTACGACAGAGCACTCTGTTAGGAAGTTGTCTCCTGTTCATAGCCAACCAGTAAGAAATTATTTCCCCTAGGGTGCAGACCGACGCAGAACAAACCACGCTATCAGTCCAGGTTGTTCAGATCTGCCATGCGCATAGATATCCCTTCGTATAATAACTTTATTACTACGAGTACTGAGAATTCAAAAGCTGAGAGCACAAATAAACCTACCTTCCAGTCCTATATATCCTCGAGATTAAAACACGACAAACATAACATGACTGCATCCCGTGACACTGGGTATGCAACCACTGATATTTGAAGAAAGCTCTTAAAATGAATTCGCTAATGAATTCACGACTTTTTCCAGAAAAGTCCCTAGACAAGAATCCTGGAAAGATACCCTAATTCAGCAGGATGCTTTCAAGTCCAAGCACTAGGTCCATCAGGACTAGTAATAAAAGTTCCTTAAAACCATGCTAATATAAACCAGACGAAGATGCTACTACATTATCCTGGATCAAACAGGAAGAGAAGCCAAAGAAAAATAAATGAACCTGACAGAGGGTTAGAATCAGGGCAGGTACTAGCCCGAGAGCTGAAAGTATTATCCGGGGTGCAGAAGCGCGGGGTGTGGTATGGAAGCGAGGGAAAAGACAGGCGCATAGCCACCATTTCATCCAACCTATCAACCCACCAGTACCCAGCTCGTATATGCTCGTAGGTATCGCGTAGCCACCGCGCGTAGGACTCCGCACCGGGTTAACTTTATACTCGTGAGTCTCGCGTACGCGATCGTTCGCGCGTGTCTGAGAACCAGGTGGAAGAAAACTTGAAGTTTCCGAATAGAAATTCTCAGCCAAGAATGAAGCATCGAGACAGGAAGACTGGCTGAACTGTGATATATATCTCGTACGTGTGTAACTTCCAGCTTTATTATCGTATCAATGCAAGTTTCTGCACGAAGTTAAAAGGTGAGCAGTAGTGAAAAGATATAAGAAACTCAACGAGCGAGAAAGAGCAATCACTAAAGAAAAGGGCGTAGAGAATAGGATATAGAATGAAGATAAAGATGCTCCGGTTACCCGGGACGAGTGGGTGTTGCCGAAAAGAAATCGTCCCTTCGTTCCTACGGGAATCGCGAGGATGGGCCTTGCCTCTTGGTACTCAAATCGATGTGTCGACGACGTCGCGAATCGTATATTCGAAAGCATAAGAAATTTACGACTGCTCAATTGGTTTCCGTTGTCTCCATGAACATTCCTAGCTGTGACAGTTTTCAGGTAAAACACAGCCCACTGCTTTCCCTTTTCCATGGAATATTCACTAACTAAAAACAAGATCGTGGATAGCAGTATCAAGTGTCATTATGCGCACTAGGAGTGTACGAGAGCTCGTGGCTTTTTGATTTGTTGGTTCCTTTGTAAACAGAATGATACCTACTGTTCTCATGGGAAGAGACGAGTGTAATGTGAAGTGGATGAGTTCGCACATAAGAGGCTTTCGAAAAGGGGACAGAGTGCGATTTGAGTGTCGCGAATCAGGGTTGATTAGATCGTGGGGGACTTGCTATTCTTTTTCAGGTCGTGGATAGCGAGTGATTAACCGTGAGTCACAGCATCGAAATAAACCAGGGACTATGAACTCGTCAATTGTTCAAATTCCTGAAGGATTCTCCGGAAATACCAGCACTTGACAAACCAAGAGTTTCGGTTGCATTTTGACAAACCAAACAGTAAAATTCAGCCTCTAGAGAATGACAAGTATCGAATGCTACCCCATCTTCCTTCTGCTATGAGAAAACGAATGACAACCCTGATATTTCTATCTGATGTACAAGTAGTAAAGGTCAGTCTATAGCAAACTGTGTCTACGACCCCAAGGAATCACGGTGTAAATCTACAGAGACGAGTCTGATCGTTTACCAGCGATACTCCTCGGCTTCCAGGATTAGAAATCCCAACTATACATATATCCATGGTATAAATTCTATATATACAGTATAACCAATCAATTACAGATACTATCAAATAATTGAGTCTGATGGGAAACTTAAATTTGTTTTCCTGAAAATTTATTGAGGTTAGTTAAATTATTAGGTTTAATCTTCCACGAGGAGATCGTATAGATACCGTTATGATTTTCATTATCCTTGGTAAATAAATAAATATCTATCTAATAGAAACATAGTAAATTATATGGAAGTACAGAGTGCCAAGCCGGTCGAGCACTATTTGGATCACGCAGTAGTAAATACCTGAGACACTTCAGTGAAGCATCTATAGGCTAACGGTAGTGCGTAACTGAGCGAACGTGTGTGCATATGCTTGAGAAATTAAATAGGGTAGCAGTTTGTATGAAGCTTCCTATAAGAGAAAAAGAATATAATGAGTTTACGGTGGAGAATACGTATTAGTGGCTATTGCTAGAAAATCGATTGATAAACCGTAAACCGTAAAATCACGTATCGTATAGCTTCTTCCTTGGCTAACGCGTGTTCTGATTACAATCAATGTACCTTAGTGTTATGAGACAGTAGATAATAAGGCCATTGTTTTTATGGAAATAAACAATGGTTTTACACACTAATGAAATATGTTTGGCAGCCTAGAATTCGAATGGAAACTAAAAAGCAGGTTTGTCTATGATTATTATGATTTATCTTGAAAAATAAAAACTAGTATCATAGTATCATATTCTAGTATCATATTATTTATTTGTATGTTCTTGTTTTTTTTTCTTTTATAAATAATTATAAACATAGTAGTGATATCGATCGTGAAAGAATCCATATAGAATTATAATAGTTCACTAAATAGGGTAAGAGGCCACATGTGTTCCTTTGTATAATAATTGTCTAGACGTTTGATTAGGATTTGCACGTGCAGCTATCATGGCCTTTTTTTTCTGTACGTTATCATATCTTCCTTGACATGAAATTTTCTTAACCAAACCAGCAGACTGCTTTACGGAAGGATTTGTCAGGTATAAGTCAGACGATAGAGAAAAGAGGGGTTGGATGAGAAAAAAAAGTAAAATAGCGGATAGAACTAGCAGACGAAATGCAAATCGATAAAATTTGAATTTCCTTCCGTATTTATTTCCGGTCTCGACCCCTCGTCCAATAAATTCCCTTTCCACCCTTCTTGCATCCCCCGAGCACGCCAAGTAGAGTGGGTGGCGGCTATTCGTAAGAACGCAGAGATGCAGAAGGGTTGCAGAATGCAAATAAAACCCGAGCACTAGTACAGGGGGAGACGGAAAAAGGAAATAAGTAAATTCAAAATGGAGGGAAAATTGAAATACATTTTTTTTTCTTATTTCATTTCAAAATCATCTGAGATTTTAAAGTCCTGTTTTATCGACCTGTTGCTGCCGTCATACCGAAGATGCAAAACATTTGAAAATGAATTTCTCTATCGTGGAAACGTGACAGGCGTAATCAGACGTAAAGATAGTAAGTATGTAGGCCGAGGGAGGAAAAGGTTGAGGAATGTGAAACTGGGCCATGGAAACGTTGCGACGCCGTGCGTCAGGCAGTCAGAAGCCAGGAATATTCGTTGCCGGTACTGCCTCGTGATCACCGGCGCTAAATGTTACGCCACGGTAAATGGAACGATGCTCGTCTATTTCCGTGCGTAAACTACAGTGGCTTTTCATTGCAAATGGCGGCAAAGGTTACCGCACGAGCTAAATTTTGACTGCTGACTTATATTTATTTCGAATAAGGATAAAGCAACGCTCCGAACTCTAAATAGATTGACACGGTCTCTCTTTGTCTTTGTCTTGGACGTATATGTATACACGCGTCTACTCCGATGGACTGGATTGCGACATACAGAGTCGTTGATCCCGCTTGTAAAGTCGCGCTAGGAATTTCCTGATGATCAGAAGGAAGTCCATTTCAGACCTTGACAATGAAACTAGTATATTTGAATGATTGATTTTATTAAATATCTATTATTCAATTCTTATTTTAATTTCTCCTTCTTATGCAACGCTAAGGATATTTGGTAAAAAATATTATTTAATCAAAATTTCATATACTCAGGTTCCTGGACGATATTATTCAGCTGACTGGATATCAAGTAGCACGTGGTTGATCGTGACCAAGGATATCAGCAGGTCTTATATAATTCTTCATGATGGAAGGAGCCTGCCAAGGAGAACGCTTATCGGGTGATAAATACTCGTCGAGGAATCGTCGTGGTCGACGATACGAGGCATCTTGGAACGATTAGGGGTGAAATTGTCCGAGGTGGTGAGAAAGTACGACGACGCGCGACAAGGTGCGACAAGGCGCACAGGGGAAGGTCGACCTCCTGGTGCGCAGAGAGATGACCGATTTACAGGCGACCATCGAGATCTCTCTCGAACTCTGCAAATTCTACAATGTCGACCTTTTCCAGCGCGGGTAAGTTCCGATTTAAAAATTGTATAAGATTCTCTTTGAATTATGCTATGAGATTATTTATTTATTTTTATTCATTTTGCAGATATTACCAGATCAGAACGGCGCTCAGGGTGTCGCCGAAAATTCCGATCAAGGTGGAAGTCAATCAAATACGCAATCGTTAGTATCAATTAAGTGAATATTTATTTGATTGAAAATATTTATATTCGGATACATGACTATCGACTTCATTTTATTTATACCGAACCGTTTGCAGATTCGCTCGAGGAACCTGGTAACAGCAAACGGTTTCAGATCCTCTATCGCAACGAGGAAATTCCATTGGGCACGTCCATCCTATTTCGTGCGCACGTCCTGGTGCACAGTCATAAAATTGAGGAAGCACTATCGCGCACAAATTTCAGTCTTGGAATTGAACTTTGGTTCAGTGAACCGACGCAAGGTGGAAACATGGTCTGCGTATCGTCCAGGTATTTTAATTTTGAAAATAGATACACTGTAGATATCCAGTAGGAATGAAATATTTGTATTTATTTGTCGATTACCTTTTGCAGGTCATTGCAGCTAAATTTTAATCCAGCCAAAGGTCTGCACTATCATCTACCGGTTATCTTTGATTACTTTCATCTTGCAGCTATTTCTATGAGTGTCCACGCCTGCCTCGTAGCTCTTCATCAGCCTTACGTTAAGTCTGTATTCTTCTGTCTTTACTTGGCTCATTTTGTTTCGAACGAATCAAGTGTTTTTCTCTCATTCTTGCAGGAAGAGTATTTTGCACTATGTACAAAGTTGGTGAGTATTATTAAGACGCTTCTGATGTCTTTGATAGATATACAAATGTTAATATTCGCTATGCTTTTCAGTGCTCCAAGAGGTGGGAAGCCCTGGCTACAATCCAAGCAATCTCCGGCCAATGGGGATAATAATGTATTTTTTGGGAATATCGTAAGTGTCTTGTCATGCTTGGCAGTGTTACTTAAAGTAATTTCTTTTGTTTCGCCAGGAGACTACGACTAGATGTGTTGGTTCAGCAACGAGGGTGCAGCACGCCAAGTTATTACAGAGAGAAGTTACCAGGTTGCTGCTGGCAGCTCGTGAATCATTACTCGCTGATTTGGCTGATCTTGCGCGATTATTACCATCCTGGCAGCAAAGAGCTCTTGAACTAGCTCAGAATACACATAGAGAAGTAACGGAGGTCTGTTTCTGCCGATAACTTGTCACACACAAAAAAACTTATGGACTTAATACTGTCAAGAAATTTAGAGCAAATAATATTTCCCAGATGATGGACACGGAGGACGCTGACATCGCCCAATTGTGTGCACAGAATATCCTCCTCTGGCAACACTTCTTGGAGGCTTTTACCGGCCGAGAAGAAGTGCAACAGCATTTAGGAAGAATTCATCATCAGCTCAGAGTACTGTTTACATCAATATCCATGTAGTTACGTAAATAATTCGTATTTCGAATCGACTCTTAATTATTTCTTCTGCATGCAGGTTAAGCGCTTCTCGGAAGGATTCTTCATCCTAGAAAATCCAAGAACTTCAGCAGCTGGTTGTTACGATGCCAACTACCAATCGTACCAAGCTGTCAGCGAAGCTGCTCGAAGATCTCGTTATCTGGCTGCTCTACCACTTCTGCCAGTCCACTGCCTAGAGATGGACGGAGACTTACACTCGATACCTTTAATCTTTGAAGATCAATATGCTGACATGCAGCAAAGGCACAGAAACAGCGGTAGTCGTCATGAATTCATTGAATTATCATTATCCAAAGTTATAGCATCGTGCTAAAATTCTGTATAAATTAGTTCCCAGCATGGATGACTGTTCCTGTGGAATAGCAGCCATTCTGGAGTCTCGTTCGATGGGAGTATGGTCTCCGAGAAGCGAAGGAGCGGCCCAGGACATCGGAGCGATACATGGTCGATTGATGCTGGCTCCATCAGCGCTACCAGCGAGGCACAGTAAATCCCTGGACCAACTTGGCCCGGAACTGGTACCCCTGCAGCCAAGAACATCCCCGAAAACTCTACCTAGGTCGGCATCGACACAACTCTTCACGCGGCACAGGGCTGCTTCTCGTAACGTCACACCACCGGCGACTGTTCCATCCAGAGGTAGAGCCAGGTCGGCAATACCGTCCAGTGCTTCGTTATTCGCGAGTTCCCAGCAGGCCTGTTCAGCGCCGAATCCGTCGCTCAGCTCGACGCCGATTGTGACCTTACCTAGAGCTAAGTCGACTCAGATGTTGTTACCTCAATCGTACAGACAGCATCTGGATACCGAATCAACATCCATCACGTCCTTGTTAGCTGCCATGTTTCCTGAACTACCTCCTAGTGGACACTTTCCCGGATACCGACCGTCTGGCAAATCTCATGATCAGACTTTAAAGGTACCAACCTGTATGGGAACGCTGGACCTGGTACAGTTGGCCGGATGTTTGACATCGGAGAACAAGAATAGAAGCAATGTCGTTGGTGGCGACGGGATCCACTCTTTGGATACTCGAAAAACCCGACTGGAATCAAGGAGCCACCGGCTTATCGGCAGAGATCCATTAGCTTCCACTAGCAATTATCAGGCATCCTTTCATATCGGTGAACCAAGTTCAAACGGCAATGGGTTCCCTAGTGATTCTCACGGTCTCCATACAGCTACATTGGATCGTTTGACGTACCGTGCGAACTCTAAAAGGCACGTTCACCAATCTGGTAGCAAGTATCAGACGAACAGTCTCGAGTTCAGGAGATACCACACTACAGGAAAAAGTGCGGGAGCTCAAATACAGCGAAATCGCGAGACGCAGGATATAAATGGCGCGCACTCGAGTAGTCATTCACTTCTTGTCGATCCATTAAACAAGAGATCAAACAATAATTATTCTGGTGTTACCTTCGAGTCCTTCTTTTATCGTACAAACGGAACCAGCGCTAAGAATCAAGAAAGTAGCGAGGCAAGACTAAAACGCCCTAAAAGTACAGAACGCCTTCTTGAAGATATAGAAAGAAACGAACATTGCGATACGCGAAGATTCGATAGAAGGGAGGACAGAGTAGTAAAATCGTCCAAAAACGATAGGATATCTAGTCAGGAAGAAAAGCCTAAACGAGGGCACGGAGAAAAAAGAAGCGCGGATGCCAGTCAAGAGCCAGTCTATGAGATCATCGCCCTGAAATTGAAAGACACAAATACAGTATCTCACGAAGGCAGAAGAAGACAGAAACAAGGTAGAAGACCACACTCGGCTCCATCCATGCAGGCCGAGAGAGGAAGAATCGAGGACAACAAAAGGTGTAATCACAGAGCCAGGAAACCGACGCCACCTCCTGGGTATCAGGATTCAGGGCCACTGTCAAAACACAGACATCCAGTACCGGCTACAACGAGTGTCGTTGAGGTCGAGAATAATAATAAAATTATTCTCAAAGTGGAGCCAATCAAGTCGCCGATGGAGTCCGATGCCACCAATGGCAAGGAGTCCGGAGATTCTTCAACAAAAGGTGCGCCTCCAGCAAACACAAAAAGACTTAGATGCGCGAGTGTACCTGTGGCACAAAATAAGGTGGTAGTACCTAGAAGTGCAGTGTCTTTACCATGCATGCCTATTCGTGATAGTAAGGATAGTCTGAGTAATACCCTTACCGCCATTCCAAATCCCTTAAGTCCGTCGTCCACGAGACCCAGTAGTCCCACCACGAGTTCCAGTTCAAGCAATCTTACCTCGGAGTGTTCCGGGTGGGTCAGCAGTGGGGATACCTCGAGTTCCGAACACAGAAGAGCAAAACTCTCGAGCGAACAATTGCGCCAGAAGTTGTCCAGGATCGTTCCGAAGTCTGAGAAACCTGAGAAACCGGGACAAGAGAAGCTTCTCGAACACTCTTACGAGGAACTGCGCCTTCCGCCGCCAAAGATGTTCCAGGATGAGCCTCCGCCTCCAGAAGAATTCCGTGATCCACCTGCACCCATCGACAATCCCCTCTATCACGTGTACGAGACGGTGAGGAGATCTAAAAGTCCAAGGCAGAACAAGACGGCACCGTGCAGCCCTCAGAGAAACAACGACCGTCAAAGGGAGGAGCCTGAAGGTGCTTATGGTCCTGTAGATATTTGTCTGGATTGCTACGAGGAGGGCAAGGAATTGCTACGTTCCACTCAGGATGACTGGATAAACTTTAACAAGTGTAAGGAGGAGTTCAAGCGACAGATGAGCTTCTCCGGAAAGTTCTACAGGTACCGGATCATTAATTATTTAATTGTATTATTCTGCGATGACTTTGACTCTATGATCAACCTTCCATATCAGCGACTACCCAGCGATGGCCTCCACAATTCCTTACTTCCAATTCAACAACGAGCAGCGAGTTTTGACACCGGAAGGTTCGCATCTTGTAATTTGCGTTCATGGCCTAGAAGGAAATTCAGCGGATCTACGGCTCGTCAAGACTTACATCGAATTGGGTCTACCTGGGGCGAAACTCGAATTCCTGATGTCCGACAGAAATCAGGTAAAAGACATATACCTTATGAACTGGTTCATTATAGAAGTGTATCATTTATATTTAATATACTTAATCGATCTGTCTCAAGGGCGATACCTTTTCTGACTTCGATACGATGACTGATCGACTGGTAGCAGAAATTCTTCACCACATTGAGACTTCCGGATTAAATCCAACCAAGGTCAGTTTTATTGGACACTCTTTGGGGACCATCATTATTCGCAGTGTTCTCACTCGACCACAGCTACGACCACTGCTCTCACGCCTTCACACCTTCCTCAGTTTAAGTGGGCCTCATTTGGGCACACTCTATAACAACAGTGGTCTCGTCAATGCAGGTAACTTTTCAAGTCATTTATTCTAACTGGAACGGCTAACTTCGCTTAAACTGAAACTGAATTAATATTCGATTCGTCAGGTATGTGGTTTATGCAAAAATGGAAGAAATCAGGATCGCTTCTACAGTTAGCGATGAGGGACGCGTCGGACTTAAGACGCACCTTCATGTTCCGGTTAAGTCAGAAAAGCAATCTTCAGCATTTCCGGCACGTTATACTCTGCGGAAGTGCTCAGGATCGTTACGTGCCACTTCATTCAGCTCGCATCGAACTCTGTAAAGCCGCCGTACGAGATCCTACTGATCAAGGTAAGAAGGAAGTACCTGAAAAGAGTAACGAACTATTAAAATATTAACAGAAGACATAATTAAAATGGATCATTTTTATTTAGGAGCTGCTTATCGGGAAATGGTGCATAATATTCTGTATCCGGTTATGTCGTCGCCAGGAGTTAGTCTAGTAAGATACGACGTGCATCACGCTTTGCCGCCAACAGCAAATGCATTTATAGGTCGTGCCGCTCACATCGCCGTCCTGGATTCTGAACTCTTCATCGAAAAGTTTCTCCTGGTAGTGGGTCTGAACTATTTCAGATAAAATGAAGAGGAAGTAAGGTAGAGGAGAATGAAAAAAAATGGACTGCCTCCATAGCTGCATTATAGCCCCAGAATATTACAGTAGACTATCTGAATAATAATTCTCAGCGTCGCTCTTCTTCACCTGGGCAAATTCAAAATGTCCGACGATTAAAGTATTTACTCAGGTGACAGGAAGTTCCGTTCATTCCGCAAAGCAGGGTCGTTCACTTCGCGAAGTGGACACGAACGTATTCACGAAATCGCTCCAAGCGTGTTTCTCATGTATATAAAAGGAAAAAAAAAAAGTAATACTTCGTGCAAATCGGGCTAGCGATCAGAAATTGCGGAAAATCGCGAGAGCATAAATCGGAGATAAATAATTGAATCGGGAAGTGCAACTTAAAGTAAGATTAGATAAGGAGCACGGGCGTATGCAGTTCAGAGGGTGAAAAAAGAAGGACGGAACGAAAATCAAATTGTGATGATTCGAAATTTTTACACTTGCACGATATGATCTATCGTTAAAACGATTGCCGTCGATTAATACGCTAATTATTCGCCGTTTACGTTCCTATATATTGTATACATACGTATACCTACATTGTGTCGATGTCGCGCGTTTTATTACGATTTTTTCGAAAGTTTACATTCGAGTCGTTTTGGACCGACGCAAAAGGGCCTATTTCTGTTATACTAGTCAGAGTCTAGTCGTAGATCATTTTTTTAATGGCGTTCCTAGTGCGAGGGTAGTTTGACGATAAACCTAAAGCACTGTTTATGTTTTCCCATAATACCTCTTTATTCTGACTCGAACTTACTTTGTATTTGTTACTTAATTTTGCGAACTTTATAAATTTTGCCAAAATCAGTCACACTTGATCAATACGAATGAAGCCAATGACATGGTAAACGATCAAGGGTGAACTGACTAAAGAATTCCAATTGCGATTTATTGGAATTTAAAGGCTGATCAACTCAATTGCGTTTGACTGCTCTGAATTCAATGTAATCAGAGATTGATTTGATTCATTGTGTCGTTCGGCCTAGGATTAATCGTAAAGATAAAATGAGTCGTAAATCATTATTAATTCGCCGTGTGAAACGACTGAGTCATAAAAGCACCGTCATTATAAAAATAAAAGTCTTAAATGTTTTACCGCGTTTGGGATAAAAGAGGTGATCCGCGTTCTTAATTAACTTATTGTGAACACAAATTGTGCGACGAAAGAAAACAAAAATTGTGCAATGAAAATTGCTTAAAGTTTCGACGACGTTTTACGGAATGTCGGACTGCCCCTTCGTCTACGTGAATATTAAAAGCGAATGAGGAAGCAAAAAAAGGATGATAAAAAATGGTGAGGACGATAAGTAATAAAAGGATAAGTCATTATTAAGAAAACGAAAGACACGACGAGGATAACATTTTTAAAAAAAGAGGGGTTGTCGTTAGGAAAGTTACGAAACGTATGTCAATTGATTCCCTCAGATAAGTGTGAATGTTGCGTGTGATCAATCCCATGAGGAGAATGGGTGCTAGTAGAGCGGTAGTGAGATCGGTGCGTCTCTAAATTCTATCCGTGCGAGTGCTGTGTGTCGCGTGCGTGAGTAAACGAAGAAAAAGGCAAAAGATTTAAGTCGAGAAAGTAAAAGAAAGAAAATGACAGAGATGACCGATAGGTGAAGATGAAGAAAGTGAGAAAGTGCGATGGACCAATCCCAAGATGAGGAACGGACGAAGTCAAAGAAAGAAAGGAAGATTGATTGATTAAAATATGGTAAGAGAAGAGATTGGACTTGCCAACAGGATTGGTGCGTGAAGTGTCCAAAGTGAGGCGCCACTTTAGAATTGACAGGATACAGAAAAGGTGGGAACGTTTGAATCGTTGAAAATGCAATTGAAGACGAGGAAGATAAGTAAGAGACGAGAAAGTGTGAAGAATTGGAAGAAGCAAGAGTCGATATGGATATTTAAAGAAAAATGAGAAAGGAAAAGAAAGGAAGTGAATAACATTTCAGGTATGAAATCCCTCCAATACTGGATCTCAATTGCTCAGAACAATCTATAAAATAATATTAATTATAATCGATGCGAACAACAATGACGGCGCGTTCGGTTGATCCATTAAAAACGCCGTTGTTCGGTAACATTGGCCGAAGAGTGAATCTTGTGAGATTTTATTTCGCAATTGTGAATGAAAAGGCGTCACGGTCCGAGAGAAGAATAAAGAAGGTAATGATATCGCAAAGATGTCAAATTGGCCGCGAATTAAACTGCCGGCAGATAGTGATGGGTTTTGTGTAAAATATAATACCGTTAAAAAGGAAAGATAAGTAACCCGTGTTAAGGCGGCAGCAACAACAACCAACAGTAAAATTTAATAACAGCGACAGACACATGGTTTACGTCACTTTGTCACTTTCGATTATCCATGATTTCTGAACATTGAATCTTCAAGACATCATGGCTGACATCTTCGACCATTGAACGAATCCTCGTTACGCCGTGGACTCGACTCGTTTACATTATCAAAGCAGAATTATTATCCACTGAGTCGAATAAATACTCGATTGGATTTACCGATTAATCTGATCCGTAATTCCGAACGTCCATGAAAAGACGATAGAGAAGGAAACAAAAACATTCAACAACCGACCGTCGGTAATACTCTAATTCTAAAGTGTAATCGTTTACGCGAACGAATGACATGGCCGAATTTATGCACAAAACGTAAGAAAGCAGAAAAACGAAAAAGAGAAAAAAAAACACGAATTCGATCCAGAGTGACCCTTTTCGGTTTTTGCTTTTCGCGAGGAACACGAAAATCCAAGGAATTTTTTCATTGCTGTCCTATTGTTTGCTCAACTATCGTTACATTATACATTATTATAATTAACGTGTCTAATTGTGAATTGACTTTGTACTTGTCTCTATTTTAAATTTTTAAACGAACTATAATCTAAGGCACAATTTTCTATAAATTTACCGATCGAAAGCGAGTGGAGCGAGGCGTGGCGAGCGAGCGTCGTAAATTCGCTCGTTTGAGCCAAGGCGATTCGCGCGAGAAGCCACTAGGGCGTCTTTATCAGGTACCTAGAGGAAGCGTCGCCGACGGCCTCGGAATGTGTTCTTCTCACGCGCATCCCTCCTGCGCATTCGCATGCGATTACCGTGCCGATTAACGAGTTCTTCTCGAGCCGATATTCCTAGCCCGTAATTATATTTACGATTACGCTAATGATTATTCCAATGAAGTTCTATAGATATACATGTAAACATAAAAACACACACCACGTACACACATTGTCAACATGGCAATTGACTCAAGAAGTTACACTCGTGCGGCACATATTGTAATGCATATAGATACATAATGTATTACATAAAAGGTACCCGATTAATTTCGATCAACGAGATTGTACCTAACCTGCGAATTCGTAAAACACACTGTATTAAGTAAATTACAAGACACAAAGAAACGAGAGAGAGGGGCAGATGCGTGGGAGAGAATATTAAAGAAAGAAATAAAAGGATGAGGGGAGAGGACGTTCGTCATTACAAAGAAAACACCAATGATGAAGTAACAATGTATACAATATACATAATATATAAAAATATATGTGTGTATATATATATATATATACATATATATATGTGTGTGATATGAGATTGATCATCACATATATAGATATATGTGAGATAGAATAATAAAAGTCATGATTATTATTACTCTTATTATTATCGGTAAAAGAGTACAAGTTCATTTTGTCGAAATTTTCATTTTTTCTAGATAATAAATAAAGAAGAAGATTATTGTCAAGTGATTTATCTTCAGTTGGATTAAAAATGCCAGGTCTTGGTTGCATGGGTTTGTTATTAAAAATTAATTTTCCTCGGTCTCCTTCGCGCGCACCATTCGTTTATCTGTAGTGTATAGATTGTGGGATTTTTTAAGTGAATTACGTGAAACTAAGTGATACTTGGAGACGAGGTGATGATTAAAATTGAAAATTAAGAAATAAATTAAAATCGTCATCCCGTTATAATCGGGACTGATTGAATTTCCCTTTTTGGTTGTATTTACAAGTTATTGGTGACGCTTGTAAATTTTTGAAAATTCAAAAAGTCTACAAAGAGAAGACTGACATGAGTAAAGCAACGAAATACAATATCCGCGTATAAAAGGTACTGAATTAAAAGAATATATCTCAGGACTGGACCAAAATTTTCTATAGAAAAGATTAACAATCAATCAATACGTCGTACTACAAATAATAACAATTTCGAGATCTCTTATCAGTCGCGTCTTACGTCTCTGTTCAATCTGTTCAACCCCATTGTCCTTTGTGACTAATTAATTAATTAAATAATTAATCCTCGCTAAAATCTTTCGCTCGCTTACGCAATTTTCTTTTTTTACTAAATTTTCATTTTTTTACTAAATTTTCATTTTTTCCTTTCCTCTATCATGCTTGTCAGCTACTCCGCTTGACGTACGTCCAGAAGGTCATCCTGCATATTTTCTTGGAGCAGCGGTTCACCACCTTCGGCTACTCCATCGATAGGTCCTTCCAGAAGATATCCAGGTGCAGCAACAGCGTCTTCCACTAAATTATCGTCTTCTCCAATGGTAACTTCCAGTTTGTCTTGCGTTTTAGAAGTGGCTTGACCTGTGGTTGTACAGAAACGCTGTTTCTTAACGTCTTCATTCGACTTTCTCAACTGTACCGACCTTGACCCAAATCACGGGCTTTGCTCAAATATGAATATTCACGGGCATTGAGAAGACCCGCGATGACGCAAGCACTCATTGCACTTCTGCTGAGATTCATTGGGCTGGCATCGTACCATTCATTACTATCAGCGTCATAACATTCCACATAGGCTATGGTAGTTGATCCTGTGATGACACCTACTGACTTTATCTCTAATACCCGAAAGATTTTACCAGCCCTTAAAAATGACCTTAAACTTACCATTGAAACCTCCTATGACAAAAATCATGTCGTCTAAAATGACAGTAGCAAAGTTACTCCGCGGGCTGAACATTTCAGTGACCTCTTGCCAATCAGAGGAATGATTAGGATTGTAGCGCTCACCTGACGAGATAGTTAAATAAAATTATTCGATCTACGAATTAATAAAATCATAATAAAATCAACTATAAAATTCTTTTACCCGAACTAAGCCTTGTGAACCCATTAAATCCACCAAGTGCATAAAGACTGTCACGAAAAGCAACAAGAGAGACTCCTGATCGTGGAGAAGTCATGGAGTGTATATAACTCCATTGATTAGTTTCCACGTCGAAGACTTCAGCGGAGCTTAATACTTCCTGCCCATTGAATCCACCCACGATATATATCTTGTCATGCAGCGCCGCGGCGCTGGCGTCGGAACGCTGTCTGTGCATCGATGCTATCATTTCCCATTGATTACGTAACGGCTCGTATCGTTCCCCGGAACTCATTCTGGTTCTGCCGTTATATCCACCCAGGGCGTAAATTTTACCACCTAGTTTGCATGATCGGAAATCAATGAGGAATTGGGAATTGATTTTCTGGGTAAGTGATTCCGTTGGGTACTTACCATGTGTGCAGACGCTGACGTAGCATCTTGCATGATACATACAGGCCCTCTCACGCCACTCTTTGGTAACCGGATCAAAGCAACGGACAGTATTAAAGTGTTCGTTTCCATCAAAACCACCGATCATGTAAATGAGGTTATTCAGAGCGCATATACCATGATATGCTCTTGGGGTTATGTCTGTGTTTACTGACAGAAACCATCTGTCAGCTCTGAAGTGAAATGTTAAAGTTCAAAGGAAGAGTGATTAATTAATAAGAAATTAATTAGCTTAGAGATACCTCGTATCGTAAGTCTCGACGAAACTGGTGGGCGAACCTGCACTCCATCCGCCAATGGCAAAAAGTATCTCGTAGGGAATTCTTGGTCTTGATAAAGGATTTTTTAAATCTGCTTCACCCTGCTTCAAATCTTGTTCGCTCAGGTACACGTTGGCTGGGAACAGTACTCGTTGACATTCCTTATTTGTATTGAAGTTTTCCTTTTAGTTCACTAGGTAGCCGATTTTTAGGTTATACACTGAATTTACAGACCTCGTCCTCTTTAACTATTTTCCACTCGAGCACTGTGTTATTGAAGTATTTAAAGCTCATCAATCCAAAGCGAACACATTCGAGTAATTTTGACAGATGAATCTTTCTCTCCCCGACTCGATATTCCACCCAGGACTTTATGGCTTCGAAGACAAGCTCCTCGTTACGTACGTTAAGTTCGTCGTCGCGGAGTATAGCTTCCAATTCGCTGCACACAAGATCTTTGAATTCGGCGCTCTCTTGTAGTATCTGTTTAAAGTGATGGCGGATATATTTTCGACCTTTTTCTTCGAGATCTCGACAGAAGTAGTGACGTGCAAATTTGAATATTCCTGTGGACATAGCAATAAGACGAAAAAGTTAGGCAATGATTACGTAAGTGAAATTTGAAAAAGAAAGGAAATTCTACCTAAGCAATTTTCTGGTCTGAGTTCTTGGAGCAAGAACTGACAGCAAAGCTGAACAACTCCCAGGACTTCGAATTGATCGGCCAATGGCAAAAGTTGCTCGACATTTTCAGCGGTGACGTTGCAGGTTCCCGTGTAGGCATAGTCCAGTATCAAAGCAAAAATTTCGCCGGGTACGCAATTGACGGAGACTTCGTTCGATTCCGTTTTGCCACCCTTAAGAGTGTTCGTGAAGATAGCCTTAAAGTAGGGACTCACGGCAGAGAGTATTGCACGATGAATGGGAAATATTTCATCTCTGGAACATCTAATGGCGCCGTCGCATAATTGCTGATTGGCCCTGTCAATTGATAATATCCATTGACGATTGGAGGACGAAAAATATATATAAAGAATGAAAATCGGGTAAGTTTATTTTAAATGAACCTGAGTTCGGACCAGACGACAGGAAATTCTACCAGGGCGTAATTCGAAGGCAGGCACATGCACTTCCTGCTTTTTGAATTCTGTTTCTTTTTGCATTGCCTCGATTTACTACTAGAAATCGGCGCTCGTGACATTCGACTGCGCGACAATTTCCTCAGCTTCATCCTGCCCTCCATAACTCGAGAAATCAACCCCGAGTCGTGGTGGCAGCCCTGCTATGACCTTTGGAAACTATTTCACTATAACCTCAGGGACCACTGGGAAGTCTCGAACCCTCTTATATTTTTTTTCCAAAAACTCCCTGGTGGTCACCGTGATTATTCCTACAATTCGTGGCCATGACAGACGAAACTCGAAAAGACGGACGATCGAACTGCTACCCAGTATTTTTATTGAATTACGATTTTGCAAGTACAATTTCTTAGCCACGATATAACAATCTAATCGATTTAAAAATATTCAGTATCAATAGTCAAAAGCAATGATCAAAGAATCGATAAATTCTATGATAAAATATCATAGTCATAAAACGGTAATACATTTTTTTTCATATTCCAGTTTTTTTTCTCTTCTCGAAGTGAAGTATGGGGCGGTAGAGCAAACCACCCTGAATTCATAAGAGTCGTGGGCGGGGTCGTCGAGTCGACGCTCTTCTGCCTGCGGTCACCTTTCACTTCCAGTGGAAGGTCTCCTGGCCAAGGGAAAACTTGAGGTCGAGGTCGAGAAGCATCACCTGGAAGCTCTCCAAATTTCATCCCTTCCTTTTCTTCATAAAAATCTTCATCGTCAGTCAAACAAGACCATCTACCAGTGTTCCAGCAGTGCGCCGGAATCTTTCTTCGAGTGATCCACAGTCTCTATGGTTTCTGTCGCTGTCGTGCATTACGCACTCGACCAGCATCGTTCACGCATCGCGGCGGCACGTTGCACGCAACTCCGCCAATCAATATTTAGGTATATAGGGTGTATGCAAGAGCCAGTCACACCGACGGGTTCCTAGTACGCCCGTGACTACCAACCACACCTTACCACATAACCGTGCAGCTTGACAGACGACATTAGAAGAGAATACTGAGATTCTAATTTTAAAACATATATAAAAAAAAAACCAAGAAGAAACACAAGGTACTTGAAAACATAATTACTAAACTTCAAAATAAATACCGATTGGTTTTTTTGATTGGGGTGTCTGGGATTCTTACATTAAAAATGCAAAGTAACTGTCTGACACAACGAAAGTGACAAGGTGAGAAAAAAAATAATTAAGAAGGAAGTGACACTAAAATTATATCCAAGAAAAGATTTAGTGGTACAAAGAGTGACTGTTTTGAGTGATGATTGTTTAAAAATACGTTTCTTGCGCAAAATATTTTATCTGTAATTTCGTTGTTTTTACGAGGGAGGTTTTTTACTTTTTTAAATGTAATATAAAAGCAAGAGAAACTGGACGATTTTTTCTATTTTATTTCATGGTCCTAATGCATTGATGGGGACATGATGGATGGTTTTTTTGTACTGTACTCCCTTTGACGTTTACCGAAGCGTGGTGTTTTGTGCTTTGTTTCTACCTGTAGTTTTACTTCCTTACAGAACGGAAGTTCAGGGATACGAAGTGAGAATGGAAGTAAAAGGGCGCGTGGCCCTTGTTACCGGGGCAGCTTCCGGTATCGGTCGAGCATACGTGGAGGAATTACTTTATCAAGGAGCAAAGGTAATTTTTGTACTAAATCTTATAAAACACTAACAAATCATCTTACCATCTTTTTGATACGTTTCAACGAAATTTTTGAGTCACCCCATAGAAAGAAAGCAGCCGCTTTTCATGGGCTTACGACGAGAATAGAATTGGTTATTTTTAGCCGACCTGACTAACCCTGAGCGAAATATTCATCTTTGAAATTGTCCTGCAGGTTTCTCTGTGCGACATCAATACCGAGAAAGGAGAAAAACTTCTGGAAAGTCTTGTAGTTCGTCACGGAAAGGATCGTGTTATTTTCTGTCAATGTGACGTCACCGATTACCTTCAATTTGAGGGTAAATCTCATTCTTTTTAAGCTTAATCTAAAATATAGTGTATCAATAATTTTTTACCTACTTTAGAATCATTCGAGACAACAATCGCTGCGTTTGGACATATCGATATCGTCATTAATAATGCCGGTATAATGAACGATCAATTTTGGGAACTGGAGGTCGACATTAATTTGGTTAGTCAACCAAATTTCAAAAATATTGATCAGTGCAATTACCGCCTTATAATTAATTACTTTTTTTCAATACAGAACGGAGTGATTCGCGGTACTCTTTTGGCACAACGATTTTTGGGAACTGACAGAGGTGGCCGCGGTGGAATCGTAGTGAATACGGGTAGCAATGTGAGCATCAACCCTTACGTAAGCGTGCCCATATATTCAGCAACAAAAACAGCAATAGTAGGACTAACCAGAGCATTTGGGGTAAATCGTATAAAAAATCGTCATATTTCAGCTTTAAAATAACTGTCGCATTAATCAAACTGTCATTCCACTAATTACCCAAAGGACCAATACCATGTGGATCTCACGGGGGTGAAAGTTCTGGCCATCTGTCCAAACGCAACGGATAGCAACATGGTACAAAATTTAGGGAAGCAACTGCTATCCGCACGACACGAGGACGCCTGGCGTCGCGATACCGCTTCCTCAATTCCCCAGAAGTGAGTCAAGGGATTTCCAAAAATTCACTAATAACGAATACAACGCTTTCAGGCATATATTTATTATAATCGATACTTTTTTCTTCCAGAGCCGAACACGTGGCAAAGGCACTCATTCACATTTTGTCCATCGGAAAGAGTGGGTCTGTTTGGCTAGTAGAAAACGGTCAGCCAGCGCGTGAGATAATTTTTCAAAAACACTAAGAAAAACAGTGGCAGTATATTTTCCACGATCATCATCAACCACTATGCCGTACCAATATAATATATTACGTAAGATACATAAAAAAAAAAAGCGAAAGAGCTAGAAGCGCACTAACCCTTTCGTCGACCGCAATGAGAATGAAGATTAATCGTGTACTTTTTATTTTTCTTATCCCTGGAGAGGGAACGCCATAATTTTGACGAGGAAAAAAAAAGAACGCAGTACAATGTTCGTTACGTATCATCATACTGGAAAATAAACAAAGATATCTACAGTAAAATAAAGCGTCAGTGGTCAAATGTTTTGGCACTGACAATCAAAGCCAGCGACGACTTCACACGAAATAGTCATACTCGTACTTTTTATACAAGAGTTTTTCTTAAGATCAAAAATTCGTAGAATTTCATTAGACTAAAGGATGAGGACTAATCGCGTATTCGTGCCTCAGATTTTTAATGCACCTACGGTATTTTTTTATCTACTTCATCTTATCATCACGCCACAAGTGTATTAGCTACGCAACATTGATATTTCGTTCGTACTATTTTTGCCACGTAATTATTTTTTATCATGGTATTACGTTTCGATTAAATCGAGCGTTTTTATCCGAGGTTCTGAGGATTCCTGTGGATTTCTCATGAATCATTGTTAATGGAGATAATTTTGTTCTTCATTGAAATTAATCAATAGGTAGTTCAAATCTTTGAATCATCTTACGATTTGCTTGTAAAATGTACCTTGTAAGCCTTTTGCCAATAAAATGCATAGCTTTTTAAGAAAATAATCTCTATTATTTTTTTATCCTTGCCTAATGTTAGGTACACGTGAAAAATGGTCGATTGAATCTTACAATTACAGAGATGAATAGGGAGATTGCCTATGAGCCGATTTTCATGGTCCAAGTTTTATTTCTGCGTCGAAGCGCCACCTGACGAGTGAAAGTTTCTGCATTACTGGCGTATATATATTTCTCCAATTATTTTTTTGTTCAATATGTTCGTAGCCTGATTAATGAACAAAAATAACAATATCCGGCCGCAAATCTGGCACCTCGTGGCTGCGAGGACCCAGGTGCCCACTGCCCAAGAAACTTATATTTCCTTTATTACCCACGTTTGGGGGTTCGCTTAGGGTATACGTTTGACTGATCACAAACGTGGGAAGGGTTCGAGGCTCTTCCGTCCAGGTGGCGCGTCCACACCAAAGTACACACGCTTTAGAGCACCACTCGGTATAAATCCATACGTCTCACCATACAACATATATATATATGGTCTCTGGTCTCACGGAGCTCAAACAGAAGAGATCACTAAAAGAACGAATGTAGAAAACTGTCAAATCATTATTTGGAAGTTTACTCAAGAAAGCCTCCTTTACAAATCCTTACAAAATTATACCAGTCCCACGCAGGCTAAACTGTTCTATGAAATCTACACTAATTTCTACACCAGAGGATAAATTAACCAGAAATGATTATTAATTCACTTCTGCGTTCAAAAGTCTTGAATTCGATTAACCTATCAAAAAGTAATCCGAGGTTCGATCGTAACTTCAGTAAATGTCATGTCTTATTCAAAGATAGGAAGAAATCGAGGAAAAGTTGGTTTTGGCAAAAAGGAGAAAATAATGATAACAAAAAAGAAGTAACAATGGTCACACCGAAAAACTGGTAAGTGTCTTGGCAGATCCTTAATAAAATAATTATTAAATCTCATATTTTGTAAAAAATTCAAAATATATTCAGTGCCGATACACTCGATCCTATTTTGGAAGCTGAATGTACAGTCGCAATAATTCTGGGTGGTTCGTCCGGTGCAGGATACGCAGCAGCAGATCAACTGTTATCGAAAGGCGCACGCGTAAGTGAGATTAAGGATTGCGAGAGCTGAAATATTCACATCTAAAATAGCGAGACAATAGCATGTATCTCTGAAGTTACCTGACAAATGCAGAATAATATATAAAAAAGACATATACATTTTACGATAACAGTTGGGACACAACTGCAACCAAAGATAAATAAATCACACGAAATATGTCAAGAGCTTACACGTTGTGATACTTATGCATTTGGTTATACAGGCAACGATAATAGGCGATAATGATGTACGAAGAGGTAAACTAGCTGCTGATAAACTTTGCATGGCGTACGGTAGGGAACGAGCAATTTTTAAAAAGTGCGATGCCACCAACGAGTGTCAGGTCGATGGTAAAATAACAAATGTTAATTTTTATATGATTTTTAATCTAAGAAGATCAAGATTAACTTGAAAGTTATGGTTTTTCATTCAGGTATCTTCTGCGACACATTATGTAAATACAAAGCCGTTGATATCCTCTTGAGCGATTTTGATACGATACCAGTCAAGTCGCATCCTCAAATATCGTGTGATAACTCAGCAACTAATAATTGGGTAAGTTGAATAATCTGTTATTCATTAAAATGTTTTTAAACTTATAAAACAATGCGATAAATATTGGTATCCTTACCTGTGTCCTGTTTATAGAATAATACCATGACAGTGGTTCACACGGGCGTAAAACACATTGGAAAAGAAAACGGTGGTCGAGGTGGTATTATCGTCAGCTGTGCAAGTATTTTGGGTCTGGTCGGATTCCCAGAGGCTCCTGAACCTGTATATTGTGGCCACGAACCCGTCGTGGAAACGATGCGTTCTCTCGCAGTTATTCATGAGAATTGTCTTCTTTTTTTTAACGAACAGAAAATTTAATTGAAAGATGTTACCATGTGTGTTTTATATTGCAGAAGGAATATCCTGTAAAGAAAACTGGAGTGAGATTAGTGACATTATGCATGTCGAATAAGAGCTTCGCAAATATAGGATTGCCCGAATTCCCTCCAGAGGAATTCAAAAATTTAGAAATAAATAAAGAACTCTGTTATCCGTCCGAGTATGTGAATAGCAATGCCAGTTGATATTATTTGTTAAAGATACAGTAGACGAGTAAACGTTCAATTTTATTTTTCAAGCGATAAATCCAGAGTGGGCATTGCCTTGACTCATGCAATGGCCTGGGCAAGTAATGGCAGCACGTGGTTAGTGGAGCCAGAACCGTGTTTACGAGAACAACCTGTTCTGTTGCATTTCCCTGAGGAGAAGAATCAAAGGATAGATACAAAAATCTATGACACAGTAGTAGGATACGTTTTTCTTTTTTTTTTTTCAAATATAATGATATACGTGAAAAAAAGTTACCGACTGGTTCCATTTTGAAACTGATTTTCCTTTTTGCTTTTGACCATCAGACTTGTCCTGTAGCCACTGAGAATCATTGCGCCAAGATCGTCGAGGATAAATGTCCACCACGAAATCCAAATTTAGACTGTAAATTGAAGAAGGAAGTAAAAAAATGATATCGTATTTCCAGACGACCCAATTGTGTTATTTGGGGAGTGGACGTTTAAATTAATGGGCGATATTATTATTGAGATCCTTTACTCATTAATAACTGTGTTACAATTACAAACACGTATAATCTTCACGAAGATCAATAAAAGTTTTGTAACAGTAAATTTCTATTCTTATATCTGATACAAATGCCACAATTCAAATGATTTTAAAAGCCTCAAGCTCTACCCAGGGGTTAAGGTAATATCAGTAAACTGTCGGTAATAAATCTCAAAACTGCGTTTAAAATTGATGCATGCGTAATTAGAGTCACTCGATAATAATAATTTGCGGTGTACATTGAAGTCGAAGAATACGAATTTCTATTCGTACTAGTGCATCTACTGATAGCCTCCACATTTCACCACGACACCATTGGGAAATAGCATTATATGTATATAACGTACAATTTTACGAATTAATCCCTTAACCTACAACTACGGGCATAGCACGTAGTACGATGATCGGGCCAAATATAAACATTAGTAGGGCCACGCTCCTAAAATTATAAATATTTGTGGAATATTTGATAAGTAGGTACAGACTGATGCACTGGTTGGGTTAGATGCATGTACTACAAAATGTTTATTTATACAAAACTCAGTAATACAAAATTAATAATCTGCAATGGTGTGATATAATTTGAAGGGTTCTGGTTGATTTAAAACAAATTTATGGAAGTAAATTTCGATGTGGAAATGTGACCAAGAATAACTTGAACCTAATCACGATAAGAAGAGATAATAGGAATGCATAACGAGCCATGTCTGTACTATTTACAGACCGCGACCGTCCTACGATGTATAAATGTTTACGAATAGCTCGATCGGCATATTACACAAGTCGTTCGAATAGTTCGAAGGCTTCGCGAACCAGTCTACGTTTCCGGCCGAAAAATTCTCGAACATAAATCGTAGGTTAAGGGGTTAACAATATTTTCTCACGCATTCAAAAAAGGAGCGCTTGAATTCAACTAAGGAGAAGGTAAGTACCAGGAAAATTTTTGTATTCTAGCAGAAACCCGTCAATTTTATATAACTGACCAGATCGTTAGAATTTTGAAAATTAAAGACTAACAATTAATCAGAGGAATATTTCGATCAGCGCTTTCAGTGATATTTAGCAGAATCATAGTTGGATTTAACTCTTAAATCGGTTAGAATTCGCGCCAGCCAGTGTCGAGGAAGTTACAGGTGCGTGACCGAGGTGTAGAATTTAAGGGTTGAATTAGAAATATTTTTCGCGAGTTTTTTCAAGAATTTGATAAAAAAAAAGATTCAAGACACTGATTTACGTCAATGTAGACAGGTTTCTGTAATTAATCAATATTATTCATTTCTATCTGTCAGTTCGATTTATAGAAGCGATGCAGTATTCCCTCAGAAAGTATTTGTCTAAAATTGTATAACTGATCAGTCGATCATTGACGCAGATTTAATTTTAGATAATACAGTCTAAATGTAGTCGTATGATACTCACGATTATTATTATAATAGGATGATTACGAGACAGTAAATTTTTATATATTTTTTATTTTGGAAATTGACAGCTTCGCGATGGAAATTAAAGGAAAAACAGCTATTGTCACGGGTGCAGCCAGTGGAATCGGCCTGCAGTATGCACATGACTTACTGAAAAATGATGCAAAGGCAAGACATTTTTTGTTTTCATATAACAGGACGAGCAACGAATACTAACAGATTTCTTTTCGTACCTCAGAAAGTCGCTATTCTTGACTTACCAACTTCAAACGGTCAAAACTCCGCAGCGGAACTAGAAAAGGAGTTCGGAAAAGGCTCTGCTGTGTTTTACATTTGTGACGTAACAAATGCCCAACAGCTTGAAGGTAAACAGTCACTATTATATAATGTAATCGTTACACTGATACTTCTTACATAGATATCCATAGTTAACTAGTTATACCTAGTTACGGGACCAAAAAAAAAAAAACATTTTTATGATTTTTTTATGAACACACATATAGATATATATGTAAATGAAACCTTTTGAATTTGAATCAGCATACATATATCGAAGATATAATCATAATTTTGTATAGCTTATTAACACGTTCGACGCCTCATCACCCAGATCTGGGTGACGGGTATGATTCCGTGGGGGTCAGGTCACCCAAATATGGGTGACGCTCCTCTTATTCAAGTTAATAGGATTTTCAGTTGGTTTTTCAAACGGAATGTAATGGAATGAGCATTGAAATATAAGTATAGGATATACAACATGAAAATACTAAAAATATAAACTTTTTACTAATTTGTACTTCCGATAACATATTACATTATACTATGTCGCATGGTGTTCGTCGAAACATTCTAAACACATTTAAGGTGATTTTGGACAATTGGAACAATAGGTCGTGGTTTTAGTTACATTTTTCCTGGCTTCTTGGAGTTTAGCAGTTTTCTGAAAACCTTAACGCTTTCCCCATATAGGAACTCAAAAGTTTATTGTTTATAATGAATCGAAGGCTCTGTAGCATTAGGTCACCGATAACGCCAGGGCCTACTCGGGTTACATCGTTGCTATTCCCGCTTATCTCTGTTTACGTTTCGGCCCTCCGACAGTCGGATTTTGGCCCTGCTAGAAAGTCAACCAAATCACGCAGGGAGCCGAACGTATTAATTATTATATATAATTATAGAAAAATATTAATTTTTACACTAGTTACAGCCGATCTCCGAAAGGATCACTGAAAAAGGCATTCTTGTGGTGATCAAGACATCTCCAAATTGAATTATTTGAAATAAAAAAGTTTTAGTCACTTTATAAGTTATTGCAGTACTTAATCGTAGGAATAAGTTAAATCTTAAGTTATCCGGAAATTATGGTTTTCAGAAAAAGGAGTTTCGATTTTTAGGGAAAAAAAATCATATTTCTTCGATTATAAAATCTACAATATTGATCGGGGAAAAAAAAATTGAATCAGTGAGTACTAGTACAGTATGTTGAGAAAAAGCAGTTAAAATTTTGGAACGATTGGTTCAGTGGTTCTCAAGATATCTTGATCAAGAGGTATAACCCTTTGAGCGACGTTTTGAGATGTATTCCTTAACATTTTGACTGTCAAATTTATTTTTAAATCTTCTGTCCACTTATTTAAACATGACAGACTATTATGTATGATCTCTAAGATTAAAACGAGACGAGACGTATATAAATCGGACCGATAACAGCTTCTCCAAACTACAACCAAGCTTCATATGACGTCCGCCCGTTTTCTTCAACGTGGTTCAATGCATAAACTCCGTTTATCTTCAAAATACAAGTGTCCGATTGCGTAACAGCACAGTTAAACGGAGTTTACGCATTGAACCACGTCGAAGAAAACGGGCCATAGTGAGTTAAAATAACACAGCTTGCAAAATTGTCTTTTCAGATACATTCAAAGAAGTGATCAACGATTTTAAACAACTGGACATATTAGTTAACAACGCCGGCATAATGAATGACATTCGTTACGAAACGATGGTCAATCTTAACTTGGTAATTATAACCTCACGATACTCCGAGGGCGCAACATGCGGCCGTTGAGCGTACTAATTTTCTACGTCCTTTTAAATTTAGCTCGGCCTAATTCGCAGTACTTTACTGGCTTTAGATCATATGGGAAAGCATAAAGGTGGCGCAGGCGGTACAATTGTTAACATTTCTTCCGTAGCTGGTCTAGTTGGGTTTCCAGAAATGCCGATATACGTAGCTACGAAACACGCTGTTATAGGATTCTCTCAGGCGTTGAAGGTATTAGAAAAAAGAGACACTCAATTCTGTTATAAAAATCGTATGAATTGTATTTACCATTCAGTATTACCGACCAGGGTAAATTCGACACGACGGGAGTGCGGATACTGACGTTATGTCCAGGCGCCACCGTAACTCCACTGGTAACTGAAGCGAAAGATATTTATCTTGATTTTGTGGATAAATATATTGCTTACGAAACGCTTTTACAGTTAGAGCATCAATCGTGAGTATTATTGCATAGATCATAAAATGATAATTGATTTATTCTCTCTTGCTAATTGCATGATACTTTTTGACTTGTAGCGTTCAACACGTATCAGATGCATTTATTGAATTACTCAATTTTGGAGAAAATGGCGCTTTTTGGGTAGTCGAAAATGGTAAACTGCCATATGCAATCAATCTCCCGGATTATCATACACTTACTGTACCAATTGAAAAAAAAAAGTGAAATCGAGGCATCAATTTGTATATTTTTTTTTATTCAATTATAATTTGCTCGAGAGCACCACTCGCCTGGAGCATTAACTATTGCGTGTAGTATTGCTTATTACTTATTTTAGTATTCTAGGAGTATTTTTATTAGCGTAAGACTCTTTCCCTCTCCGTCACCATTTCCCTCTGGCACTGGCTCGGAGACATCGAGGACCATCTAAGAGGACCAACAGCCATTACTATGGAAGGAGATAGAGAGAGACCAGCTGATCGAGACCACATGAAGAATGAAGCCTGGCAGCCCGCCAGCCCGACCACGTGTATGCAGCCCCGGTGCAGTCCCGTCACACGGGTAGTAAAGAGGCCCGTGTGACAGCGGTCGATCCCTCTCCCTCCACGTTCGCGGACGTACCCGATAGAAGATTTGACAGGCCATGGAGGCCGCCATGTTGCCCGACGCGCAGACGACGCACCAGCGCGCCGGCGAGGACAGCCCCCTGCCATCCAGCAGCGAAGGCCCTGAAAGGCCCGCCAGCACCGTGCTAAGAGAACCCCGTAAAAGCCCCGTAAAAGCACGTAGTCTTGAGAGGGCCCAAGCGGTCCAACCAATCCCCGCGGGTTTTCAGACAGTTTTCAGTTCCCATCCCGACAGTTTTCAGAGATACAGGATGTCCAGGTGTTCATCTCCGTAGTTTCCTGTATCTATGTATCTAGGTTTCGGACGTACAAGTTCAGAAAAGTGTGCAACGAGCGACGCTTTGGCGCTTTGCTCAAACTTTAGTATCCTCTCTGTTGTTCGCACGGTCTGATTTACGTCAATAATCTAGCACACTCTCCTCTCTTACGTTTATCACACGGCTTCAACAAGCTGGACACCATTAACGACGCTTATATGCATTGAAGATTACATTTTCTTTAAAAACTTATATATGACTTTATGCATTTCTAAAAAAAAATGGCCTTACAAATTAAATTTATATGCCATTAAACATTTTCGACAACGCAATATATTTTTGTGATCAGCGACATCATAATTTACATTTTATATCTGTGAAAATATAGATTTCAGTGCTTAGAGCTTCTATGTCCCGTTGAACAACAAAAACTTGTGATATCCCCCAAAAGAACACTTACGTGTAAAAAAATACGCCAAGTACAGGAGTGCTGTGTATTCCTCTAATAAAAAGTATTGATATCAGATTATTGAGGCCAAGTA